CAGCGCTTACTGAATGGCTGGAGCGCCAACAAGCAATTGCCAAAGCTGTCCGTGCAGAGGAAGAACGGCAACAGGAAGAAGAACGTGAGGCACAGCATCGTCAATGACAACAGCAGCAGCCTCGTGTTGAGGAAGTGAGTATTATTTTTAAAATGTAGACTTGATATTCATATATGAACAGGTACCAGATATTGAAATGGACTTGCGACCATCCGGGCGTCCCAATCGCCAGATACATCTCCCCAAATGTTACCGTGATGAAGTTCCAGTCCTGCCAATTCCTGCCCCACCTCCTGTTGAGCCAGATGAGCCAGCACCAGTGCCTGACGACCCCAATAACATTGCCATGGACTTTGATGACAGACCATCATCAGAGCATGCCCCCCTACAGAGCAACATTGTACAGACACTGATACATTCTTCCTCTTTCGTGAATACCCTCATTCATTTCCAACATACGACCCCGAACATTCAGCCTACTTTGATGCGCTCTGTGACTCCTCAACGTTCCAGCATGTTGATGGAGATGCTGATTACGAATGACCATGGTATGCTGGCTTCGGACAGTCACTCGAAACAGGCCACCATGACTACTTCGCACCATTCCTTAATGCGACAGTCTTTCGCCTTATGATGTGGTTTTACAATATGTCAGTCTCAAAATTGCTGCAAGATCTCAATCACTTGGTCAATGATGTCATGTTAACGGAGGATTATTGAGGAGAAGATTTGCTAGATTTCAATGCATCTAGGGAGGCATCGCGTCTCGAAGGCTCAACATGACCCTGCCTCGTCCATATTTTCTTCTGATGGATGGCATGAGACCTCAGTGAAAATACAACTTCCATGCAAAAAAGAGAAGTTCTCTTCTGAAGATTGTGCACCTGAATTTGAAGTTAATGGGCTTTATTACCGCAAACCATTGGAAGTCCTCAAATCTGCATACCAGGAGGTTGCAGCGAAGACGTTTCACACAAAGCCATACAAACTATTCTGGCAACCTGATGATGACAAACCTCCAGAGAGGATCATTACTGAGTTGTATATGTCTGATGTCATGCTTCAAGAGCATGAGAAGCTCAACTCGCAGCCAAATGAACCAGGCTGTAACTTGGAAACTGTCATTGGTGCGATCATGCTCTGGTCCGACTCTACTCATCTAGCGAGTTTCGGAAATGCTTCTCTGTGGCCGATATACTTGTTTATTGGCAATCAGTCAAAGTACATTCGTGGCAAGCCAACATCGTTTGCAACACATCATCTCACATATATTCCAAAGGTCCATTTTTACTATTTGAACTCAAGACACGAACTAATTATGCGTATAGCTATCAGATACTATTCAAGACTTCTACAAGAAGACTTTTGGTCATAGTGCCACAGGAGCAGTGCTCACGCACTGCAAATGTGAATTAATGCAGGCTGTTTGGTGTTTCCTACTCAATGCTGAATTCATAGATGCATATGAACATGGCTTCATTGTCAAGTTCCCTGATGGAGTCTCTCGTCGTGTGTTTCCTTGTTTTTTTACTTATTCTGCTGATTATCCGGAGAAGTCTGTTTCACATCTTACTTGATCGCACCATACTAATCTCCAGAATGCCAGGGTTTTGCTTGCATGCATGAAATTCCTCGGGAGGTGTCCATGCCCATGGTGTCTTGTTAGCAAAGACAACATTTTCAAATTAGGGACAAGGTTCAATCAATGACAGCGCATCAGAAACTCTCGAGTCGACAATCACCCATGGCGTAGCCTCATTGAATGAGCCCACGAACTAATATTTGTTCAAGGCTATAGTGTAATAAGCTCTGCAATTGAGAGAATCATCGGTACCACCTCTGTTGGACCTGTTCATGTATGTATGATTTGAATCAAGCTTTCAAAGTTTACTAACTGTGAGTATTAGAATGCCTTTTCGGAGAAGCTTGCCAAGTTTGGTTTTGATTTCCACTCGATGTTCGTGCCTGACTTTATGCACGAGTTTGAGTTGGGAGTATGGAAGGCAACCCTTACTCATCTTCTCCGAATTTTGTATTCATATGGAGGTACTGCTGTGCAAGATCTCAATGTGCAGTAAGTCGTTTTTTCTCATATATATTTGTGTGTCCATCATAATTTAGGTATCGTCTCATACCAACATTTGGACGCGACACCATTCCCAAGTTTAGTGACAATGTGTCAGGTCTCATGAAGCTCGCAGCGCGTGATTTCGAAGACCTGCTACAGGTAGGAATATAAGTAATACAGCTGCTGTCATGCTGATCAATGCTGGCAGTGTGCAATGCCAGTATTTGATGGTCTTCTATCAGAACTGTTCAACAACTCGATCCTCAACCTTCTTTTTGAGTTGGCCACCTGGCATGCATTTGGGAAGCTTTGTATGCACACGGAGACAACACTCTATCATTTTGATAACTGTACAACACGGCTAGGAAAGGCTCTCCGGCAATTTCGCAACAATACATGTAAAAAGTTTGCTACTCAAGATCTACCACATGAAACAGCTGCTCGTGCACAGTGTCAGTGTCTTAAAGCATCTAAAGGAAAGAACAAAAGGTCAGAAGGGACAAATACTGATGCTGAAGGTGATGGCTCCTCAACCTCTCGACTTACAAACTCCATGCTCTTGGGTACTATGTCAAGTCAATTTGGCAGTATGGGACTACAGACAACTACTCTATGCAAGTGGTGAGTATCGGAATCCATGAATAACTTGAAATGATCCACTAATGGTAGTGTTAGGGTGAACTCGAACATCGCCGAGTCAAGCACTTTTATGCGCAGACCAACAAGAATAAGTTTGCCCATGGAATCACAAGACTTCAGTGCTGTGAGCGCATTTTTCAAAGGATGAGAGAGGTTAACCATGAAAGGGAAGCTGAAAGAGAGGATCACTTACAGCCCAAGACAGAGTATCTTTGTCCATGTCTTCATTTTGTTGACCAGGATCCACTGCCACATTGCTCACCAGAGATCCATTATCAAATGTCCTCATCACAGAAACACTACTGGGATGTTTCTTCCTGGCTCAGAAAGAATAGACATGACCAGGCCACAAATGTAGGTCTCTGATACTCATATAACGACAAATGTATTTGCTCACCAGATGGAACTAGAATTTTCTTCCGCACCTCAAAGACCACCTTCTGGGTCGCTTATCAGGGTTGGCCTATGATGGAGATGAAACTTCATTTACTGCTGCAGAACAGAACTCTGTCATAATCATCAACAACCGGATCTATCATCACAAAGTGCTTCGTGTCAACTATACCACCTATGACTTACAGCATGCTCAGGACTCCCTCAACCCCCGCACACATGCAGACATCATGGTTCTTGCTTGTGACCAGGAAGACTCTCATCCATACTGGTACACCCAGGTTATCGACATCTTTCATGCCAATATCTGCTGCATGAGACAAGGTGGACGTCCCACTATAAAGTGTGTCAACTTTTTGTGGGTCCACTGGTTCGCTCATGACATCACTGCCCCAACAGGTTGGGCAGAAAAATGGCTGCCACGAGTTGGGTTTTACGATGGAAACAATGAATCAGCCTTCGGGTTCCTTGATCCTGACCTCGTTGTTCGTGGTGTGCAACTTATCCCAGCCTTTCAACATCTACGTACGACTGCACTGTTGGGACCATCCATTGCCCATCAAGCAGCTGACAATGACGAGGATTGGGACTGGTACTGCGTCAACATGTCAGTTATTTTCCACTGACGAAATGAATCGAATCTGATAAATTACCAGGTTTATCGACCGAGACATGTTCATGCGCTTCCGTGGAGGAGGTGTGGGCCACAAGTCCATGTGAAGAGAGACATCATGCCTGCTTGATGATCGTGATGAGTTAGATAGGATCCCCTTCCAAAGAGAGAAAGAGTGCCATGGATCAGAATTCAATGAGGGCTCTGAAGAGGATGAGAATATGGATGAGGAGGGAGACAATGGGAGTGGAGATGATAACGAGGAGGAAACAGATGATAGCAAGGAGGAGACAGACAGCACGAACGACGAGGACGGGGATGAAGTTCCAGCTCCCTTTGAAGTGATGGTAGACGACACTGTTGCTGATGAGATGGATGAATATGGATACTCCAGCCTTGATCAAGTCCTTGACGAGGATGGTGCAGATGAAGAAACTAATGAGATTGATGACTTCGGTCTGGAAGATGGGGAGGATGGGATGAATGAGTTTGAGGAGGATAGCTTTGCAGACTTGTAATTGACGACAGCACATGACAAGATGGCTCAAAAAATTAGCTCTGTTATTTTTAAAGTAATTTACATGTGGCTGTACAATCAGGCAAAGGGGGGAATCAAAATGCTCGTTGAAATGCGCGAGAGTTAATGACCATCAGCAGTCAGCCTACTCATATTCAAATAAGGATCAAAAGCAGGTCCAATAGCAAGCACGATTCGTGCAGAGGGTCTTCTTGCTTGTAGCATACGAGCTTGAGAGAAGCACCCCAAAATATGGTGACACTAATGACAACGAGACCTGGTGATTTGTAAACATGAGCTGAAGGAGGATCATGAGATGAGTGGAGGGCAATTATGGAACAACTCACTTGTCGGCATTTAGCTGCATTCTGAGAAGATGTAGCGCTTGACGAAGTAGTCGGACAGAGAGAGGCAACTGTGCGAGTTTCGTGCCATGGCGTAACATGGCTACAATGTCAGTAGGATCTTCTTTCTTGTAGTGTACGAGCTTGAGAGCAACACCCCAGGCATGAGGTCATTGTACTGTGAAGGGAAAGAAAATGTTTTGAATGTGCATGGAGAGACGCAATAGGTGAGGCGTGAAACAATCCATGAGGACGTTGTGCCGGGAGGGTGATGGGAGCAGCATTGGTGAAGGCGCTCAAAATGGCTGTAAGGAGAACTGTAAATGTAGTGAGCGCATTGTGACTAGGGTAGGGTTAGGGATACGCACCTTCAAGGCACCACCTCCCTCATGTGGATGCCTAGTTAGGGATTTGCACATGAGGGCGCCTAAGCAGCTTGCGAGAGTGCAAAAGACACTGTGGGGGTTGCAGCAGAAGGTGTGGACGGCGAGGAGAAATCTAGATCTACATCCATTCCATTGAAAGGGTGTCTGGCATTGGGCACCATAGCGCTCGTTCTGTTAAGACATCGCTAAAAGTATTCTTGGATCAAAATAGATTCTACGCAGCCACGACATACTCATCTGGCTGTATCCTACGATATCTAGGTGTGCGTTGTTGTGCCACCCCAAATCAGGACCTGCTGTAAGAGGAACAACCAGAGACTTCATAGGTGTCTGCTCAGAACTTGAAAGCATCAATGCATTGCTGGCAAAGGTAGGGTATGTGCGAGGGCGGGTGAAGATGTGAGGGCAGGTGAAGATGAGACGCTCTTCTTGAGTGGTGCTGCGCTCCTGTGAGTCCATACCAGCGTGGTAATGTTTGGCAGATAAGCCATAGTCATTTTGCAGTTGTTCAGCAATCAAAAATTGAAGAAATGAACACTTACTAAGTTGCTGTATGAAAAATTAAGGTGCGAGCTCCACCTATTTACACTGTTTGCCACCCGGCTACACCAAAGGCAGTTACTAGGTGAGGAGGGTAGAGCTGCAAGCACCATTCACAGTTTGATCGCCAACATCATGACAAAGTGCGAATTGTGCGTACGATTTTTCAAAGTCAGCTGGCAAATGCTGGTCAATGTTAAGAATGTGCTCAAAGGTTGGATCCAAAGGGCTTGGCTTCAGCTCGTGCGCTGTGCCCCTTACCCGAGTACGTGCCCCTAACTTCCGAGGGCTGTCGAACGATGTCCGAAGGTTACCAGACAATGTCCGGAGGGCGTCGGGCGATGTCCAAAGTCTGATGTCCGATGCGTGGGATTTCCGGCGGATGTTCGGGAACAAGAGATTAGACTAATCCAGACGAAGTCTGAACTAGAAAGGAAACAGCGGAGGACTACCAGAGGTAGAGGCGGAGGTGACAAGTCTATAGGAATCAATCCTAAGACGAGCGGAGGTCGACGAGAGAGAAACTCAAGTCGGATGGAGGAGGGAATGAGCAGAGTCTAAGATGATATTCGAACTAAGGATGTACATAGATTCTACAGGGTTTATATACTACTATGGACTTATTGGAGAACAGAGACGCGCAGTCCAAAGCTATACAAAGCTGTGGACGGAGCGTATAGAAAAGTCAAACGCTAGTCTATTGGAAAATAGTAAATGAACCCGGAGAGTAGAACAGATGAAAATAAAGGCGGAAATGAAATGAGGTACGGAAAATGATATAGTCTAACTGGAGTAGGAACATACAAAGGGATAAGGCACGGAAGTTAGACGCAGGTCGGATCCAGACATAGATAGACGTCGGCCAGATCCAGACTTCCGGAAATGATGTGTGTGATAGGTCCGGGTCCGGAATGCGGGATATGACAGTCAACAAACAACACATCAATAAGACATATTTACCCCTTAATCCTTGACCCTCCACACATCATGTCTTTGCGTCGTCATCCTGGCGCATCGTCAAGCTCCTCTGATCCCCCTAATTCACATTCAATATATGTACGTAGCACTACCATTTCTTCCATCGGATGCTCTCCGGAGCCTGCAAAACTTGCAAAACACAAGAATAAACATAAACGGTCGGAGTCGCCAGAACCATCAAGGCCCAGCAAATGCAAGCACAGGCATTCCTCCAGTGACACCAGCACCGATGACCTTATCAATTCCATTTCGTCAAGCTCTTGCAAGAACGTAACGAGGTAATGTAATTTGATCTGTACCATACCAATTTTGACCTTCAGAAGCAGGAAACATGAGGATTCAAAAATGGACGACACAGAACTATACCGAAACGCAGGGAGGAAGGCTTCGAGCCTTCTGGATACGTTTGGCATACCTTCCACAGCCTTCAAGACCGGTCTTCAATTTGACCGAGGGGGTAAGCGTGACCTGAAACAGTATGTACCTTATATCTATCTGACATGACAGCTAACTCGCTACAGACCTGAAGATGTCACCAATCAGCATTTGTTACTTTACAATGGCATCATCGACTATGTTCCTGGGCTCAAGAGCGAGCTCGACCACATATCAAGCAAAAAACTCAACATGATCATTGCAATGGTGACTATATGTGCATATATGCACTTGTTTCCACTCAAATCTGACCTTGACAACTGATCTTTGCATTACAGGTATCAAAGGGTATGAGCGATGGCAGATCCGCAGATCTGAGCTCTGTCAAGCACAAGGGCCTGCAATACATTGGGCTAAATATGTATAGTAAGGCCGATGTTCTTGACCCACCAGTTCCAGAAATCGAGAATAAGTTGATGTGTGGGCTCAATCACCCGCAGTTGGCCCGTTTGCTTTGCCCTCGGAAGAAATTGGATTGGATTGATGAGGACCCTGATTCATATGTATGTTTTACTTTTCATTATTTGTACTGATGTCACTATGTTCAGTGCTATGGCTGCCTTGCAAGCTGGCGAAATCACCATGACGGCACACAACTGGCCAACATTCTTTTATGAACATGACGTTTACGACGCTGCTGAGAAGACACATGGCCTGTTTCGAAACCACATTGTTCTGAGGGTGCGTCTTCATCTTCTACACTGTCATTTATTCATAATGAAGTTACTATAGTTTTATAAACATTTTTTTATTGGACCATCATCCATCATGAACGACTCATCAAATGTTCGCAACTCTGCAAAGCCATCCAAAAATTGTGCATGGGGACTGACAGCCGTTAACAAATACATCATTGCATATGTTCACATTATCGTAAGTTTAGCTCTTTTGCTATTGGTATCAATACCCCTCTCATGAACCCATAGACATACTTTACGATCAGCAGCGCTCAGCAATGAACATGGTGTATTGGCGACATGGACTTGGATGAGCTCCTCTGGGCCATCATTGAAATGCTAGACGACGATGACGATCCATGGGTCAAAGACACCCTCACGTGGTGGAACAGGTACATTTTGCTGCATGGTCAGTTCAGTGCTAATTGTTTGCAGGCATGTCAAACCAACTAAGGACAACTCGCACTCGGCCAAGCTCATGCGAAAGGAAAGTGAGGACAACATTGCACAAATTTGTGCTCAGCGAGCTGCACGCCATTCTGCATTAGGTACATCAGATGGTATGTGATAGATGTATATACAATGCTGGTACTGATATTTATTTCCCAGTGCTGTCACGTCCGGTCAACCCTAATGGGTATCGAGAGCCCTCAACCAGTAAGCAAGCACGCCCTGTGGAGTACGATGACGAAGACGATATAGTAGCACATGCACCCAAACGGCTTCGGCGAGCAGGTGACAACCTTGCCAGTGACTCACCATCTCACCCAAATTCCAATGCTAAGCAGCACCACACCTCAGTTTATGATGATGATGAGGTTGCGGCACCACGAACACAGTCAACCCACCCTCGGTTGGAGAGGTGAGAGCAGCCTGCAAAGCCACAGCCCCTGCACCAGCACCACGCTCAGGTTACTTCAGATGACGACAAAGATACCCCACCCCCTCGCAAGCTCAAATCCAAGCACCCTATCTCTCTCGACGATGATGCCGACGAGCTGGAAATAGCAGCACAACCCAAACAGCCTCGATCTGACCCCCACGTGCCATTGCCTCCAAAGTTCAATAAACCTCGGTACTCCACCTCTGATCATGGTGAGGCTCCAACTTCGACACAACCTGCCCGTAGAGCTACAGATTCCGATGGAGAGGAACACCGACCTCGGCTAAGCAAGCCTCAGCATCCTGCAAGTGCCTCCGTCCACTATAATGATGAGGATCAGCCTCCATGTCCCAAGCCAAAACCCAAGCCAAAACCTCGACGCCCTGCTGCTTGTGATGAGCACGGGGATTCACTAAGTGCGCATGTGACCAAGCAGTCATTGAATGTGGTTCAGGTATACAGCTAAGACCAATTTTTTGTCGTTATAGTGATATTATGATTAGCAGTCTCAGCCAGCATCTCCGCCTCAACGCCCCTCACCCCCACTGTCAGATCTGACTGACAATGACATCAACTTCTCCCCGCAAGCTCCAATGGCTCCTGGGCCCGTTCCCTCAAAGAAGAGAGGGAGGAAGAAAATCACCGATCCTGATGCTCCTCGAAGAACCTCCGTATGAAAGAGGGCTAATGGCTATTAGGACTGTGTCTCTCTCATTGCACTTTCATTCTCTGTTTCTCGCATTACTGCTTTTGCTGACATAGACTTAATGCCCGCTTTGGAATTTGCTATATGGACTTCGTGCAACTGATGTATTTTAGCTACCAGTGTTATGCTAATGTAATGCCTCTTGGGGCCTTCTAATGTACACAAATCTCAAGTGATCTAGTAAGACCTAGTATTTCCTTGCAAGCCTCAGCAGCCTTGCAAGGTCAACCTACCTAGCACACCCTTGAAAAGCCATCCTAGACGTGCTCTCAGAAGGCCATCCAAGACAGGGCTATTTCCTCGCAAGGCATCACAGGCCTTCCAATATTCGCAAGGTCGTGTATGGTCTTATTAGGCCTTCCAAGGCCTCGTTAGGTTTGGGCACTTTTGCTGATGTTGCTTTTACCTGCTTTGCATTTGTGGATGCACACATAACACTTGTTATCATCAGCTATCATATTACTATCACTTGCCACCAGCTTTCTATCACCCGCAATCACTTGCTACCATATCACTGTCACTTTCTACTAGCTTTCCATCACCTTCTATCACTTCTGAATATTCTTAACTTTCCGAGGTTCTGGCCAATCAACAATGGCCTAGATCTTCTCGTATGGCATGGTCAAGCCGTCTGGAGATAGGAGGTAACCAAGGTATTCAATGGATGTGGTGTGGAATGCACATTTTTTCGGGTTTAGCATAGAGTCGATGTTTTCAGAGATGGAGGAGAACATCTTGGACATGTTCCTTATGGGATGCAAGGTCTTGGGAATAGATGAGGATGTCGTCCAGATATACGATAACGCATACATCCAGCATATGAGCAAACACACTATTGACAAAGCATTGGAATGTGGCTGGAGCATTAGTGAGACCTTCCGGTATCACCAACCATTCATAGGAGCCATAGCACATTCGGAATGCAGTCTTCCATTCATCTCCTTCTGCTATCCAGACAAGATGATAGGTGGATCAGAGGTTGATTTTAGTATAGACTTTAGCATGGCTCGGAGAGTCTAGAAGGTCAGCAATGAGGGGTAATGGATATCGGACTTTCTTTGTGATCTGGTTAAGTCCATGGAAATCCACACAGAGGCAGTGTAAAAGAAAGATATGGGCTGGGCAAGTATAGGGGAGCAGTATGTTCAGCCCAAGGGCTTCTGATGAGGCCAGAGCTCAGGAGGAAAGTGAAAGTGATGCAAACAGTAACAGATAGTAATTCCTGGACAGCAGGTAGGAAGTAGGGAATCTAACACCAGGAGTTTACGATAAAACTGCAGCCTGTAACTAACTATCGGAGGCACCAAGCATTCTGGGATAGCAAAACTGTGAGTATTCGGTAGAAACTGTGTGGGGTTTGGAGTGCAGGTGTCAGGGTACTAGGTGAAGTGAAACATGATTAGGTAAGCAGCAAAAGTGCGAACCTATTGTGAGGAAAATGACTGTAAATAAAGGTGTAACAAAATAGGCCAACATGAATTCAGCCGGAGGCCAAGTGCTACAGCGTTGTGACACTTGCATCCTCCCTGGGCTGCAAAGTGTGTCTTTTGATATAGGTGTCAAGGAGTATGGAGAGATATATGTTCCACTTCATCTTCTGGTGTTCTGATGGCAGGGATACCTCGGTCGATGCTATCCGACATACTCCTGCAGGCATATCTGCTCCGCACTTCCGTTCCGCACTGTCCATCCATTTCCTTTCCATGTCCACCTATCTCCATTGGTGCATATTCATTTTCTCTTGGTTTGACTAAACAATATCAAGGCTTATTACATATAACTGCATATTTCGTTCTGTGCGCACTCCCATTACACATTACTTATCTGCATCGTTTAATCACTATAGTTCTCGCCTACAGGTTCTGGACGCTCATGCAGTAGGATAAAATCTTGCGCGCTACATACAGTACGGGACTTCTCTTCCCTCGGATGCTACCTTTGTTTTGTGGAGTCACTTAGACGTTCCTAGTATTATTGATCAATTGACAAGCTTTGTTCACTTCTCACTTCAAACCTGTGTGTTCTTGACCGCTCCAAGAACGTGCCTCTAAGTTTCCTTACCTAGGCTCTGCGTGGATCCGAACCGCTCTCGGTTTCCAACTTAGCATTTTCATACCTAGTTATACCTCAGCCTCAAACCTCATCTATACCTAGCCACTACTTGCAAAACTGTGCTTTACCTAGAAACCTGCTGCTCTTTACCTAGGATCCTCTCACTTTCATTCATTTCACATCGCACACTCACCGGACCTGTGGTCTCGCTTTCACTCTTACCAGCGGACTCACTTTTCCAAGGTCGACTTAGTTATTTTCCGTTCCATGTTTGCTCCCTTCGCATTATACTTGAAGGAAGTGCTTCATACCAATCCTCTTGGGTTGAGACAGCACACCCGCACTCAGTTGGATTTATTAGTGCTCTAGCTTTCTTGCTGGCAAGTCACTATTACTTCTTCACAGCAGAGGGAGCCATCCTTTTTCTTGACAAACAGGACAGGGGCTTCATGAGGAGAGGATGAGGAATGGAGGAGGCCGGAGGAAATGTTTTCATCAAGAAACTTTCAGAGGGCTGCAAGCTCAACCGTGGAGAGGGAATAGATGGTTCTGAGGGGCAGACTAGTACCTTCCTCTAACTCAATTTTGAGATCATAGGGACAATGAGGAGAAAGTTGGCTAGCTTTGCCCTTGTTGAACACATCTGCAAATTCATGATATTCCGGAGGAATTTTGAAGAGGTCCAGCAGATCGGATGAAAGGGTAACGGACCGGAGGTCTACACCAGTCGAACAAAGGTAGATGCTGAACTGGACTGATCCTTCCAACTTGCAGGCCAAGGGTGCATTGTTGTGCATTGAAGTTGATGACATGATGTTGAAGCATCACTCACAGGGTGTAGAGAACCCAAAAACAAATGACACACAAGACGTACGGCAGTGAATTCATTTCACAGTCTATATTGATCATGTTCATTAAGCACTGCACCGACAACAATGTCATCTCACCTGTAGCACAACACATTTGGAACACCATGAAACATGGATTATTTGCCCTCGAAACAGTTCCAAGCATGAAACTAGAACCTCTGTTAATTTGTGGGAGAGGTGAGTTCATGAACCTGACACATGTGACGATCTAATGCATGCATCATACAGTAAGCACCCTTGCTGGAATGCCAGGAGGATATCCAACAGAGTGAGACATTGACAAATTGACATCTGAGGATAAGGACGTACTAGATTTCACACAAATGTATAGCTGAGGATACCTATCATCCAGAAATGAGAAATGAGTAGTGACGGTGCCTTGCAGATTATGATGCCGAGCAAGGGTTCACAATCAGGCTACCCCTCATTAGTTACATATCATCACCTCCATATTCAATACTCAACATGTATCCTTCTTAACATTCAAATCAGAAAGAAGATGAAAGGACGTGCCTGATATAGTGAATGACTACAAAACAAACTCCGCTGATCGCATCAGCACCCGCTTGTGGTAATCATGGACTGAGCTGCCCATGGAATGAGACTCAGCAGGTAATGTTGTTACATAGCAGGACAGTGCGGGAGAATACAGGGAATAAAAGAAGGCACATACAAGAGCAGGTATTACAACACGATACAACCTATCAGCCCAACACGTCAAACAAATCAAACAAATCCAGGCTAAGGCACATCACGTATTTCATATCACTGGGGGAAAACAATGATTTCCATCCTCTGGAGTTTCTTGTCAGATACTGTAAACAAAGGGAGGTTGGTCATTCAGCCATGATGAATTGTATAATGCCCTTGGTAAGCCTTCAACTGCTGAGAGAGAAGACTCCCGGATCACATTGCGAAAATGCTTTGCAGCTTTGCTTCTGCAGGGAGTGAAGTTTGCGGCACCCGCCAACCATTGTTAATCAATGATATGCATCTTGTGGTTGACGTCCACCCTCCACGACATCTTCTTCAGCCAAAATACCTGAATTTCACCATCTTCATGCTCACTCTCATCAGAGCTCATGCCATCTTTGCCGAGCATCTCCACAAGAGATTGTAGATATGCTCATACCGCCTGGTCGTCCTTTCCAGTGGCTATCCTGTCACTTAGGAGAACTGACGTGACTTTCTTATGAGTTTCAAACTTCCGGAAAGCAACTTAGCATTCTTCAAGACATGTAACAGAAATATGACTAACTGTTGCCCTGCGAGTGAGGACCCTAGTGACCCACGATCACTTGTTGGTCTGATTCACGAGTTGATCTCCTACTTCTTGCATAGTTTCACGAGCGCCATCGCTGAGCATACAAGGCTGGGCTTTTCTCCAGGAACTGCGACATTGATGAAACTTCTTTGTGATATCGTCTATGATGGGTTGACAAGATCTTGAGACCAATTGGCTCTTCTCAAACATGTAAGTGTACTGGGTACAGAGAATATCGATTACTTTTTGGTTCCATTGAGATTTGTGTGTGGTCATCATATCCCAGTGCAATTTGAGATGGTCAGGGCCCGTGCCTAGTCCGCGCATAAAAGACAATATGGCTTTGCACAATGCAGTGACATGAAGCATATACTTATCATCTTTCACAAAATTGAATACCATGTAAAATAGCTCCCAAACATTGGCCTAGCATTTTATTAGCCATGTCACTTGTGTCAGGAAATGACATACTTTATTATTTTGGCGCTGGACATCAGTGAAGTTCTCGGTAGGAGGCTCATGGGATTTGTGTTTCAATTGAGCTGCTCTTGGAGATGTTGTCTGCAATAGAATCAGAACCTTTGTGAGCGCCTCAATGAGCATGCTGACGGTGGCATTCTGAATTGGAATATTGGCTAATAGCGAGGTCAGGGGGGGCTCAGATCCCTTGTCTCCATCAGAATCTGAATTCACATCAGGAATCTGAGGTATAAGTAGTTAGACATTAAACAGAATTACAGACATGAACTCACTATCAAAAACCCGACAATATTTGTGTGTGGTGACAGGTTTTTTGCCTACAAGATGGCGCCATGAAGTGGGGGAGGGGGGGGGGACTTTGCGATGTTTGCTTGTCGCATTTGGCTCTATAAACATATCACAAAAGCTCCCTACACAAATATGTCGATACACACATTCAATGAAACTATCTTGCTGCTATACTCAGCAGAGAGGCAGGCTAACTTGGTTTCTTTCTTGGCCAACAACTTCTATTTAGCTACTCTGGCCTTGGACTGAAATAAAGTATCTTTTCCGCTAATAGCATATCTTGTTCTATGTGCGCAAGTTGTGCTTTATGTAGACCCAACGCCATCTGATTCTGCCACAGAAAGTCAGGATGTCAACATCGTAGATATCATGGGGACAGAACCCTACCTGGGACTCGGCAAGTTCTTTCTGATGATTCTCATTTAGTATTGTGAAAGCATTGGCCTGGCTATGCTCAAGGATTTCTTGGTGTTCTCGATCTTGCGAGATGACGGATTGCAAATCTGATTCTTGTGAGTTGGCATTGATCTAAAAGCTAGTCAGTAAGAACACAGGAGATGTTTAGGGGGTACCTGAATTTGCCACTTTCGGAGCAAAAGATTGTGCATGGAGAACTGTAACTCACGAACATCATCCTGCAGTCTGAATGACTGATCAACCTGACACGTTTCGGGATAGGTTCATCACCATGAGACTCGGATGCTGTGCACTTGGACATCCTGCAGTTGACATCGATTAATTAAACATACATAGTTTTGTTGTAACAAAATGCTCACAGTGCATTATTCTTTCTATATATTCAATATTCCAAAGACTATGATTATCTATCTATCAACATATTGTAGTGGTGATGACAGAAAGGAGAGATATTAACATGCAGGAACCATATTTATAGTGAATGACTAATTTGGAGGCGCTTAGCAAATACAAGACAGACAAGAATGTATTGTGGACCTTCAATGTTTTGTACAAAGCTAAGACCTATGACCTAGAACAAAAGTCCTGCCTGCCCACTTAAGTATGCCTGTCAGATACACAATAATTTAAAAGTTATGAATTCCACCATTCTATACATGTACTACTACATCGGGTTCGAAAAGGGAATTTCTGTCAAAAGGACGCACTGATATACAGAACAACTATGGGTTCAAACCCAGCTGGCCACAGCCGGCGGTGGGAATTCAGGCTGAGATTGAATCTCATGGTCATTCTGTATATCAACCCGTGTGTTTTGAAGATGTTTCCTTTTTCCGACTTCTATCTTGCTGTGCTTTATCAGATTGACTGGGTACTTGACTTGGACTTAAATACTTTGTGCTTGCTTAGGTGTTCTATTATTTAGAATAGAACAAGGTTGACTTTGCATGTAATGACTTTGCATGTAATAGTAGTGAATAAGCTTGACTTCAAGCAATCACATGTAATAGTAGTAATGTCAATAACAAGGGCTGGCAGGTGCTACAAGACCTATGATTGTAGATCTGCATTGTGTTGCAGGTAACATTACCGATGCTGAATCGTCGTGCCATGAATCACTTGCACGTACATTATTTCATCACCATATCTAGACTAGAACTAATTTCTGAGAATAATCACAGCGTGCATATCCTCATCATGCTTCTCACTGCCTAATATGATGAACTTCACTCGTCCGTCATGTTTTCTATTCTCCGCCGAGCTTTGCACCCTCTCAAGAATCTCGCCCTTTCTCTAATCCTCAATGTATTTCTCTAGTAAGAAATGAGCATCTGTCAGGTCCTGAGTTCAATCCCCGAACTTTGAATATTTTTGCCAGGCATTTCCCAGCAATGCCAATGAGGATGTATTGTGCAGCTCGAGGAGCTGCAGCGTAGTGGGTCAGCTTGTTGTGTGTGGTATAACAATGCATACTAACATATGCTATAAGCGCCATTGCGATAGCTAGCTGGGCTATTCCCTGCACAATGTTTTTCAGCGCTGATAGAGGACGGTCTGCTGACTTTGTAGTACTGTCATGTTTATGACACCAGATGGAGATGGTCAGCTCTGTGTCATTCATAGATGTTGCCCCAAAGATTAGGCTCTTGTGTGTACCGTCGTATGTCTGAAGTTATTTTCCTGTCAGATCAATCTTGTATTATTTCATGTAAATAGTGCATGGTCACTGTTTATACTTGTCCCTTGTCGGCATGTTGCAAGACTTGTTTTAGTGTTCCTTCATTTTTGTCAAAAACATAAATAACTCCTGTGTCACTACCCCTGACTATGAGGGTAGCCTTTGACACTTTTGCATCAAAGTCCTGCAAACCTTCTCCCTGCTGTTGCCAAATCCCTATGAAACCAAGCCCTGTGCTGTAACATAACATTTCACGCATCGCTTCATGGCGGGTAATCCAGCATGCACAAGTCACTGGATCGCCTGGATTTCAAATGGCTGGGGTTTGAGGTGGAATTGGGAGCTGAACTCGCCTCTTAAGGTCCCAAATCCTAAGTCAACCTTGTTCTATTCTAAATAATAGAACACCTAAGCAAGCACAAAGTATTTAAGTCCAAGTCAAGTACCCAGTCAATCTGATAAAGCACAGCAAGATAGAAGTCGGAAAAAGGAAACATCTTCAAAACACACGGGTTGATATACAGAATGACCATGAGATTCAATCTCAGCCTGAATTCCCACCGCCGGCTGTGGCCAGCTGGGTTTGAACCCATAGTTGTTCTGTATATCAGTGCGTCCTTTTGACAGAAATTCCCTTTTCGAACCCGATGTAGTAGTACATGTATAGAATGGTGGAATTCATAACTTTTAAATTATTGTGTATCTGACAGGCATACTTAAGTGGGCAGGCAGGACTTTTGTTCTAGGTCATAGGTCTTAGCTTTGTACAAAACATTGAAGGTCCACAATACATTCTTGTCTGTCTTGTATTTGCTAAGCGCCTCCAAATTAGTCATTCACTATAAATATGGTTCCTGCATGTTAATATCTCTCCTTTCTGTCATCACCACTACAATATGTTGATAGATAGATAATCATAGTCTTTGGAATATTGAATATATAGAAAGAATAATGCACTGTGAGCATTTTGTTACAACAAAACTATGTATGTTTAATTAATCGATGTCAACTGCAGGATGTCCAAGTGCACAGCATCCGAGTCTCATGGTGATGAACCTATCCCGAAACATGTCAGGAACCATGAAGGTGAGTTGTTGTATCATGCTATCTACATTTTCTCTCATGCGGATGACACAGGGATGAGAGCACCATCACCGCTGGCAGATCATGGCACATGGCGCATCCTGGAACAATATCTCACCACAGACATGACCTACCCTCAGATGGAGGTGGCCATTACTTTGCACTTGGGTGATCGATACAATGCTGATGATTGGAAAGACGCTTGTGATGTGTTGTTCTCCAGCGACGGTAATGACAACCTCACCTTAGCAAATCTTCTTGCCTTGAAGGCCAGACATGTGCCCCAGTGTGCCTCCGGTCCATCGACAATCGTGACTCAGTGCAAAAATTTTGCCACATCCATGTCTGCCCCAAAGGCAGCCAGTCGCTTGAAAAATGCACATGTTTGAAGAGTAAGAAATGCATTCATTTTGTCCACAACATTTATATTAAATAATGAATGTAGCCAAAAAATCCCTTTATCGACGATGAAGCATCTGATAATGAGGAAGAGGATGAGGAGGAAGAAGAAGAAGAAGAGGAAAACTTCCAGTTGGAGGGCGACGATGGCTCTTCTATGGGGTTGTTAAATGTTGCATGCTTGCCAGCAACTTTATTGGCCAAGGATAAGTTATCTGTAGTGATTGATCACATCTTTGACAGGTACAAAGGGGATGTGCCAAACACGTATCCTAGAGCAGCCTCATCCTCTTGCACGATCAAATGCAGGATGTACCTTCTCCATTTTCACAGTGAGTGTATATTTCAATTTTAATGACCTGGGATGACACTGAATGCATCGCAGGATCTGCCACGCAATGTGTTGCTGAACATCTCAGGAGCAAGGGATTTGTGGTTACCATATCTTCTTGGATACCAAGCCAGATTTATGCTATCTCAGATAGCCCTAGAACAATTGCGATATCGCTTGATCTATTCTCTTCCTCTGTGAAAGATTATATTTGCATTTTGGAAGAAGAACAAGCAGCGATCGGGCGTTCACACTTCACACTCCCCAACCCAGGGTGGGTGAAAATTACTCAGGGGAAGTATAAGGGCGACATTGGTTATGTCTTCGATTCTAAACAGTCGAATGAATTTGTTACAGTATTAATTCCCCCATGCGACTTTCCCTATGACATGCCTAAGAGATTTGTGGCGCTTCTCGACCGAGCTCGCTTGCTGAATAACGAGACAGTGTTCGACATCCTTCAGGACGATAGAGTTGTAGGATGGTCCTACAAAAGAGAGCGGTACTACATGGGGCTTTTATCGAAAAACTTTCGCCGTGACAGCCTGGAGCTAGTCGCCTCCCCTCATGCTACTGATATTTGACTACATCTTCAATCCGGGTGGGATGTACCTTTCTTCAAGAAAACTCTGGTGGCCTTTTCACTGCAATTCTTGTGTGTCGGAGATTCAGCCAGGCCTATCACAGGAGAAATCCATTTAGAAATGGGTATGGTCATCTCGACAGACCATGCATCTGGCTCTGCATGCTTAGAGTTCACCCTTGATGGACATCAACAAGAACTGGAATTCCAACTCCAGGACATCAAACCTGTCTTTTGGGTCGGCGACATGGTTCAAGTGGTAGCAGGCGCTTACACAGGTTTAGAAGGGTACATCATTAAAAAGTCTGAGGACTTGTTTCATGTGTGTCAAGAGGCCACCAATGAAGAGGTATGGGTGAATATAACGTCCTATAACCCTGTCTGACATTACATAGGTGGAAGTATCTAAATACTACTTAGATTGTCACCCTCTAACTCATGTGCTTCAATCCCAGCTGCCAACGCAGCCAGATTTCGACCCTCTCCCCAAGCTCAAATCTCTTCAAATCAGCAATGACATAGAAGTGTGTGCGGGAGAGTACATGGGACAATGCGGGATCGTGATGTGGTTTAGTATGGGAGAAACTACGCTGTGGTTTTGGGCTAGGGGCGTCATCCAGGACCAGCTCATCAACATCCCCACGGCATTCGTACAGCACATCCACCCCTTCAAGACTCTCCAGTTTACCAAGGAAAGGGGTTACGATGTTAGGCCAGGAGATGTTGTGATTGTCGCCTGTGGGCCAGAGTTCCAGACAAAAGGGGTCATGCAAACCATGGACTTTCCAAATGTGCGTCTGACCCTGATATCTGAGGGTGATTGTGCACTCATAAGTACTATTTTCCTTGAATTGACCATGTCTGAGTTATGACAGGTGGACGTTCCTATTGGATTCGTCATGAAAGTATCCAATTTGAACATGGATTTGTTTCGCGATGTCATCGGGAAAGAAGTTTTCATTATCGGAGGTGCATGGAAGGGTTATCAAGCCACGCTATACCAACTCGGTCAGGAGACTTGCTCCATTGCTGTGCATGGGCAAGCATGCACCACAGTCAAACATGAGGACATTGCTACTAGGTGAGCACAGAGCATACTGTCTTTTCCATTTTTATTCATGACTGTTTAAGGTATGGCATGAGGTTAAACGGGTCAATACTCGAAGGACTAGACATGATCTCCTTCTGCGACATGCAGAGGAAATCGCACCTAACACCCCAATGTCAAAGCAAGACCCCACCACCTGACCCCGTAGTCCCATCCAGTTTCAGTATGGATCCCAGCTCCAGCAAGTGGTCCACCTGGTCTAGTTACAACAATTGTGATCCGACAGATAACCTTTCTGACGTCAAGGCATACAACCCCTGGGTTGCTAACAATGCAGAGGATATCGAGGACGCCATTGCAGACAGAAAGGAGAAGCAGTGAAATGACAGTAAGTCTCCAATGTAAACTCCTTAACATTTGGCTTATTTCATTACAGGCCCCTTACCTTGGTTGATCAACAAGGAGTTTGCATTGAAGTTGACTCAATATCATGTGGTGCTTAAAGTATCACCAAGTTTCATGGGAGGCAGGCTGCATAATCGTTTTGTATCCACAGCTTGTCCTGACCCATTCTGCAGTGACAATGGACCCGCACCTGATGGCTGCATTGCAGTGTTTTGCACATCCAACAGTGCTGGAGCCGTGCTTCAACACTATCATATTAACATTAGTGATTTAAGTCCAGCTCCGCCATGCAAAAAAAACCAAAAGTGTCTCATTCTGGACAGTGATTCTTGCGGTGAGATCCTAACTATCGCAAAGTGCAACATGAAGACACTGCAGGCATTTTCCTATGTTCCTCCACCAAACATCCAAAAAACATTGATTGAGAAGATAGAAATTTCCCCTTATTTTTTGTGTCAAAACATTGAAAAAAAGTAATTCATGTTTCAATGATGTTCTGTGTGTGGGACATGACACAAAAATTAATCATGTTCCTTCAAGGATCATGCTATATTTTCCATCTATTGTCTTTAAAATAACAGCTTAAAATAATGTTAATTTTCTTCTCTGTGTGTTTCAAATATACACAGAACATTTGAAAAACATAGTATATTTAAAGAACACAGAGAAGAAAATTAACATTATTTTAAGCTGTTATTTTAAAGACAATAGATGGAAAATATAGCATGATCCTTGAAGGAACATGATTAATTTTTGTGTCATGTCCCACACACAGAACATCATTGAAACATGAATTACTTTTTTTCAATGTTTTGACACAAAAAATAAGGGGAAATTTCTATCTTCTCAATCAATGTTTTTTGGATGTTTGGTGGAGGAAAATGGGAAAATGCCTGCAGTGAGAAGAATACCATTGATATTGCAATTACTGCTAGGACTAGCTTTACTTTGCAATTTGATCAGGTATGCCTTGTAGAGGAATGCAGATTCCAATAAATCTCGATAGATCTCGATAGACATCTATATCTCTCACTGCTCTCAGACTCCCTGTAGTCCCTTGTATGCTACATACCCAATATGAATACCAACAATTTCCCTGATTGCCCAATGAACACCCAACAAGTGCCCTATGAGTGCCCAATGAGTGCCCACATCATTTTTCCCATGCTAAAAGTTCACATTTTACCTATTCATTTTATCTTGCAAAAAATTTCATTGTGCCTGCAATTGGAAAATGTTCATTGTTACTTGATATTTTGAGGCACATTTTCCCACATTCAAAACTTTATAATTTACATGGCTCAAAATGGTGTGCAAAATGTAGAATTTTGCCCAGGATTTTGGCACTCATCAGGATTTAAATTTTTTCCTATGTCAAAATGTATAGTAAAAATGCCAACTTTATCACTAACATTTTGAAACAAATCTTGCATGGTGAAAAACTCCCAAACCACTGGTGTGTTACTTCATGTAGTGTCCAGCAATTGTTGTCTCATTACACCAGCAAAAGGCAACTGCATTTATCAAGGAAATACTAGGGATGGTTTTATCAGTGGAGATTCTGGTTGTAGTCGGAGGAGATAAATCTTCCATCAGAGTGACTACTGCAGTGTGTGAAGTTGACTTGGTGCATTCTTGAGCTGAATGGCCAGGTCCGCCACAGAATAGGCAGAGTTTATTATCCATCTGCCTCTTAAGCTCTTCAGAAGTTAGCTTTCCATCTTTACCTAGCTTGGAGGTAAGATACGGAGCTTTAGAAGTGGAGGAGGATGCGGGAGTAGCAGGTTTGTCAGATTTGTATCTCAAGGATCTGGATGGGTTGGAATTCATCCAGTCAGACATGGGTTGCTTAGGTGGATTAGAGGTGGTGGGTTTGGTTTCTCGGGCAACTTCTCCCTTCCATTCCCAGTATCAGGTGTCAATGGTCTGGGCAAGGATCTTGTATTCAGAAAGGGTGGAAGGTTTACCCATGCAACTGATTTCATCTTTGATGTGAGCTGGAAGTCCATTATAGAATTGGCATCTCAGGGCACTGTCACCCCAGCCACGGACTTGTGAAGCAAGACATTAAAACCCTACAACATATTTATTAATACACTGTCCGTCGCGCATGTGGAGCTGCTCAAGCTGCATTTCCATGTCACCGGATAGATCGTGAGGTCCAAAATTGGTTTGTAGTTCTAACATGAACACAGAGTAATCATCCATCCAATCCGGACAATCATCAGAGTCATCAGATAGGAGGTCTGGTTTAAACCACTCGAGTGCCATACCCTTAAGGTAGGATTGGGTGAAATTGACTTTTGCCCGTCTGGTATGGAAAGACTTAGGTTTGCTTTGGAAATGGAGCTCGCATTGGATGAAGAATGCATGAAGCTTCCGAGGTTCAGTACCATCGAAAGTGTCGGATTCACAGATCTTGACTTTGGAGTCTGCAGATGAGGTGGTATGATGATTGTTGCATGCAAGGTTGTCAATGGCTTCAGAGAGCCAGAGCATGATGTGGTGTAGCACTCGAGCTCGCGCTAGGCTCATATTCAGTTATTCCATGATCCACGTCAAATGCCCACTGCACAATAATCACTTCCCGTTCAATCCAACACTTTGACATCAGACCCAACACTTTGACTAGTGGACCCGACATTTTCCCGTGCACTTGTCCTATCCGTGTCCCGTCCTGTCTTGCTAGCCCCACTAGGTGCGTAGTTGATTATTTCGCACATTATTCACATCGTAGCAAGCACTATTACATGTTTTCTCATAGTCCACAGTGCCTCGTGTTTATTTATATGTATTTCAGACCCAAAATATTTGGCTGCTACTTTCGCCTATGGGTTCCGCATTTCTATGTACTTACATATATATGGGACTGAGATCAAGCATTATTCAGGATCGAGGTGGTAGGGAGCCATTTCCTGACGCTTTGTGGTCAAACCCAATATTTCGTAGTTCTTAGTTGACATTGTGAATATTACTGCTCTTTCTATCCAAAATACCCATCATTATTAATATTCTCTGCATACCGCTCGCTTTCCCGACATTCGCTATCATTATCATTATCCTCCGTAATCCGCACCCAAAACCCACTAGCCCACTAACCTAAAAACGTCGGACTTGTGATTATACCTTTGGACTTTGTTTCCTGCACTCAGACTTTTGATCACTTATCATTTCGCTACCTTCAGACTTATTCCAGATAGCTAACCCCTCGGGTCGAACGCACTTGTCTAGCAAGTATAGCAGACTAGGCCATGCAAGACCACAACATTTTTATATTGCTGGTTACTTACTTCGTGTAGTGTCCAGCAATTGTTGTCTCGTTACATCGGATCGGATCTAAGGTCCAAGGTCTGGATGAGAAGTGTGGATATATGGGATATGACACTGCTTTCCAATGCTATCATTGTTGTTATACCTTCATTTCTAAGAAGCACTTGAAACTAATACTACCAACTATGATTCCCAGGCTTTTGAGATATATGAATTGATGCAGAATCTCAGTATTTTGATCATATTAATCCTGGAAGTACCCTCTATTCATAGGATATGTATTAGCCCACCAAAAGAAATGTTTTTGAAGTTTGAAACCTATTTCTGTTTTGACCATATAAATTTAACTGAGGATCATTTGTGATAAGATATATGCTTACCATTTAGGGCACAAAACTACTTCTATTTGGTCATATTTGGTAGTTGGTCTGTGCACTGCTCAATTTATATATTTAAGCTAGTGTAGTTATTCCAAAAAATCATTATCTTTACTCATCAGCATCACTTTGATCTTCTCACTATATTGCTCTTCATAGACTTCATTGTCCAAGTAGGCATTTATATTGTCATAGTGACTTATAGCTAAATATTTTATTTCACACCACTAGACTTCTTCCTGCAGACTCTACTTCAGCAAAAAGCACATTTCATGACTTCCTCAACAAGGTAAGCATTTTTATTACTGTAAAGCTTATATGTCTGATGTTATATAGTAGGAAAAAAAGAAAAACAACAGCTCTTGGCCTTGATATGATGGCTCTAGTCATCAAAGAGGTTTCAGAAAATTCAAAATTTCTTGAGTTGTTTTCCAAAGCAGCACATCCTTATTCTAGAGCAGTCTTTGAGATAGCTCTGATAAGAATATGGAAGAAACATTCTGGCCAGTCAGAGTCTTCTAGCAGGGATTATTTTTCAGATTTTATTGTGTCTTGTGGCAATAGGAGATTATCTGATGATCTTGCTAAAGCTCTAGACATTTTTATCAAGGAAAAACATGCCCAAAAGTTGGGCAAAAATCTATTAATCAGGCAGCTTAGGCTGGATCTTTCTACTTCTGCCAGAAACAACTTTTTGGACAGCATTCAGAAAATCACACTATCCTGTCTACAAACACCCTATCCTCCCAAGGGCCATTGGATCTATGAAGAAGCTGCTGCCTACAACTGCTGGAAAGACTGGATTGTCTCTGGTCACCAACCAGATTCTCGCATACCTCGCAAACCTCTTCTTCACATTAATCCCTCTAACCTCCAACTAGTGGTGCATGAAGCAGAAAGCTGCATTATTAGGGATGCAGCAGATTCCAGCATCATTGCGGTAGTAATGCGAAATTTCTGTGGCCATCCTGGGGTATTATCTTGGGTTGATGAAGTCATCTGTGATGTAGTGCAGGAAAAAAAAAGCATCAGGGTATGTTGGTTTTTTTTAATTAGAGCATAACTAATATACACACTTTAGCTTGAAGATCCAGGCATTCTTGCTCAGATAGGATATTCTGCAGGATCCCGCTCTGCATCCAAATTTGACTGGGTGAAAAACCTGCTGACAACCAGACTCTCTTCTGATGAGGTGGATGCACTGGACTTTAGTTCAAGTTCAGTTTTTGCACTGTTTTGGAATATGTGCAAGGCTTCACTGCCCCAGGAAATCATTGGTGATTTCTGCAACTTTCTGGAGGCCAACAATATCTGCCGCATGGACAGAGTAGGAAATTCTACCAACAACTTGAATCCACTGGGCCGATATGTGGTTGGAACAGGAGAGAATGGTGTCTACTATGAGTTTAATGGGGTGGAAATGGCACCTCCAGCTGGTGTCTTTGCCTTAAATTATTCTAGGTATGTTTGATTTTAATGGTTGATAAATCCATTAATTATTACATTAGGGCAACTCATTCAGAGATCCAGCCTCATAAATTTGCTCTTTCATGGACAACCAACCGATCACCTCAAAGTATTGGTGGACACTTTTATACCAGCTCTCATGGTATTCAGATTAAAAGTGCTTCCAATACTCTTGTGGTCTGGCAGCCAAAGGATGTTCATGGCACCAGTCTTCAAGTTCGGAACCCTGATGATCCCAATCCAGCCTTCATCCAGACTGGAATGGCTATAGTAACTTCAAATAGACTTCCTAATGCATGGAAAAAGTACAGGGACACTAATTCCGGAATCACTCAATTGCAGTTGGAGCTACAAGGGGAGGAAGTAGATGACACCCCAGACACTTACCCTACTACTTAGTGGTATTTGTACTCCCACCTAGAAGTTTGCACTGCACATACATGACCAAATGGTCACTATCCAAGCCTTCGTGTTGTGGCATTGAGAAATATCATTCTGGCAATGTAAAAATTTAGTCGAAGTTTGTTGTTGTTGTCGATAACAGTAGAGGTTAGTGGCTCAGGCCATTGGCTTTGGCTTTTGAGAATTCCAGCCCAGGCCAAAGCCCTTGGTCAAGCCATCAGTTTAGCCCAGCTTAGCTCGGCCCACGGCTTGAAGCCGAGCCAACTTCTCATTGGTACCGTTAATGTTGCAAGTATCAACATATCACTTGCTCTCTCGCTCTCTCACTGACACTGACAATGTCTGCTGTCTAGAGACGAAAAAACAGACTTGAACACACAAGGCATCTCAAGATGGTTCAGGAAACAGTGCACACCCCGCTATTTGCTCAGTGACAAGTCATTTTTGGAAGTACGTGCCGTGTTTGCAGTCCTTCTCATTCATTATAAGTTACAGCAGTCACATTCCAGGCTGATGCTGCACGTTGTCCTGACTAGTTTGGTGGTGTTGACCAGCTCTCACCAATATTTTTGCCGGCATGGGAAGCTCATGTTGACGTGAGTGATCACCATTTCTATTGTGTAGTTACTATCTAGACCTCTGCTCTCAGTCCTCCCCAATGGGTGGTACACACTCAGATTCCTCTGCAAATGCACTCCTCGCTCCTCCACCGCTCTCCACCCAGAAATGGTGAAACGACCAAACTTTCGCAGCCTTCAATGCCTTCGGTGTTCCATCCACATGGACTCCTCGCTCGCCTGTCGTTAGTCATTCACCGCTCTTCGCCTGAAAATGAAGCGCCGGACGAACTTTAGCAATCTTCCACGCCTTTGCAGTTAGATCAACATATGATCCTAGCTCGCCTTTCCTCAACCTCGATTTAGCACTGACGAAGAAGCCAAATCTCATCCCACAGCGCCCCTGCGTTCGCATCCAGATGCCAGCCATCTTCACTCTTGCACTGTCAACCCCACATCAACAAGGAAATCGAATTCCTCCAATGCCCAAGTTGTCCTCGTGTTGTTGACGTGGCTGCAGTGCATGACGAGCATTTCGCTATTCAATTTCGCAGCAATCGGTAACAACCTTCCAGGTGGTATGAGCGACTGTTCTAACATGACTGCTGCATTCTCAACGAATCATCTCTTAGCTCCGGCGCTCATCTGCAACACAGTTGTATGGAAGCTTTCACCAGCAGTCACGTATTCCAACTACTTGGTCTACCAGATCCTCGCGGAGGCCAGTGTTCCACCCGGCGTCATCCAGTTCATTCCCAGGCGACTTCCAGGAGTCGTCGCACAGGCGATATCGCACCCCAACTTTGCAGCACTCCACTTCACAGCACCTTTATATTCAAGAAGATATAGCAAGACATTACAGCAAACCTGGACAAGTACAAAGGGTATCCAAGAATCGTCAGCAAGACAGGAGAGAAGAACTTCCATGTCATCCACAAGCCAACATAAATTCGAAATGCAGTTTTACAGAGCATTCGAAGCGATTTTGAGTATCAAGGTGCGCATATTGTGTGTGAGTGACACGCAATATTGACAGGCATGTGCAGGCAGGTTGAAGGCCGTTTCTCCTTAGTTCTACGTGAACGGTACCTTCGAGATGATATATCTTGCGGCGTCAACGGCTGTAGGGCATGTAACACGACAGCGCAGACTGTCCTTTCGCGTTCCGGGGACACCACCCACAAAGATTTCCCCACAGGGCATTATATTTTGTCTGATATTAATGTGTTTCTTGCACAGGTATGCATACGAGTACGAGGTCGTGCACGGCGCTGATACTTTACAGATGGACTTGATCGAATCCAATTACCACGCCCCCCATCATCATCCTACAAACCGCTATGGAGGAAGTCCGTCACTGGTCATTACCCTTGTATAGTCGCCTCAAGGCCCTCACGACAACTGACGAGCGGAAAGTATGGGTGTTTTACAATGAGTTCAGGTCGTGAGTCATCTTCACGAATGCACCTATATTGTCAAGTTTTGCCCTGTTGCGGTTAACAATATGTTACTTCGCCTCCTGTTCTGCACCGAACCCAGTCCTTGGTCTTGAAGTCATGTTCCATACTATCCTTCAAATCTTGGTGTTCTCATGAAGTGTCGCAAATGTCCCCCATTACTGACATATGCGTCATAGAGAGACTGCTATCGTGCGAGAAGACCACGAGACGCCGAACGACCGGAATGATCGAGGTTGGTGATGCTCAGATTTGTATCTTTGGATATACGAATAAAAACCACACAGGCATCAGGAAAGCCGCAGAGTGGTACAACGCGCATCTCACACTAGCACACCCTCTGATCCGAGGTCAACCAAATGTAGCGCTGCCAAAGGTTGTGTCGATCACAGACGACTTTGCAAATCGCCAAAAAGCAGACAAGGAGAAAATTCCATGCATTTCAGGTATGTATCGTCTGATATATACTTTGCGTCGCTTTCTCAAAGAAGTCCTGAAGTGCACAATTATGTGGACGGGATGAAAAACTCGGATCAACTTCTCGATCTACTTTCGGCGACTGGCTCAGACGAAGTGGAACCTACCAGAGCTGTTGCAGGGCATACTGTGCTCTATGTTGATGTGCGGTGGGTATGGCTTTGCAATTTCTTGACACTTATATCGCGTTTTACAGCATCTTCCTATGTCTACCCTCGTAGCGGGAGTCAAAGCTGGTCAACTTCATCAAGGTCACTTCAACGCAAATCAATATAACTACCTCGAGGTTTGTGATGAATGCATCCGCTCGTGCCAGTGCTGATTTCTTCCAGGGTACCGTTCCTGTCCCTGCGTTCACGAAACCTGTCCTTCTAGTGGGCAGGGAACATATGAACCGAGCGGTTCAGGGTGATGTCGTGGCGGTCTAAGTGTTCAATGAAAGAGAATGGAAAACACCGACTGACGAGGTTATTGACCAATTTCAACTCCGGCAGTGTTTCCCGAGATACCTTCGGGCACTACGGTCTTGCAAGCCCAATCTATACACATTTTACCAGTCCTATCCGTCGCTTCCCGGGTATGTAGCCCGTGCAACGCTCGTCACTTTCCTTTTATTTACATCTACATTTCTCAGATATCCTCGTGCACCGCCAGCTTGCTGCCGCTATTGGTTATACACCACTACATCCATCTCTTCACTCCAAAATGCACGTTGAGCGCATCATGGAAGTTGTTAACAGGCGCCACCGGATGGCACAAATGGCGGGTCGTGCCAGTGTCGAATTATACATTGGGCTGGCCCTCAAAGGTCGTAATGAGAGAAAGGGAGGTGACCGAGGATGCCTTTGTCATTAGGACATTCCGGAATGGTCTCGGGGTGTTTGTGTCCAAGTATGTTCCATTCATGGTAGCCCGATTCGTCCATGCACTTACAAGATCGCAAAGCGAACACCTCAATCATCGTACTTGTATGGAACTCTGAGCTTTAGGGAATCATGAGCAGTATGAAGCAAGTCGAGGATAGGTTCAACGGGAAGTTCTAGTATCCTTACATCTTCCTCAATGGCAAGCCCTTTATGCTTGGATTCTTGAAGCCACTAACAGGCTATAAAGCCACATACGGGCCCTAACCAATGTCACAGTAGCGTACATGTAGCGTGACGATTTCCAGGTAGCGTTCCGTGCGTATGCTAAGTTATCATTGCTACTTCTGACTAACTGCTCCTAGATGCCGGAATATGTGTCACTTTAACTCTGGCGTATGTGATCGTAATACCTCTTGGCGAGTTCATAGCTCTTCTATCGACATGAGCTCTTGCAGGAGTACTGGTACTATTGGAGAGTCGAGTGAGTAGACGCAGCCGAAGGAGATGCGATGTAGCTTACTTTCCCCAATCAGGCCAGACATCCAGCTTTTCTGCGACGTGGACTACGATCCCTTTCTCATGATGCAAGACCAAAACAAGGTGTGTGGTAAATCAAATGATGCTTTCACTTATACACCAGTCTCAAACATCGGCAGGCTTTACCATAGCAATATCCAAAATCCCAGCTACCATCCCAACGCTATGGAACGTTGTAAAGTGTAAGCGTATTATCAGCCATCTGTGATGTTGGACTCGCCCAGGTCACTTTTCTTTTTCTTTGCTCGGGCACTGCATGACAGCTAGTGCGATTTGGTCAAAGTACGTATGTCAGAATATTGTGGTTGGCGTCTCACTGATACTTCCCAGGTGCGCTTGATACCCTCAGCACTTGTTATCTCCCTGCTATGCACATACTCACCCCGTAAGTCTCTTTATACTCAATATGGTTGAATCATGCGTCTGGCCCGTTCTGCTCCGTTCTTATGTACGATCCTTAGCCATTCGACGGAAAGGGCTCGACTCGGATTCATAAGTAGACCTTGTGGACAAGGGCCATCGGCGAGAAAACTATTGGTCTCCCAGGCACGCCTTGAACCAAACATGTATGTTCTTCTGTCAATTCGCTCAATATAGATAAATAATAAAACTTGGAATGCTAACAGAATCGGCGATCTGATTTCCAATAGATCTTCCCAACACAGTTTGTGTTGTCGTCCGACGGTCCCTTGTACATGCGTCTTCCAGTATTCGTATCATCATTTCTGACGCCTTACATCTATTCTAGGCAATTCTTCCTTCTCCGAACTACTTTGTCCGTCACATGGATTGTCCAAATACACGTTTCCCTCAACTTCTCAGCATCAATACACCTCGTGTCGTTCAAGCGACCGTTTGCCTGCCCTAGGAGCAACTGTGGTTGATTTATCGATGCCAATCGGTGTATGTATGTACGCATGCATGTTTTTATCTTGTTAGCGCTTCACACTGATGGTTGCGCTTAGCATGGCTTCAGCAGACCTAATCTCGAGCTTGCCATGCTCATTCGCTACAGTCGAGCGATGCATCGATGAGTACTTGAGTCCGTGAAATTCATTCATTTTTCTTCTCCGGGCTTCACACACTTCGTATTCACTTCTTCATCATTTCAGTGCAAAACTTCGAAAACCAGTAGAATCAGCTGTCTGGTCGCTTGCACAGATTATCGTCGTATTTCAATATCTGGCATCAAGTATCGTAGGCACCAAGGACCGTGTCAGTTGCTAGACAGCCTCGCACTCTGAAGAGAATGAAGATGGCATTGCCGCCTCGATGCTAGCTACATATAACATGTGTATTACCACATGGAGGCGACATCGCCGCTTCTCATCGCAGTATGACCTCACAACTCCCCTTCCCAATTTTTCCACTTCAGTTTCCAAAACTGACGCATAAATATAACTCTAACTCACTCCTCCCCTTGCAGATTGGTAGACTCGCCGATGGCGCACGCACTATGGAGATCGACGTTGATCCTGATCTCGTCCCTGGAGATATAATAGCAAGATGCCCGGCCAGCATGTGGGATGTCTATGTGAGTCGTCATTTGTTCAACGAGATTTTTTTTCCTTTCTTGCAAAGATTTTGGTGTTGTTGACTATATTCGCAAATTTTCCGTACTCAAAAATACGAGCTCGCATCTTCCAAGCATTCCACTCCTAATCTCGTCTCTCCGCAGATATTCATCTACCATCTCTTCATGCACTTCACTCATACGCCTGCACGCAGTTAGCACTTGCCTATGAGGAGGTGAATGACTATGCAAGGTCTGTTTATTGCTCTCACTTTGGGATGCGATTAGCTGCCCTGATTCTCCAGTTATTGTTGCACCGCAGTGGGGACCACAGCGACCGTTTTAGGATCCTTTCTTCGACGCCCAAGAGGAACTTCTACTTCGCAACAACAACCATCACCAGCAGATTCCCCGCCCTCTCCAACAATCCCGTCAACAATAAGACGACGAAGTTTTGTACCTCAAATAAACTCATCTTCAAATAGTAACACCGCAAGCCTTGGTCCAATCTCAAACGTTCTACGTTGCAGACGGTCAGCCGACACCGTCAACAACCAACCAACAATGCCCGCTCCACAGACCCTCCACCGAGCAACAATGTTCTCCAATAACAATAACCAAACCCACCGTATCCGCTTAGTTCCCCACCTCGACTCTCGCCGCACACTCCGCTTCGAACCCATAACCCGCGACCTCAAGGACAATGACATCCCCCTCCACATCGGCCACTTCACAGATCGCTCAGGAATAGGTCTCGCAGCAGTAAATGCTCTAAACACGAACAAACTCGCCTTCAAGAGCAAAGTCGTCTCGTGCCCACGCTGAGATCTGGGCTGACAATGGCAAATTCTATATCAAAGATACGAAATTTTCTTCAGGCACGTTCCTAGGAACCGAAGATATTTATAAGTCTGTAAAGATTAGGGTCGAGGTAGGGAGGGAGTGGCAGGCCGCTCCTAATGCTTTCAAGTGAGTTTTCCCCTATCGATTCATGTATCTCAGTTGATGTTGATCTGTGTTCTAGCACAAACGCCCTCTCACAACTCCGCTCCCTCTCCGCAGACCCCCACAGCCAACCACAAAGCGCAATCGCTCATGGCAAAAAATGAATGCCAAAGACTAACGTCCCCGATCGTTGTATCTGTGCGTCTATTCTCTCCCTTCCTTCCTTCCTTCCTTCCTTCCTTCCTTCCTTCCTTCCTTCCTTCCTTCCTTCCTTCCTTCCTTCCCTCCTTCCTTATCTCCCCGTACCACCGCACGCTATCTCACACGCTAATATAACGCACAGGCCTCTTCGCAGTAACAATCCGCCAAGCCTCATTCATAGCCCCCTGCAGTCACGTATTCCACTATAAATGCATTCGCCTTCTCCTCGAAGCTCACACTTTCGCACTCAGCTGTCCCCTCTGTCGCACATTCGCAGATCTCAAGACGTCGAAGTTGAGATCGAACCTGAACTTGAGCTCGAAGCCGAGGCTGTTTCGTCACCTGAAGAAGATGACGATGACGAGCTCGATAGAGGTGGTGGGGAGAAGGATAAGCTGGTGCCTCACATGGTAAGAGATGGAGCTGAGACGGAGGTAGAGGGCGATGCGAGGGGTCCGCACGCTAGGATACGGACTGCGTGACATGTCATCCATGCTCAATCCCAATCCCAAACACAATCAAATCCACAATGTCAATCACACCCGTACCCAACCGCCCAAACTCATCCACCCCGTGATGATGCAGATCTCGCCGAAGAGTTGATGGATCTGATAGACGTAGATTCGGACGAGGGTGAGTTAGATGCGGAGGCGTTTGTGAGGGGAGGGAGTGGTAACAGGAGCGACAACGGGAGTGCAGAGGGGATGGGTATTAAGGCACACATACATTTACATCACCTTTCCTTTCATTCTCGTTTTCATTCTTCCCCGCTGGCCCACGCTATTATCCTAATATTGTGAGTCAGGGAGGGCGGGTCACCCTAGGGCGGCGCGCTATCAGGTGCACACCTAGTACCATGTCAGTCCTGCGGATGCACCATGCGTGAAAAAGTCCGGTTAATAGTGCTACTCAACGCGCCTTTCAAGGGAGACGAGCTACCACTTCACGCCGCGGAACGTGCTAATGCAGGTAGCATGCCAGGAGAGGTGAGAGCGAGCTGTGGAGGGTGTGGTGCGCAGATTTGTAGGCAATCGAGCGGTCCAGGCATCGACACGCAAGGCCGATGAAGAGGATAAGCGCACTGACACGAGTGAATGGCAAACATTCCATTCTTTATACCTGACGATCCCCTACCAGACTTCCGTGAATACGCACCATCTTTCGCATCGCTGTTGCCAATTTGTCTGCAGACGTCACTTCTGTCGAGTCTGCGCACTTGGCCAGGAAGGCTGACATATATTGCACGGCTGTAAATATTTAGCCAAAGATGTAGGCGGCAGTACTAAGGTATAAACGTAATCAAAAAAGTGATTACCCGGTTAATTTCGGCAAAATTAGAATCACATACCACCCGCAACAAACGCTCGACCTCGCTAAATTTGTTCACCATCCGGATATAGAGGGGGAGGAGGAGGTAAGTCATCCATACCTTTTTTTCCATTGCACCGGCTGACTTCAAACGTTTGTCACCTTACTCTACGCACCTACAGCTCGCTCCCACACTACTTCGTTCATCTCCCGGCTCCATACTACTCGACCTATACTATTCATCTGTTCTTCTCACCTCGTACACTTGGTTCCAACTCGAAGCTCAGCGTCACAATCTTGTCATCATCCATCTTCGCGTTCACACTCGCTCTCCCCATCTCACACTACCCTGAGATTTCCATCCAATCAGTCTCACTTAAGCTCTGCGCACGGTTTGGCTTCGATATGCATTTCCGCCTTGCGGCTGCAGTATTCAACCACCCTCACTCGATATCTCCGGTTGAAGAGGGCAGGTCGTGAGGACTGGACGAAGGTTTCGCGTCATTCACTGGCCTACTATACTATCCATACACCCTGGTTCAACGTCCTCGTGCAGCTGGCGAGCCTCATTCGTGCACCTGCCGTTCTTGACCTCTCCACACTCCTGCAGGATGATCCTACACGCTCATCAGCGAGAACGTGTCTCTCATCTCTGGTGGCCAACTTGAAGCTCAGCGTTTGCAAGTCGCACGCACGCTTGGACGACCTGCCAAGATCCTCATTTTTGACGAGTGTACCTCAGCACTCGATCTAGCCAACCAGACGGCTGTCCTGGAGACGATACTATCACTGGTCCATTGCTCCACGGACACAAAATCGATTTTTTTCGCCCCCTTCCTTCCACAATTTGTACAGACACATCTATCTCATCTTGTAGTCCTCGAAATTCTGCACTCCCCGCACGAAAACCCGGATCAAAATAATCAAGGTTGTCTTGTGTAGTACCATGCGCCAAAAGTTTCCTTTTCCCACTCCTTCTCGACTTCTTACTGGCCTGCTCTCCATTCGCCACGACCTCCAGGCACCTCAACATGTTCTGGACTTGTCAAGTCGCACACAACGATGATCCCGCGCGAAAAATCGCGCCGCCCGCATGTTTTCTTCCCAAGTTATGGCCCGAACTTTGTTCTTGGTGGCCTTACTGGGAGGAGGCACAGGTAAGCTCATAACTTTTTTTCAACGCACTCTCTGACCTCAACTATCTATCATCCTAATCTACAGTGCCATGTGATGTCCCCGCGCAAAAAATCTTGCCGCCCGCATCTTTGATTCTCAACTTATGGCCCGACCTTTGTTCTTGTTGGCTTTCCAGGAGGAGGGTAGGTGAGCTCGTATCCTTTTTTCACGTTCGTTTCTCGTACCAATATGTTCAAATCTCACACTAGGCACTCTAATACACTCCCCGCACCACTCATCTCTCTGACCGCACCACTCATCCGTCTGTTATGGCCTGATCTTCATCCTGGGTCAGTTACAGGGAGAAGGTGACTTAGGTGACCTTTTTCCCTGGCGTCTAGCTGCTGCAAACTGACCCTTTTCATGCCTAGGGACTACCTACACGAAGAATTTCGGTCCCCACACGTCTCCTTCAATGGCCCACAGCCTCACGGCACTTTCTTTGCCCCCTCCGCATCTTGACTCTCGTGCACTCATGCGGATCCTGGTGTTAGTCTCACTCCCAATTGTTTTCGGCCGTCGTTCACGTCAATACATCCACGTCTGTCACATTGGGGACTGCTTCTGCATGGGTCCGAAAGTGTTTTGCCAAGTAGGGTGGGTCTTTTCTTGTCATTTCGTCCTTTAGTGTAAATACGATCAAGTATGTCTCTACTTGACATAATGTTCTTAATGCCATATTCATTATCTCATAGACTTCCGAGACATCGACTGGTTCTGGCTTTGCTACCTACGTCAATCCCAAGGGCACCTCACGTCACTCAATAGCGTCGTTCTCAAGACTGAAGCCGAAATCGGCGATATCAAGCGCGCCCGCATTCTTTTTGACTTTCTCGTCAAGTCAAATCCTAAACACGCCCCTGGTTAGATTGCAGCTGCATGTCTGGAAGAACACGCTGGCTGTATGCTGCAGGTGAACTCATACAAGCGGGTTGCAAGCAGTGTCCAGGATGTATGGCCGGAGGCAGCAAGATTATATGTACGTAAGCCCTTCGTGGTACCCTCTGCATTTTTGCTGATATTCTTTCCAGCATCCCCAACTCCGTTCGGCTACGAAACGAAACTGTCAATCTTGAAGAATCAGCGACAGCCGCACGTATATTACTCTCCCGCACCACGGAGGTGATGCTTCTTTCCGCCGAGCTCTGGTTTTCTCTTACCCGGCTCGAAATACCTGAGCGCGCCAAAGCCGTCCTTCACAAGGCCCTGATGGCGCTTAGAGATGCAATTTCGAACCTCGATGAGATATCCCCTCAAGTATGATCCTGTCTACCGGACTTTTGCACGCATGGTGCATCCGCAGGACTGACATAGTACTAGGGTGACGGGGTGACGCTTGCATGGGCGCGCCCGAAGGAAAGGCCCATAGATCATCCATGGTTAGCATACGCAAGATGGGGAACCGAGTATGGTGCGTGGAACCTCCGGCATGTGGATCTGTATGTGCTGAATCGTGACGCAGGGGAAATCGTTTACTCCCGACTCTTTAGTCAGGATATCGTGATCATCAACTCCGAAAGAGTTGCGCATGACTTGCTCGACCGTCGTTCATATAACTATTCCACGAGACCCCCAGGGCTTGTGCACCTTCTTGTCTTGTGAGGCCCTTCTATCGTTGATGTTCCTATTGGCAAACGAGTCCTAGTTTTGGTCATGACTACTCCTCTACTTTTCTACCCTACTCAGACAAGTCGAAACTTCGTTAGTATATTGTCCCTTCGAGCTCTCTCATCGCACTTATCATTTCTTTACAGACAGGCGAATCCTCCATGAAGCATTACATTTAAGAGCAATGTCATCCTTCCGTCCGATTCAAATGCGCAATACTCGCAGTTTAATATTGTAAACCTACTAACCTCTCCGGAGGTGTATGGAACCCATCTTCACACGTTAGTAATCTCTCCTTTCATGTATTGCGTGGCTGAACCATACTTTCTATGCAGCTTCAGCACATCTATCATCATGTCAATCATGTATGATTATGCTATAGCGCCCGTTGATGATCCCTTCCTTGCGCTCGTTGAACGCTCACTTGAGATAGATGTAAAAGTATTCAGGCCCGAGGTCGCAGCTGTTGTAACACAGTTCCCCATAAGTGCGTATAACTTCGATCAGCTGCAGTTATATTCTAATGCACTCACAGTGGAAAAACGTCCTCCTTGGCTCCCTGGAGCGAGCTTGGTAAGGGATGCTATAGTTCAGAGAACCCTCACTCCCATGATTGTGGACATGCCCTTTGAACATGTGAAGAACAACATGGCAAGTTTCAAGTGCCTTTTGATCGGAGTATTATTTAGATGAGACTCATGATGATTCTCAGGCCGCGGGGACGGCTGCACCATCCGTGGCGTCGGATGCATTGAAACGTATACCAGTTAAAACACAAGATGAAGGGAAGGCCGCTGTTCTTGAGAAAGGGATTAAGGAATCCAGTGCAACTGGTTATGCTGGTTCGTGACAAATCTGTAATGGTCATTATATCTCTACTCATTTTCTCCGTGCTCTTAGCTGCCTCAGGAACTGTATACTTTGACGCGATTTCTATTTTATTTGTATGCTGACCAAAGGCCCAGACGACGTCCACTTCATACATCTTCCTGCTCGCGATGGTTCTATATCCCGAGGTGCAAACGCGTGCGCAAGCAGAGATTGATTCCGTCCTTGAGGAAACTCTCGAAAGATTGCCCGACTGGAATGATCGCGCTTCCATGCCCTTCATCAATGCCGTCATACTGGAGACGCTAAGGTGGTTCCCTGTCGCCCCCCTGGGTCAGCACTCTTGACTCGTCGAATTCCGGTTAGCATGGTCACTGATTGTGGATTTAGGCGTTGCACATGCCACGGTAAATGACGACATCTACGAAGGCTACTATATTCCAAAAGGTCAGTCTATGGACTGAGAGACCTATCCCTCTTCTAAAACTGTTTCTTAAGGGGCTACTGTAGTACCCAATGCATGGTGATTCATCATATCAAGTGAACAAAGATCAGACATAATCATTTCTTCTTATGCAAGGTTTATGGCACGCAATCCAGATAAATATCCTAACCCAACGAGGTTCATACCCGAGCGTCACATGTCAAAAGTTGCTGTCGAAGAGCCGTCAACACATGGCCCTGCCAGTGATGATATTTCCTTTGTTTTTGGATTTGGAAGGCGTATTTGGTACGAAGTTTGGAGTTTTGCGGATAGACGGGTTTGCCTCACCTTTCAACAGCGTTGGACGGTCGCCGATGCTTCTTTATTCGTCGCAGTTGTGAATATTCTAACTGTTTTCCGGTTGGAACGTGCGCCAGGATGGAATGTCGGGCCTGATGCTGAAGGAGTGAAATGGACGGCAGGCTTAACGACGTGAGTCATCTTCGAGAATCCCTGTATTTTATCTGAGCCACCCGATGCAGGCACCCTGTATTCCCGTGCATATTCACCCCTCGCCACACGAAGGAAAGGGTATCGCAGTTGATAAAAATGCAATGCTAAGAGCTGCGCGGATATGGTTCTGGGGGTGAAATCATGTATTACCTTTTTTTTGTGTCGTTGGCTTTCGTTATCCGTCAGCATATTCAAGTTTGCTCCAGATTTATTATGCAACATGGGAAGAAGCCCGCCGCCTGCCAAATAGAGGTTAAATGTAAGGCGAGTCTGTTGCATCTTGTGCACACAAGGATCTATGGGCCTTTCCTCTTCGGGCACGCCCCTGCAAGCGTCACCCCTGCGCGGATCTGACTTTCGCGCGAAGAACTAGTTGACAGGATTTGGTCGCAGGCCAATGCCCAACCACACACCACCTAGCATATCGGCCCTACTCTGGCCTTCAATTTGACGTCTCTACTATTCTTACCCCGTCGTTTGTTTCATCGAGCAGCATTTGTACCATAGTACTTGCATACATTATTTGACACGTGCAACTTATGGATTCATTATATATTGAGATTTTAAACTCTAGAACCAGGTTGGGTGATTAGATCATCAATTATGCTGCGGTCGACCGGGATATTGGCTTTATGCAAGTAATCGTCATTCCTACGCAGATGTTAATGTCTCTCCAACCAGACATGACGTTTTCTTACCAGAACTGATGACAGCCCAGGCACAAACACGTTCTGAGGGCAGAGGAATTTGTTGTATTACTTACTTAGACTTCTGCCAGGTGCAAATAGTATATATCTAACATATGTAAGTACGAAACGTCTGATCCCGCAGAACCAATTCGCATGTGTGCGCTCCACCTGAACTCCACTGGAGCTGATCACAGCGTTGAACACTGACATTCTCTCCGCATATATATATGAAATATACAAATGTTTCGCCTTCAGACCAGGCAGAAATAAAAGTGCAACAGATCAACCTAAGCACTAAAAGACTCTAATCTATTTACAAAAATGCCCTTTAAATCTTGCCCACTGGCCAGGAGGGCTAAGTCAATTGCACTGTGGTCACCTGAGTGCTGGTAGTGATACCGCAAACCACTCACGTTCTTGTATCGGCGCGGACAATCACTGACACCACAAGCAAAGGGCCTAAGCCTGCATTCTACTTCCCATTCTACTTCTCGCATCTCATCCTCGGTGATACCCTGATCTTCCTGCCCAGCAGCCTCACGGGCAGACTGCTTGCTAGCCAGTAGTGCCTGTACTTGCTCGAGATCCTTAGGCGGCCCAAAGTTACAGCTGCCGCGAGTCATGTGATATTTGAGCCCATTGGCTTGTTTGTACATTTTGTTGCAATGAGGCTTAGGGCAGCGGAAGGGTTTCGATAATAGCAATGACGATGCAGGGCGAGAGAGCATGGTACTGGCATGCTGATTGGGTGGCTGTGATGAGAAAGCTTCGAAAGAAACAGGGGAACCTGATGAACATGGCGTAGCCGTGGAGGGTGCAGAGTGGCGCAAGGTGCTTGCCGAAGACGGAACATGAGAGGCTGAAGGGGTGTTGGCAGGAGTGTTTCTTGTGGAGAATACTGCCGCAGGGGGAAGGCAGCTGTAGGGACTACCCAGTTCACTGACAGGTGTGACAGGTGCATGAAGATTATCGCTGGCAGGTGGGGAAGGAACAGCGCCAAGCATTAAGGATGAGCAGTTGGAGCCCGCATAACCATCAAACACATCAGGGGCTTTTACCATACTTGGGAGACCGTTTCGAGACGGTGGGAACTTTGCTGAACCGTGAGCAGAGCGGGAAGGGAGCACAGTTGTCATATCAAATCCCGACATAGGAATATGCGGAGAGGCAGGATTCGACTGATCAAAGTGGTTAAACGAATGACTAGGATGTGACGACAGTGGGGCAGCGAGGGGGGTGTCAGGGGGTGTTGGTACATTTGACAAAGGTGTACTACCCTGATCGACATCAAGTCCCATGCCATCCGGGGCGAAGCCACCTTGATTGTAAGACGAAGGGTGTTGATGATGGTCTGAGAAGTAAGACGCAGTTGTGTTACAAATAGACCGAGGCAAAGGAGGGACAACTGGGAACTGAGGGTGACCGAACGGGTCCAGGATGACAACGTCACGGTGGACCTCTTTGAAATGCTGTAGCAAAGCATATAGGTCATCTGACTGCATACCACAACATGTGTAGTTGCGATACTGCAATAGTGCAATTATGAGAGATTAGCACAAAATATGAAGGTCACAACCCACCAATTCGTCGTCCTTGCTGAAGGCACCGAGAGTGTTCGGAATTGAACCGCGGTCACTGCCAATAGATGACGACAACGTGGCACACTTGAATTCGTTAGGACTGGTACATAGACTACTATATCAGCACATTGACACGTGTAAGTGAAGCACGAACTGACTCCAGCAGTGGTCCGAGAAGTTGACCAGGGGAACAATTACTAGTAGAGTAGAAGCGGCTTCCAAATGAGCCAACTATCCATGATATTGGAAAGCCTAGAAAGTAAGGCATCGCACTGTTGTCACCAGTGAATGAACTAGATACCATGTGGAAATTAGGGTGATTAGGAGACTGGAACACGATGGGTTGGGATGTAGTGGTCATAGTTACAGAAGCTGGAGTAAGACAGAGGATAAATTCGAGTATAGCCATCTGAAAGATCGGACTCATCTACTCGAAGCGAGTTGAAAAGTTGTTCGAATATAGTATAGGTCAGGGCAAGTGTTCGTAATATTGGCATATCCGAGAGAAACATACCGTTTTACCTAAATGCTTAACAAAGTTGCTGCGAACAGACACGCACTGCGGCAGCCTTATTACCAGCTGCATACGGCGGGCCCATGACTTGGACTCGGACTTTGAATGAATTTGTCCTTCCAATAATTATAGTGCTTCCATAGGTACGATCACATGAGTCTTATTCAGGAAAGTGAGGATCCTTGTCAGACAACTCGCAGATCTAGATCTTGTTAGACAAATTCTTAACCTTCCCTAGAAACCTACGTACTTTGCCACGGTGTCTGCCCTAGACGAAGAATGTTCGATATTTAGACACAATATTAATGGGTCAAGAGTTATAAAGTGATTCGTATGTAGTGGCAGCGGGACATAGAAGCTGACTCGGTAGTACTACGAAGTAGGAATATTATTACGCAGAAAGAAGAAACAGGCAACATAGTACTATTACTGCTGAGTAAGTGATGCAAGCTGAGCTTCAGCTGCTTGGCGACGTCGCTGCTCTGTCAAAAGTTCTGCCTGTACCCGTTGAACCTTGACACTCAAAGGCGTCTGTTTAACAATGTATGACTTGATGGTCTCTTCAATGTTAGCAACGGGGCAGCTATTACCCATGAAATCAAAAGCCTCCTGTAATGCAGGAGACATGTGGACTACGGATTTTCCTCTCTTAGACAAAACCGACTCCGGCCTACAAAACTGTGATGAGCAAGTGACCCAACTGGTAGTATGACAGAATTTGTACCTTGCAATGTACAGAAAAATGAAAGGTCGCGACACCGCGTCCAGATCCATAACCTGGTAAGGCTGTTGTCAACTTGGAACAAAAAATGTAACTTCAGGAACATACAGTATCCATGATTCTCTTGCATCGATCGCTATGAGCTTTGGTTCGCTTACGATCATCGGCAATATACGAAACTGGCGAATAATAGGCTGTCAGCGTTGTCTGCATATACAGATCCGTTACTAACCTGATCGCCTTCTTTTCTTATTAGGTTTTTTGCCTTCACATAGCGTATCATATTGGTGACTAGTATCCTTTGTGTCGGAGCTTCCACATGCGGAATCTTCATCGATATTGATATAGTCGTCCACCATGCCTTCTGGGCCAGATACAAGATTCCACTGGCGGACAATATCTTCATGTACATATGAGAAGATAGTCGAGAATGGTGTAGATTCACACACCTTCTAATGATAAACAATTGTTTGCGGGTCTTTCCGAAATTTCAGTAGAGCAGCAGTCAAAAAGACGAAGAACCCTGAGGAGATCCTCGTTCATGTCATAGACAACATCAGTATTGTCTGCTTGAGATTTATCACATTCTATCTCAATATCTGAAGGTGTCGAGGAGGACGTGGCTTCTGGTTCTGTAGTGCTGCAGCTGGGAGACTGAAAACAAAGTAAGTCAAGCAATTCCAAGTTACGAATGGTGACTACAACACACAACGAGCAATGGGACAAATGCTGGGTTTTTTTGCTTTCCTAAGGGCAGCACATGTGTCAAAACCTCAGTCTTCTACCAAGCAAAGTTAACAGTGGTAACCGTAAAACAGCTTGAGCAATGAGATTTTACCTGCCGCTTGGAGGGCCTAGCAGTGTCACTTGACTCGTGCTTGGGCTGAATCAAAGAAATCATCGGTTCTTGATATCGTGAAAACTGTAGAAGAATAATAGTATTTTCAGAAAAGCTTGCAGCTCCGCTCAAAGCACACATACGTAACTTACTAACTTATGTAGAGCCTATTCGGCAACCATGATCTGAGCAATCAACTTTCCGACTTAATCCAAGACTTAGACTCCCATGTGTACGGTATCAGCAGCGATGCTCATCGACGCCAGGACGCCATTGTGATGGGAAACTGGCTGAATGGCGAGTTGAATGAGCTTGGCATCGAAACTATGCTCGTAGATCTCGGCACGCATGAGATGCAGGGGCAGACGCTGCAGCTTGCTGCAGCCATTATCGGACGCCTGGGGAGCGACCCTGCGAAGAAGACAGTGTTGATGTATGGACACTACGACGTACAGCCTGTGAGTCCTTTGTAGCGGTATGTGTTGTGTTAAAGAGCACAGTACTGAACCGCAGAAACCAGGCACTGAAGACGGACGACTGGAAGATGGATCCGTTCACGCTTGTGGTGGACGAAGATTCAGGTCGCTTGATCGGTTGTGGCTCGACAGGTGACAAGGGCCCAATTTTGAGCTGGTTTGAATGTCCTAGAGGCACATAAGAACCTGGGAATTGCGATGCCTGCGAATTTACGATTTTGTTTTGAGGGTATGGAGGAGAATGGGAGTGAGAGGTTGGATGAGGAGGAGGTGAAGAACGGTAAGGACAGGTGGTTTGATGGGGTTGATTGTATGTGCATCGTGCGTGATCGATCGTTGCCTGCCAGTGTGGAAATGTGCGCTGATGCACGAAATAGAGTGACAATTACTGGCTGAACACCTGAACCCTTGCACTAACGTATGGGTTACGTGGTATTGCATATTTCAGCATCAAAATTACTGGGCCCGGTCAAGATCTGCATTCAGGGTTATTTGGGAGGACGGTGCACGAACCCATGACAGATTTGATCAAGCTCGTGAGCAAGCTTGTGGATCATAACGGAGACATTTTGATTCCTGGCATCGACGACATGGTCCCACCCCATGATGAGGAGGAATTGTGCGTGCTCAGACTTTTCATTGAGATCTAGATTTATTCTACGTAGGAAGCTTTACCAGAAGATGGACTATACGACAGAGGCTGCTGGTGGAAAGGCAAGTGGTCATTCTTTTGGTGATTGCTCGCATCTGACTGAATCGTAAAGATGGCACTCATCAGAAAAGACTGCAGTGCTAATGGGCCGAATGCGTCAGCCATCCCTTTCCCTGCACGGCATTGAGTCTCAACAGTCGGAGCTAAAACTGTCATTCCTCCCAAAGTGGGCGGGAAGTTCAGTATTCGGTGACTTCATTCCCCACTTCATTTAACTCCACACGCTGATTGTGGCTCTTCTCTTCGCTTCATCACTTTCGGTATAACATCTACGTGTTATCGATCTTACCAGCCTCGTTCCTCCGCAAACTCCGGAGAAGATCATACCCCTTGTCTATGCACCTCGAAGCCGAGTTTGCGAAGTTTAACAGCGAGAACAAGATAGAGATAGAGTACCTACATGGCGGTAAACCTTGGGTTGCAGACGTCAGGCACTGGAACTTTGAAGGTGCGTCTGGAACACCGATTCTCTTCCACATCATGAATTAGAAATCGTTCAGGATGTGTATAAGAAGACACCAGACTACATACGTGAGGTAAGCGTCTGTCTTCCCACTGTTGGACATTCCGCATTTTGTAATCGCTCTGTCGCCTTTCACTCAGTTGCAAATCAGAATGGAAATGTACCCCTTGTCAACTACAATGCGGACCTCTAGTACGGCGAGATCGACGTGGGCACGCCCCCCAAAACATTTACAGGTTCGTTTGATTTACTCTGCAATGCGATACGTATAACACTGACATTCTGAGGTGGTGTTCAATACTGGCAGCTCAGACCTATGTAAGTCTCAGAAATATATTCCTTCATCTCCGTGCTGACAGCAATATTCGCGCAGTCCTTCCATCTACCGAATGCAGTGTTAGTTGTGCTGGCCATACATAGCACGACCCTGCTGCATCTTCGTTTGCCAAAGATTCTGGCCAACCGTTCGTGTTGATGTACGGCGCTGGGGAGACAGCGGGCGAGGAGTACATCGATGACGTTTTTGTTGGGGGCTACGAAGTTGGTTATCACAGGTGTTCATTTCCTTTCTTCTAATCTGGTTTGTCAGGCCAAGGATCAGACTGTTGGCGCCACATGGATATATTCGCCAGAGTTCAGCGAGGACGGGTCTTTCCCCTGGCAGTCTCTCTGGTCTGGCATTCCGCGAAATATTAGAGTTCGAGGGATCTCCACTATTCCAAATGCTGGACGAAAGTGGTAAACTGCCACAAAGTTTCTTTGAGTTCAAACTAACTAGTACTACAGGAGATAGCGAATGGTCATCGAAGGCACAAATACTGATCTCCACCACTCCGGCACACTCACCTACTATGCAAACATATCTGGAGCCTCGGCCTACACGGAGGGCGTGGATACATACTGGACAAGTAAGCTTCTCATTCTTTCCTTGATTTATCATTTGATCGATACCTGCATCTGCACAGTTCCGTGTGATACCATCAATTCCACTGTGCCTACATTGACGTTCGGCAGACGTGCCTTCAAACTCTCTGCGCAGACATACAACCTCGGGCCAGACATTCTTTCCGGTGACTGCTTAGCAAGGATTACTGCGTCCTCAGAAATGGGTGCGTACAACCTGTGGTATCTTGGACAAGACAATGTTGCTCATACTCACTGTAGATTTCACGATCATCGGCGATGTTTTTCTTCAGGGCATTTATTCGGTGTTTGATTATGCAAGCACGGTAGGATTTGCAGAACTTGCTTGATGTAACTCGTGGATGCATTGATTAATACCCGAGGTGCATATATACCTCTTCGACAAAGATGCCCACGTCATCATTATGGACGATTGCGGGGCGGACACTCGTACACTGAAGCAGCTAGTGATTGATGAGGTGCTACCATAGATACTCACCAAAGAAATCCATTAACTCCCACGACGATTACAAAGCCCGTGCTCGTATCCTCGCTTATGACTTCTCTTGGGATGTCACCGACGCAAGGAAGATCTGGTGTTTCGGTCCCGATACCGCTGGCCCGAACTTGCTCGTTGATGTCACCAAGGGCGTGCAGTACCTCAACGAAATCACAGACTCTTGCGTGGCTGCATTCTAGTCGGCAACAAAAGAGGGTGTCTGCGCTGAGGAAAACATGCGTGGTATCCGTTTCAACATTCTTGATGTCACGGTAAGTACAACTTCACAACACCTTGCATTAGCATTTTCTTACACGATGACACAGTTGCACGCTGATGCTATCTACTGTGGCGGTGGACAACTCATTCCTACGTGCCGCGGTGTCTGCCACACTGTATGTTTGCTTGCTACCCCTGGTCTCCAAGAGCCGGCGTACCTCGGTACGTCCCGCTCATTTCGCATTTTTAACGGGTACTGATGTCACTCACAGTCAAGATCCAATGTCATTTGAATGACATTGGTGGTATCGACAACATGTTGAACAGGCGTCGTGGTCAAGTCTTCAGCGAAGGCCAGGAACGCCCACGTCGTCAACGCTTACCTCCCCGTCAAGGAGTCCTTCAACTTCAACACAGATCTCCGCTCGCAAACAGCCAGTCAAGCCTATTGAACTTACTCTATGGATGGCTCCCGCATCTATACTGAATCACAGAACTATCATGTGCGGGATATAAGATAATGGGGTTATGTCAAAGGGAATGGGGAACAAATATAAACCGATAGAAATGATGTAGGGCGAGAAAGAATCATGTAGTTGAGCTATGAACAAATTGATCTATACCACTGGATGTTTGTGTCCCAGCTCGGTTTCGAGTGAAAGGTTGATAGCTGCAAAGCTTCAAGTTGGAAAAGTGAAACTCAGTTGCGCTGATAGACGTAATGAAGAGGTGAAAAATCACTAGAATACACCTGGAATAAGTCTGTATCGTACTCTCTTTGACCACCTCTCCCATTCGTCTCTAAAATGCTCCCGAAGCATTGAATCTTCTTTGATACACCTTTTCCAGCAGACCATTGCAGACAATATGAGTTGGAGCACCCACAATGTGAACATGACACGTCCGAAGTAAGTGGAGAGCCACCCAGATGAGAGCACAAATGAACCGGGGCTTGCATAGATGAGTGACATGCCGCATAAGATGATGCAACTAGCTGCATAGCTAGGGTGGCGCACAACGTCGTATGGACCCATAGTGACAAGAGTGTGGTCCTTGCATATGCTGAGCCAAAAAGTGAAGTGGCGCCCCATCACCCGGAAACACCATATGCGCCCCAGGCCGCCGATAATGACCAGAGTTGTTCCAAGTACGAAGTATCTGTTTAGCATCATATCCGGAAGCTGTCCACTGCGAACCAGATTAGAGAGGACTATTGAGGAGATAGGTGGCGGAAAATAAGCTGCGAGTATGGCAGCTATCTCTGCGACGCAGGGAATCGATCCCAGCAGCTGTAACCGGATGTTCATTAATAGGTATACAAAAGTTGGACATTTAGTGCTTACCCGGTGTAGCACCGGGAAAACGGCTGGACAGATGCGCTCGTAGAGTGGGCCGCCGCGTATGACTTCATCACGAGGTATTGTTGGAGGTATGTATGCATTGTTGAACAAAAGTACAGATGGCACTAGAAAAAGTAATTTGATGAGTGTCATTATGGCAGTAACTATCGTCACTGGTCGTGCTCCCACCTCTAAATAGTGCTTGTCGTAGTATATAAGGACTCAACAGTCCCTGTCATCCATGGACAACCTGTTTGGGCAAGGGCTGGAGGTAACCTCGCCAAAATATAAGGACTCAACAGTCCCTGCCATCCATGGACAACCTTTTTGGGTAATCTTTGCGGCATCACAAGCACGTCGGTCGAGACGTTGTATTGACTCTAGGTCCGCTATGCTGGTATATTACATGATGTGTATGTACGTCGAAAATATGGTCATGCGAAGGTTGTGCGAAGGGGTGACGGGGTCGCTCTGTCGGCACTCGGAGATCTCGCGAAGGGGTCGGCGGTGAGTACTTCTATTCTCCTCGTCATCTACCAGTATATTGACTCGGATAACATCTCAGGCGTCTTGTGTTTCGCGAGAAGATGTGCTTGGGTGTCGCAGTAACAAGTGAGTTAGGTTGCCGCGATTTTGTACTAGTAGTGCTCTTTCGTCCCTCCTGAACTCCCCACCTACTGTTCCACAGCAGCCGTAGGCCGGGCGGTAGCGTGCCAGTCACAAATCGGTATTTGTGAATGCTGGATGATAAGCCCGATAATCGCTACCTACCTCATGTGTTCACTCAGTCGAATATTGATTACTGTAAATGCAGAATCTCGAGACCTAAACGCGGCTATAATCAGGCACGAATTTCCAAATATAGTGTCATTTTAAGTCAACTCTGTTGTTTCTGCGTACAAACCGCGTCAATGTCTCCACCGTGACTCAGTATCGTTATTTTTTCTCCACCCCGTCCTCCCAACTTCACGAGCTCACCCACTCACTTCCTTATCCCATATCGCGATTCGTAACACCCGTTCCATGCCCCCATCGTTGACACCGCCACGCGCCAATGTATCTGCTCACGCGCCTACAGGGCAGCAATCTACCCCAAACAGCCGTGGGGGGTCTGCTATCAGTAATCACATTGGTTTGCTCGGTGTCAAGTAAGAGCACCTTTCAAGTTCCATCTGAGTGGCGCTAACATTCACTCAAGTGTCAACAATATCCGCCCATGGATAGAGCGCGATATTGAGCAGGCTCAGACGTGCCCTGTAGATGACATGCTACAGTTATTCCTGCAGCGCGTATCTCGCAAGCCCGAGGCTAAACAACCCGATCTCCTGCAGAAGTGTCTCAAGGAGGTTGCACGCGTTCTCAACAAGACGCCAGCTTCAGATAGGTTTCATCCTTCTCGCATCAAGGAAGCCCTTGACAGCTTGTGAGTGCTCTTTTGCTGATTGAGGTGCTATCATGCTCATATAAATTGCCAGCGCATCGGAGCGAATTGAAACTACATCCTACGGGCCTTTTGTTCAAGCTTCAAACATCGCATTTACATGCCTTGCAGGACTCAAAGTCAAGGGAATGCTTGATACACCCTGCAACCTTGACATCATTTTTCAAGTGAACGATTATCCTATTCACCAAGATCACCAGGACCGCACATCGAAACGGAAGCCCGACGTTGTCATTCTTCCTTACAAATGCGCGTTCGCTGGCTTGCCTGAAGAGAATCGCGATATGGGTGCTGATGATTACAAGCTCATCAGTGCAGCCACAAAACCGAAAAAGCAACTCTTTTGGAAAGATGTGCTAGCTTGTATCGAGTTCAAGAGACTGACGAAAAAGCTTTCGCAGTGTCCCCTTTCTTATGAAGTGGCACCGTATAAGCCTACCCATCCAGAATATCGGCGCGTGGAACCTCCTGAGCCCGACGCGCCTGCGACTGCAGCGGCAGACTCTGCCCAGACCCCAGCAACCCTGCCAGTACCCGACGCTGAACGACGTAAGTGGTGCATTTACAGCCCAGATGTCAAACTAAACCAGCTCAGCTAAACGACGTTCGCCTCGTCTTGCTGTAAGCTCTCAAAATGCATCCAACGACTCCAGCAAGCGCAAGGCCGCCGAAACTTTGGAATCCGCCAGCAAGCGCGCCAAGACTGGCGACGACACGGAACCCGACCCGGAACCCAAACTAGATGTGACTGTCCAAACAGGGCTATACGCTGCCGAAATGTTTGCTGCCAATGTTGCTGTCAAACATCTTGTCAATCTCGTCGTCGTCGGTGTGTTATTTGGTCTCTTCATATTGGTTATGCTCTTATCATCGTCTTTATAGATGAGATGGTCTGGGTCTGGCATTATGATCGACAGGGGACTATTCAGTGCTCCGGTATCAACTTCATCCAAGACCTCCCACGATTCATGGTGTTGTTATATGCGTTCCAACGATTCAGCCTTGTCCATTGGGGTCGAAACATGGACTTCAAGCACGATGAGAAGAATGATTCTCACAAACTCATAATTGATGGCGTAGATCTCGAGCTTCATACGAGTCACAAAGACAGGGTGGCGCACTACGGACTCAAGGGACGCGCCACTAATGTGTTTCCTGTCACTAGCGCAAAACTCTCCAAGGACAACCCAGAGATCGCGAAATATGGCATGGTGGCCAAAGTCTTTTGGGCGGAGGAGCAACGCACTAGCGAGCCAGACATTTTAAAGAAGGTCTACGAGATTGCGGAAGAGCAAGATGCCGTGAAGGGCCATGTTCCTCACCTACTATGGCACCACAAATTCAAGGATCCTACGTTCAAAATCAGAGAAGCGCTCGGTGTTTCAGAACCGGCGAAGGGTAGTCGTGTGCTCTACATCCTTGTATTCCGCAAGCTCAAGCCCATTACGGAGCTCAAAGGCACAGAGTTCTTCGACGCGTGGCGGCAATGCATCATGTGTATGTGGCTCATTGTATCTGCCTCTCTCCATTGGTTGAAATGATGTGCTTTGTAGGTCATTATGCTCTCTGGCAAGCAGGAGTCTACCACTGAGATGTCAGCCCTGGCAACATGATGTGGTACCGGAACGGAACTGTCTTGATGGGCGTCTTAAACGATTACGATCTATCCTCGTTGGCGACTGCGCTAGGTCCTCAGGGCAACGAGCGCACGGGGACAATACCGTTCATGGCACTTGATCTTCTCAGCAAAAAGGGTCAACGAGGCGAAGTCAAACATTTGTACCGCCATGATCTCGAGTCATTCATGTGGGTTCTCGTCTGGGTCTCCTTGCGTTACAAGGATGGGCAACTATTATTAAGGAAATCTCGCCCTTTCGAGGAATGGGCAACCGTAGATGCCGAGACATGTGGTGAGAAGAAGTCATTCTTTCAGACAAACTTTTTGCAGTACGAATCCTTCACCGCGGACCAACGTATGTGGGAGTTGGTGATGGATTGTTTACAGTTGCTTAAAGCAGACGCCTATCGTCGAGAAACCCTTGGATACAAGATGCGACGGCAGGCAGGAGTCGGTGGGCTGATCATGGCGGAGAAATTTGAATTAGATGACCTCGAATTTCTCGACTTATTTACGCGTACAGACGCCTGGGTTCAGCTCAGCAACAGCATACAGTGATATTCTCCTCGCTCCAATTACATATGTAACATTAAATATTCAGCATCAATGCCATCGTTACAAGCTGGACCTCAATCACTAATTGGTGTCCAACAACATCACTCGTAGACCAAGACAGGAAGAGATGTGGCGATGGTACAAAGTATTCTAAATTTGACGTTCCCATATCCTATGAGCGGTTGAAAGTTGACCTTGTTCAACAACGATCAGGGAGCTCCGAGTTTGAGGAACCCAGGCTAGATGGTGCAGTGAGTCCCTGCTCCACCACCGTGTTACTATGGTCGTATTCAGTGCAGCGCCTGCGAGCACGGCAAAGTTGTATTTGCTCTCCCTTGCACTATGTGTCATCAACAAAAGTGTCACTGTATCGCGCTGGATTCGTTCAACTATTCCACACACACAGACGACACACACGCAGTCATACGTTCACATACACACATATGAAGACAACACGACGCACATAGCCTATAGTATAATCATCTACAAATTTCTCCACGACAAGATTACTAGTTTGATGAGAAGGGGCCTAATTCTGCACGCGTCAGCATTTGGTCAGGCTCCGTGATCAGAGCTGCCGACAGCTGTTGCGCTGTCTCATCAACGAGATCATATGCGAGATGAAAAGCTAAGATATATGAGCTGTGAAATCGTTCCCGGTCAGTATGAGTAATACATGACGAGATAACGTTGGCTCAATATAACTCCTGCTGGATCAGGGGGATGAATCGGAAAACAGCTCGAGCTAGCTTAGCACCCGCCAGAATACTATAAGGAATGCAAACTACCACATCAGTCAAAACTCAAGGACGACGCACCAAGCTGTTTTGCGGTATTAAATAATTCCATGACGTGAGGTTGGGATCTGGTGGCGGTATCCGTCAGTACCATCTTCGAAAAATTTTACGAACTCATACGAATCCATATGTCGGTTGATATAGCCATCTGTAGGGTAGTTTGCCGGGCTGCACCCAACATTCGTCTGCCCTCGCCATACGCACGAACGTAGTCAACAAGCATCCCAGCAGGGAAGATCATCGCGCTTAGGTGTACTGTCTGCCAACCCGCTGGAAGGAACGTCAGTAAGTATTTCTGCGAGGAAGAAAACTGAACACACGTGACATACCCCAAGTTGAGGATAATGGACTAGTAGAATGGATGCGCCAGGCAGAATGACGCGGGGAAAGACGAAGACAGACCATTGGCTCTACGGAGATCAGTCGCTGCGACACGTCTGTGCCATCTGGTAACGGATCTGGACTAAGTGCTGCGGCGCCAACACGTGCGGACTCAACGCCGGCGGTCTGCCATGTGATATATCCATCTGCAGGATTTGAGGAATCCGACCGACACTCGAAGCCTGAAAAAATGTCAGATAACCAGGAGGTTTATTTCGCAATACTGCTTGCCAAAAGTCGTGAACTGCGCGCCAGATTCTTGGAAAATATCGTCGGGAAGAAGCGTTAAGGCAGATACTGCTTGTTGACTGGTGGCAGAAGAGATGTTAGTCCCAAAGGAAACAACAGCCAGCCATGCGATGTGGAGACCACAAATCGCAATGAAAATACCGCTCACACGGCACTCCCAAGAAAGGATTCACATCTGTGATACTAGGTGTGTTGATAAACCACGCATCCTGGGTGTCATTGAGATAGGTGTAATCGTGCGAGAAGGGTGCAAACTGGCCGGACTGCGAGACGACCTATCCCGAGCCCACCTTATTATGCTCGACCTCGAGAATATCGATTTCAGGAGCGCCGCGGCCAACATTTACGGATGGCCCGGGATGATCTTCTCCTGGGGCAGGTGCATGACCTGGATAGAGCGCTAGTGGTGTGCGTGTCCAATGTTGGGCGTGAATAGTGGGTATATGCGCCCGTAAGGAGGGGCAGATACAAAAACAAATGCTGGAGAAGAAGTCAGGTATGACTTCCGAGAGGCGTTGTCCCGGCAACCATGATAGTTCATAATTGTACTTGGTCTTCAAGGCATTTGACTGGAGAGCGGCAGCTGGCCCAGAACCATCCCGCTCTGCCTGGTTGGGGAAAGTCCCAACATCACAAGTCATAGCTGAAGTAGAGTAAGTACCTGGGTCGGTGTTCAAACAATTGAACTCACGAGTAAGGCCATACGCCGCCTGTAGTCGCGCCGCATCCCGGGCGTGTAAGATTACCCATCGCCCATGCATCCGACCACTAAATCAATCCATTAATTAGTACTACACATCCCGGACTACTCCTGCTGAGAGGCATGCTCAACGCCGCAGTCAATATAGCCGCCCGTAAAGCAAAACTTGTTCCAACTTTGTAGCATACCACTCCGATAAGGCAAGTCATTCTTAGGCATCTGGTCTATGACGATGCTGAGGTACCCACCCCTTGTTGTTATCTGGGCGGGGCCATACCACCCCTGATCGCCAGTACTCCCATGCCTGATGTTTACGGCTTCCCAGAAGGGATCATCCCCAGGCCAGAAAGTGCGGTTGGCTGTATTGAACTCGTCCGAAAAGACCAGTTCGTAAGGGAGGCCATCAAATCCTGTTCGTGCTGCAGCACTACTGGGCATATCGGGATCGATGAGCTGCGCCATTTGGAATCTGGGCAGAAATACTGTCAGTCAGGTATCATGCGAAAGAAAATAGAACAGCAGAAAAATAGCGAAGTGGTGGGACGCACAGAAACGAAATCTGGCCGGTTCCATTGAGGATTACGTTGCCTGTACTTAGGTTACTGGATACCAAGAAACTCAGTCTGAAAGACCGTGGGAAGCTCTGCCATATACGCATGGCAAATTCCGACTATCCTTTGCAGACTGGTGGCGGCAGGGCCAAACCAGGGCAGGACATAGTACAAGGGTGCGAATGGTGCTCGCAGCTCTACCCTCCTCACTTAGTAACTGCCTTTGGTGTAGCCGGGTGGCGAACGGTGTAAATAGGTGGAGCTCGCACTGCAAAAATCGCGCTTCGTATTCTCTACCCAGGCCCCGATTGTACTGGTTTTTGCGCAGGTAGTCAAGCTGACCTTGCTTGGCATAATAAAGTCTACCTTATTTCCGCCTTCAAACTAATCATTTTTCTCTGGCAGAGATAACCATCTCAGGCGCCAAATACTGCCCTCATACGCGCTGTATTCGAACCTACCCCCTCAAACGACTTTTCAGGTCTCTGCGCCGAGTGCAGCATGCGCAGCGGTTACAAAGTCTTCCTCGCTATCGCGCAGACATTTCTTTTACAGCCAAATAATGTGAGGAGTATTTCCAAATTATTTGGGTCCACCGCCTCACATCTTTGCAGCAGGGACGCGGTTCTCCGATCTCGGTCTACAATTTACCGGATCAATTTGACGGCTCTCTAACCTTAGTCTGGGCTGATGGAACCAATGGTACTGGAACACCCTCTGCGGAACGTGCTAGATACTGCCAGAATAGTGCGCGCCACTGCTTAAAAGGATCCGCTATGCATCGCAGCCCTGATCTGGTATCCCGCCGGGCGTTGCGGAGGACTTTGACATCCGTTCGCCTTGACCGGACCATCGTGTTCACTACTCATTTCTTGGACGAAGCTGATTTGTTGGCCGATAACATAGCCATTTTGGTTGCGCTCGGCTAGCTGGTAGCTGAGGGCAATCCCGTTGCTCTCAAGTCAAACCTTGGGCAGGGATACAGCGTCCAAGTCATGTTCAACCTGCTTGATTTGGCTGAGAAGGACCTTCCAAAAGTATTCTCCGAAACTTTGGATGGTATTCATGAAGTTGGTCCCCAGCGTTATATGCCACTCTCCTCGCCGAGCCAGGCATCATACCACCTCGCGTCAAGGGATCCTGCTGTTGTGGAGAAGGTCCTCCAGCTGTTGGATCAGAAGCGCGACGCTCTTTGCGTCGCGCCCTGCGATGTACTTGGGGACATCCATTGAAGATATCTTCCTGAATCTCATGGCCCGCCAAACTGGTAGTGTCTCCCTAGATAGCACCGAGAGGTCCATTTCAAGTTCAGGTGAGCCTTAACTTGGCGTTCGGTGGGATATCAATAGACATGCTGACGGGTGATTCGTTGTTTGCACGGCAGGCGGCCCCGCCCGGCTTAACTGGTCCGACTGCGATGAACCTGGCAACAAATATACTTTATAATCGGGCATTGAACGCTTCTGGGGACATTGAACACCCGCCGAACCTCATTTACGCGAGCTATGCTGCTTTCCTTGATCTTGCTTCGGGGACCCTGGTTGATCTCAAGTGGGTGGTGTTCTTTGGGGCCGCTATGGTACGCGTTGTGCAAAAATTCCGCATCTATAGGATCACGCGCTAATATCTTGTTTAGTTTGGCTTTCCCGCGCCATCATGCGATTTGGAGATCCCATCCTCTACCTCTTGGTTTATGGCTTTGTGTTGTTCGGTATTCTCTTATGGGTTGATTCTGGGTCAATTATCCCTAGTCGATTCCTCAACACCCAGGGGCGGCGGGTACGAATGGATAAGTTGCCGGCCAGCTTCGAGGCTAACCGACCTGCCGCTGCCGCTGAAGCGTACGCGGTGGCCAACTTCAGCGATGTGTTGCGTCTTCTTCGTCTGGCAAAGACTTTTGGGGGCAATAAAGTCGTTGATGACGTGTCCTGCGGGGTGCCTCAACCTGATTCGTATGTATATCTGATACGACAATTATGCTCTGAGACTTATTTGGCGACATTGTTCCGGACTTAGGAGATGTATTGATCAAGGGGGCATCAATGTTAACTTCTCTGAGAACCGCGCGTCTATTTTTGGGAGTCTGCCTGCAGTTTACTGCGATCGACTCTCAGCTGACTGTTCGGGAACACCTCATGATCTGTGGACGCCTCAAAGGCCCGAGCAGAGGCTTTGAACTGAAGTCAAATGTCGAGGCACTCATCATTGCAACATCATTGCATGCGTACGCTGGCAGACTAGCGAGTCAACTATCCTGCGGGAATCAGCGCAAGCTCTCTCTTGCTATCGCCCTCATTGGTGAGTTCTTAAACTTCAGGTGCATGTGATGGCTGACATGGATACGTACAGGTAACCCCTCCGATGTTCTCATTGATGAGTTTTCTACGGGAGTATATGCGAAGATGAAAAGATATATGAGGGGCACTCTCCGGAATGTCGCTGCCGGAAAAGCAATTGTTATCGCAACGTGTGTGTTTTCTTTGAAATCATCCTAACCTTGCGCCTAACTGGGATGACCATCTAGATTCCATGGAAGAAACTTCAGCTCTGGCCGATAAGGTTGGCATCATTTTTAAACAATTACTGGGTAGGCACATCGTTCGTTATGATATCTGCAATATCTTATCGCCTTGCAGCTGTTGGTACAATCGACAACCTGGTCTCGCGTTATGCCACGTACCAAGTGCATTTCTCTTGTCCGACACGAGAGGACGTGATTAGAGCTCAGGTCCTCATGAGTCGGATTCTATACTCCCGTCTAGCTGACGATGTTGCTGCACGCTTTGAAGTTCCTATACCAGAAGGCAGCGGGTTCACCCTGGCGCAATTGTTCATATTCTCTCGCCCCAGGGCGATTTCCAGGAGAAAAGGCGGCGCTATTAGAGGTAATAATGTTATAGAGGAGGACAATTCCCCTGGACAATGCAGGTGTCAGTTGTGGTAGGACCGAATATTTAGTTAGGATGCATCATTTGGTGATATTGCAATGGCCCGCACCGAGTCCATGTGCGCTTCGAGTAGTGCAGTTGGAAAATTGGTCATGGCAAGGGACCCCTTGCCATGACAAAGGTGCCGGGCAGTAGATACATCCCTATTAATTCAGGTCTATAGTAATATGACATTATGTGCTGGAACAGGTGACCTCAAGGGCTGCTCGGCTTGGTAACCTCAAAATTGAGGAACCTCAACCAATCCTGGCCTACGTACTCAAATGCCTCATGCTGGGACACAGCAAGAATGTCCCTCTCCTCCCTAGCATAATGCATCTCCCCAGCTTCCCTGCCATGTCCCATGGCTAAGTTGGCCACGTCATTGAGTCGCCTAACGTTCTCATCCAAGGGTCCAGAGCGAGGATAAAGCACTCGCTGGAGAGCTTGGGCGAAATGTCGATGCACGCGCATGCCAATGGGCAATTGCAGATGTTTCATATACCATTCCTGAATTGTAGCTGAGAGCTGACTGGGCTCCCAGCCCTTCCCCGAGGTCACGAACAGCCGCGTCTAGTACAAACAACATCTATGAGCACAGCGGATTGCCAGAGGAAGCGGTAACGCACCTGGTACAAGGATGCTGCCTCTGCTTTACTTTCCTTTGTCCGAGCTTCAGATGTCAGAGTCAAAAGTAATTCAACAGGCCGGACCACCCGAAGGAAGGCTGCAAGTAACTCTGCAACTTGATACTGAATGACCCGAACAATACACTTGTAAACCCCAGAAGTGTACGTTCCTTTATCATAATTTCCTATCATAACGAGGGTGTCAATGGTCCTAGATAAGAACAGGTGGCGACGAGATTCCTTAGAATTGCCGTGCTGCCAAAGTACCTCCTCTGTTCCGCGACCCGGAGGCGATAGCATATGGAGTAGTATATATATTTGACTTAATACCCCAGAGATATCGGCCAGCCATTTGCGGACTTGGTTGGGATCCCACTGAATATTCCCATCGACTGAAACTTTGCAGAGGATGCCTTGCGAAGCCAGAGCGTCTAAGAAAAGTGATGCGGGATTGCCTGGATTTTGGAAGTCACTTAAAGATAGCGGAAAGAGGCCGTGGCTACGAGTTTTCTGATCATAGCTGTCGTAAGTGGGGAGCGTGAAAGCTGCAGGAGAAACTTGAATTCCTTTCAGCACTTTTTCGTGGAAGAATGCGATGGTGTCCTGGAGGGTGCTATGAAGCGCTGCCTTGTATTGCTCGACAATAATAACATGACCGTGGACCCGAACCTGCTCGCCAGCCTGGTCCCACACAACCATGGCAGGAGAAGGGGTGTTGCGAGCAATTCTGCTAAGGGCTCGAATCCACTCCCGCACGATCGCAAAGGGAGAAATTTTCTGGTCTGCCACCCACCGTCCGATGGTGTCTGTAACGAACCTAGATGAAATCATAAGGAAGATCCACGTGAGTGATTGTAAAGACTCACTTCATCCACTCTGCAGCATCATCTGCCGCCACTGCATCTAGAGTCTCATCAGCGTCGTCCAGTTCATCGCCAGAGCACACCACCATTCTTCTTCCTTTGTGCTGCACCTTACTCCCATTTTTGATAGCGCCATTCTTCCGGATGGAATTGTTTTTTGCCACGAAGGCTTGGTACTCCTGGTTAATGAACCCCAGCACATGCAGGCGGATCCCAAATTGGGTCTTGACATGGTACGGTGTAAGCAAGGTAGGAGACTCAAAGCCTCCGTCTGCGTGGACCGACCGCAAGCATATATAGGCTATGGTCGGATTGACATAGCTGTTGGCAAACATTTGAAGGGTGTTCCTGGGCATGTAAACAGCATTGAGCAGGGATGAAATGCCTTCCTGTAGGCTTGCATCATCCACCAGCGCATTCTGCAGGAGATACGTGAGCGAGAGGCCAGCCTTCAGCTGTTCTTCATTTAAGGTAAGCCGATACTTAGAGGATGATGGCTGCAGAGGCGGGACGGAACCAGCTATTGCATATGCACGATCTGATATACATCTGAGAATGATTGATATTAGTCGAACTTCCTCCAAAGCGTATGAAACGCGGGTCTTTATTCTAGCGGGCACATTGAATCTTTCTGAGGTTCCTTTTTCACCTCTATCAAACCCATTAGCTGCATAAGGTGGGGAAGGCTTGAAATACTTACGATCGAGGGGCCACCAATAACTGGCGCACCACAGAGTTAGTGTTAGGTACAGTCTCGCATAGCTCCAGGAAGCGCTTTGTCACCGCGCGCTTGAGTTTCCAGAGTGAAGTATCGGATTGCCTGGGCAAATCCACAAGCTCGTGCAACTCTTTCGACTGATAGGGCTGGATATGTTTCATCGCACCCACCTGCAGAAAAAAAGGTACAACTGCTGCTTCATTAACTTGTGAGTCGGCAATATCTGCTTGATGCCTGGAAAGTAACGAAGCCAGCATGCTGCTGGCTGGGCTTGTCTCTTCACCACGTGTGGAGGGTAGTAGGTTGCTACTAGACCACTGCTGATGTCGTCGGACTGCGAACCAGGTCCGCGCGTTAGCATCTTGGTCAAATGACTGGATCGGGCATTTCAAGAAACAATCTCGGATAGGAATTGGGCGTCTGACCCCCAACGTCTTCTTTTCAACATGCTGGTTCCAGTGTTCCGCCAGCAAATGAGTGCCGCAGGCTTCAGGAAGAGCATAATCACATTTTGGGCACACAAATCCTGGGATGGGAGGGCGAATGTGTAGGATTGGACCGTATTGGTTTGGCAACGGGCGAAGGTCGCGTAGCTCTCCACAAGTAGCCACAATATCTGGGTAGTTCAAGAGGATATCTTTCATGAACTGGATTTGAAGAGCGCTCGGTGTTTTCGATGTTTTACAAAATGGGATCTGATGTAGTCCGCGAGGGCTGGAATCTGCTAGTCTTGTAGAAGAGTAACAGTGTGTCATCAATTTCTCAAGCGGAACACCATAGCCGCACGACGTGCCATTGTGCAGTGATTTGCACAGAATTACCCCATAGTCTGGGAGGTAACCGCAGTTCACCGATTCAAGCAAATTATTGAATTCCAGTTCATTAATTGCAGGCGGAGCTTCGTTATCATCATCCAAGGTGAGCGATGTTGTGCGATGTGAACGGCTGTATGGAGCCGATCAGTACAGCGCCGCAGCCAAAGGCCCCAAGCCAAGCAACTCACAACCCCTGCAAGCCAGACCATACCCGCTTTCTCCTGGGGTTAGATAGCAGATTGATACCAAAGTTCTTGAGGCATACGTCTGATTGGGGGGCTATAGTAGCCACTTCGGGAAATTGGAATGCAGTGTGGGAGTAAGACAGCGACGGTCTGTCAATATTCCAATTACTTGGGTCAACCTGAGCGGGGAGATTGGTTTGAAAAGGTATACTACATTCAGATCCACCCAACGCTGAATCACAGTTCAACAGAGGAACATCAGCCGCTGCTCCTGAAAGGTCCTTACAGCCATCTTGGTTTCCATGCGATCCTGCTTTCTTAGACAGAAGCAGAGTGCAATTGGAACTCTTACTAGATGCTTTCCGATGATCTGAAGAACCATCAGTCGTAAATTATGAGCGCGAGAGGCTGAATGGTAAGAGTCATACCGTTGTGACCCAAATCAGACGAAGCATTGGCAGTACCTTCCAAAAGCTCTGTTTTGATGGGTCAGCTCCAGTACGGTCCAAAGAATGAATATAGTAGCCCACCATCAAGTGCAATTTGCACATCTTCATCCCTTTCTGCTCCAATCTCTATTTGCTCAGCCACAAGGGCTCGCAAGCCTTCTTCTTCATTCTCAGTCTCGTCCGATTCATCTCCAGAGCAGAGTTCTATAGAATCGTTGGCACTTAGACTAGGCTTTTCAGGATCTGCCTATGTTAAATATCGAAAAGCCAGGCTATCATAGTGGCTTCCACTCACTTTCATGGTTGGCGGGATACAATACCCTTCTGATGGCACTTTCCAAGGCTGACCTGGTGGCATCATCGAAACCAGTCTCCCCTTCATTAATGCTATATGTCAAAGAATAACTAAGACAGCTGTTGAGAAAGTAAAGTTATGTACGCACACAAAAATATCATTATTGTTCGGACTGGCTTCAGCGCTGATTCCAAAGGAGAAAATTTTCGAGCTTCCTGCCGCCAGTTTGTGTACGGCCCTTAAGTTCTCCGCAAGGTCAAAACTAATTATTGTTAGCGTTACCATAACATAAAAAAAATGGACATACGCTGGGAGACTGGCAAGGGAAGGCGATGCAAGTGTCCAAGATGCGTGCATAACGGTAGGTGCAGCCTGGATTTCATCTACCACAGGTTTGAGAGGCAAAGACTTTGACTGCGAAGGCTCTGCCTCCACAGTAGCTGCCAGGGATGATGCGTTCGAATGGTGTTCAAAAGTATTGACAGCCTTGTCTGCAGCAAAGTCTGTATTGTGGATGGCAGGCAGGCGAACTGCAGCATCAGGCTGTGACCGCATTAACCTGCGTTCTGCCCAAGGGATGAAGCTGCTCCGCCTCTTCTTTGCCCGGTCCAACTCTGCTGATATTTCAGCACCGTCCTGGGTGCTATGCGTGTGTTTGCGCTTGGAGGGCTGGGCTTTTGAGGTTGCAGTCAAAGCTGCCGCAGCCAGATTCTCTGCGTTGAAGAAGTTGTACATGAGTATCTGCATATGATTGCAACTATTACACTTACCAGTTGCAGGCTGCGGTCTAGCCTTCTTCCATTCATTTACGAGGTGCTGAGCACAGCCATCCTTGGGTACCCAGCTTGGTGGCCATGGCTTCCCAGCAAGATCGCAACCTGCCCACAAGACTTGGTACTTCTTCTCATTCTCAGCCAAGATTTTAACCGCTGTCCAAAGACTTTTCGGCAATTCCTGGTATGTAGACATGCTCAACAGAAAGGGAAGTATGCAGAAATTTCATAAACGGTCGCCGGCATCAAACGTTACGCAATTGCGAGCCTCCGCCTGATTAAGACCTCGGCTCTGTCATGCCCAAAACCCCGCTACCACTACTTACTACTTACTACTTACTACTTGCAGCTCAGCATAGCTTTCTCCTCCTCTTATATACTGTATACATTCAACCTTAGGTTCGTCGCAGCGTCGCCGACACCCCGAACTGAACCCATTTCGCGTGGCAGTCACAAGCATAATCTCTTCAGGCGTGCTGGAAATGTTGCTGCTCATAGGGCAGGGCGGGAGGAAATACTGGTTGCAGTCGCATCCCAGCCTTTAGCATCCCAGGACCGGTGGTACTTAGAGCAAATGTTTGGCTTTTTATGTGGCGGAGCTGAAGTCTAGCTAGAACTGACTCGCAGATGCGCATTGCTACCAGTGTCCAATGTATCACCTATTCTCAATATGTTGTCTGCATGTACTATTTTTTGACAAATTGTTAGGGGAATGTTTGACGTCGACCATCAAATGTCCAATATCTGTAACCCCAGCCGCACACGCACAAATAAGTCTGTCACTAATAACTACGCCCTGGTCCAACAAGGCTTGGATCTATCTTTGCCATGCCCGTCCACCACTGTTGTATTAGCGTGATCCAATGAGCTGAGGTGTTCCTCTATTGCATCCTGATTGTAATCTGAAAACTTGCCACATGCGCATACAAACCTTAAGTCTTCTTCCCGATAGATACGAATATTGCGGTTTCCCCATGCTGGGGTAAAGCTGAAACTGTAGATATGCCATTGGTTTGGGCCGCCCTTCTCCTTCTTCTCCTTAAAATGAGCTCTGAGCGATGTGCTATTGCCATCAACATATACATTGCACCTAGGACAGTGTACTCTGTGCATAGGTGTTGCGTTGAGTTTGATGCGCTTTTGCACTCCCTTCCCATCCTAATTTCAGATATCAGCGTAATACATGTAAATAGTAATGACTTACCGTCTGACTGCTAGACGCAGTCTCCTTGCGTTTATTATCCACCTTCTGGATGACTACGGGGATAGGATCATCCAGGGGCGCTATGTCCCACACTGGGACATGATCCCCCTGACTACTGTCTAAGAATGCCGAACCGTCCAAGGGCATGAGTGGGGCAGGGGAGCTGATGGACGGGGCAGCCTGATCAGTAAAAACCCTTTCAACCACAAGAACGTTAGGTGTGTTGGGTTTGGTGGGTGGCAAGGCCGATGATAATGGCGTTGCAATGGGTGCATCACCTGCTGGAGGACGGCAGTCCATAGTCTCGAGGAAGTGTAGATGATCTTTGATTGGCGGGCCATTGTCTACGACAGAACTACTGTTGGGCAATGCAATTGGAGTCAGACCCTGCTAAGTAAATTAGTATCAGACTCTGACGATATCAGTGTAATACATGTAATGACTTACCGTCTGACTGCTAGACGCAGTCTCCTTGCGTTTATTATCCACCTTCTGGATGGCTACAGGGATAGGATCATCCAGGGGCGCTATGCCCCGCACTGGGACATGATCCCCCTGATTGCTGTCTAAGAATGCCGAACTATCCAAGGGCTTGAGTGGGGCAGGGGAGCTGATGGACGGGGCAGCCTGATCAGTAAAAACCCTTTCAACCACAAGAACGTTAGGTGTGTTGGGTTTGGTGGGTAGCAAGGCCGATGACAATGGCGTTGCAATGGGTGCATCACCTGGAGGATGGTAGTCCATTGTCTCGAGGAGGCGTGGATGATCTTTGATTAGCGGGCCATTGTCTACGACAGAACTACTGTTGGGCAATGCAATTGGAGTCAGACCCTGCTAAGTAAATTAGTATCAGACTCCGACGAAGTAATGGTTGTACATACCATTGGATATGAAGCCTCTACAAATTTCCCTAGTTCCTGCGACGACAATGAAGTAGCAGGACCGTAGATGGACATGGGTGTGTCTCCTGTTCCAGGCCCTGGACATTCGACAGACTTGGCGTAGTGCTTGCGCACTCGGTCAATTACGTTTGAAAATCTACAACCACGGTATCGGAAAGGGCAGCAGAATGTACCTGCGACGGCAGGAACCGGCCAGGTACCAGCAGTCTTCTGCCGATGCATGCATGTCTTGCAGTGCTTGCCGACGACCTTCTTGTGATTGACCTCTTCAAAGCACAACACAGTAGCACATGCTGTACACGTCCACTCTGGCATCGTGGTTTTGGGTAAGGTTTTGCTGAATTTTTAGAATTTTATAGCCAGCATCGAAGCTGACCAATTGGAAACCTTCCGCGCAATTTCGCACACCTCTTGATGCGGTACATACGTATAATGGCAGGTGCTATTAAGGACCAATCAACGGCAAGTGTACTCGGGAAGTCCTTGATGATATCGTGACGAGACGATACTGAAGGCGTCTGAGACATGTAAGCATCCAGAAGTTGCATGGAAGTCGCACAAGCCTCCAGTTGGGTATCATGGCTGTGGTCAGCATGGCGAACCCAAAATAGACTTGCTCACAGGCGGGATAGGATAGCAAGCGTGCAGAGACAACATTTGCTGCTGCCTTGAGATGTCGTATGGCAGCATTCAGACTATGGGCGGGCGGGCGGCCATCGGTAAAGAACGAGATCGGTTGCGCGAATGGCTTAAGAGAAATCATCAATACGAGCTGAGTGGAGACAAATGACACATACAAGTAATGACGACTTGTTGCACTCCGCTGAGGTGTATCTTTTCTGGGTTCTGGGTGTGTTCTGGGCAGCTTGGTTCTTCACTAAACAATACGCTCATTGTCATGCCTTTAGATAACCAGTGCTTCATATACATACTCATCCTTTTTTTGCCTAAAAACGCGAGATCAAGTCCATACATATGCTATACAACACAACGACTTACGATCGTGGACGCTTTGAACCTTTTGTCTTGTTGCTTACGTTTTCCCCCTTTGAATGGTTCGGTACTGGGAGCAGAATTCTCTATTGGCACGCGGTTGATGATAGTCGCGTCCGCACTGGTCACCTTTCTCTCCAAAATAGTTCCCTTGGTAGAATTAAGACGCATCGACTCTGTGCCAACGGGACGTGCGAGGAGACCAGAATATAGAGGAGCATAGGGGATGACACCGATACCGTTGTATCTGCAATAAGCGAGCATCTCGCGTTCCTAGACGTGATGTAAACTGGAGAGTAAACATTGTGATTTTTAGGGACACACCTATCTTATTGGTATCATGGGCACGCCCCTGTAAGCGTCACCCCATCTAACTAGGCAGGGAGAGAATAGAAAGTTTAGTGGGATTCCAAGTCTGTCACGGTGATAGTACTTACTAACGTAACATAAATGGGAATCCTTAATCAAATAATTTATCATCGGTTCACCCGAGGACTCGCAGTCTGAGTTATGGTCCAATTGCATTGCTGGTAGTAGTAGGCGGCCGCTATGCGAAACACGCTCGTTTATATCAGTTATAGCGGCGCTGGGAAGCACTAGCCCCCGACTTCAACTTCGGAGTTCAAGAAATGACGATGGATTGGTAGCATCGATATAACAATCGAGTATGTACAGCAATCACACACTTCGCAAATCACACGCAGCATAGTGCTACAAATTTCACAACAGTATTCGAGTCAGGCTAATCATCATCAACTTCCAGCTCCATGTCAAAGATGATGTCATGGCTCTCAATCGACATCTTCGAGCTCTTAGCAGGTGACTGACCTCCGAGCTCATCAGTAGCCTTCCTTTTGACACTATGCTCATTGCGAACATCCGGAGAGTCAACTCTGGTGTCCCCCAACTACGCAAGATGTGTTTCTTCAATTCTGAAAGTGCATCTAGAAGGGCCGTACGATCTGGAAGGTCTCATATCATCAAGCGGAAAGAGGAAAGAGCGAGTAGGGAGTGCGGTGATGTGATGCATTGTACCCTGGGACGTAAGATAGCTCTCGTGAACTGGAATACTGAGCAAATGGCAGACACGCTCAGCTTGCGATGGATCTGACATGAATGCATCGTCCGACTTCGTAGAACGGACATCGATGTTGCCAATATGAAGAATTGCCGCGACGATGCGGAAAAGGTCGAACTGTTCGGCAACCGTGAAGCCAACAATATCAAGAGCATTCTGGGAGTGTGTCAGTCGGGTACCGAAGGCTTCGCGTTCACAAAACGTACTATCAGAGCAAAATTCGATAACAGCGGCAGGAAAATGATCATCAAATGATCAAGCCACAGAAGGCGCAGGACGAATGAGCGGAGGCGGAGCGGGGTTTGGATTAGATTATGAAGGACGAGGAAAGTATTTGGATATGATGCTGTTAATGCAAGTCGACACAAAAGAAAAGGGAAGCAAACCGTTGGCTGGGAGTAAAGCACGGCGGACGATGAAGGAACCAAAAGAGGACATAGAGGAGGGCGAGGACAGAAGCCAGACCTGCCTGCTTCTACTTCTTCGAAATCGTCAAGCTCCTCATACTCTCCTCCAAAATATCGCACACATTCGTCTTGTACGCCGCACACGCACACGGTCCAGTCCCTCCCACTCGGCTGTGTCTTCTCCGCCATACCCAGAGGTAACGACGGCTTCCTTTCCACCGTACTCAAAGGCACCATTAAGGAAGAGGGAGAGGGTTTGTTGGGAACGGGCTCATCGAGATCAACGACTCGGACGACTGCCCGACCTTCGAGGACCTTGCGTACTTTTTCTGCATCCCACTCCTTTCTCATCACACTTCCACTCCCACTTATACCGGAACCTGCAGCAGACCCAGAACCAGAAAATGCATCCCAAAACGCGCTTCCAAGCTTCCCAAGTAGGGTCTGCGACGCAATAGCAGCAAGCGCAGCCTGTTCCCTCGTAGGTACCTGCGCTGATCTGAATCCAAGGGACGGAGGCGGCGAAGGATACGCGTTCTTCCCAGCGAGTGCTTGTGGTTGCGATTTCGGTGATGCGAAATACGCAGGTTTGAGGCCCGATACCAATCCATGCGGTGTATACCCCATCCCATTTGTGTTCCCATTGGCATGAGCATGCTGCGCAGCCATCTTCCCCCATAATTGCATCCGATATGCATCGAGGGTCTTGAGTGTGAATGGATATGGATTCGTATCCGCAAAGGCATCGAATGTGCCTATGCCCATTCCCATGCCCATACCAAGGCCATTGAGTTTGCTGTTCGTCTTCTCGACGATTGAGCTTGGGCGGTGTAATGCAGGATTGATGTTCTCTTGAAGGACGGCTTTGACCCCGACGGGTGGGATGAGGGTGGTATGTACAGGTGTAACGCCCATACCACCAAATCCGCCCCAAAACGGCCTTGCGCCCAGACGTGGAGACGTAGGGAGGTCCTTTTGGGTGTTTGGGGTGATGAGCGGAGTTGTTGATGGGACGGATACAGGTGTGCCGGGTGGGGAGAGGGGTGCGCCTGTTTGGAGTTCTGCTGGGGGTGGGAGGTCGGGAGCATGACGAGATTCGAGGAGGCAGCGCTTGAGAATATTTCTTGGCGGAGAGCAGTGTTTTCCGAGCGGGAGCTGCCGAGTTCTGAGCGGATTGCGTCGATTAAGCGGTCCCGTTCTGCGATGTCACCTTCAAGAGTTGTGATGTATTCTATTTTGAGGTGTAAGTAAGAAAGGGAAGGGATATAGAAGGGATACTGACCCTTTCGCCTGACTCGGAAGTTTCGTGCGCTGATCTTGTTTCGGAGCTGGCGTTTCTCTCTGCTGCTCATCTTCTTGTATTCTTCAGGACTTGGGCGCCAGTCTTCGGGTTCTAGGATCTTGAGGGGGGCAGGGTCCTTCGAGGACTTTGATTTTCCCGCACCCGAGTTCAAGTCCTTCTCAGAAGGAGAATATGACTTCTTTATGCCACCAGAAGTGACAGCACCGCGGCGAGAACATTTAGGCGGAGCGAACTCTGGCTCTAGCTCTAGCTCTAGTTCCTGGTCAGAGTTAGAGTCTTGATCTGAGTGGTCGTTTGAAGTAGCAGGAGTTCCGGCTAGTTGTGGATCTATTGCGAACATGGGAGTGTTTGCGTCGATGCTCTCAGGACTTGAGCCACTTGTACTGGCGGTAGCTTCAGTTGCACCAAAAAAGTCATATGAAGGGACTGAGAGTGATGATAGGGATGGACCCTTTGTTAACTCATCAGTGTCTAAGAATTGGGCGAAGAAATCGTCGTCTGCGCCATTTGTAGTTGAGAAAGTGAAAGGGCTTCGTGGTGATGAAGATGAAGACGAAGCTGTAAAAGCTGAAGGAGCTGAGTTTAGTACGTCGAGGTTGAAAAAGTCGTCTACTGTTGAGAATGTGGTGTTATCGAATCGGTCAACATATCGGTCGATGTAGTCGAGTGGTGTTATCTCCCTTCGTTGAGGAGGCGTGTTACTATGCATCTGCTACGATAGCTTGTTCAGGTTCTGCGGCCATGGTAGATATTTCCTGCAATGTCGTCAAGATGAGGGAGAAACGTCATTGAAAGCACCACAACTCACCTCTGCTTCAACAGCAGGGAGGACAACCTCTTCCAACATATCAGCAGTTGGGCTTATTTCGGTATTTGGATGGGAAATGGGCGTCTCGTCCTGACAGAAAGGCTCTGCATTAGTAGTGCTCCCGACGCCGTTTATGGAAGTTGTAACAAAGTCTGATAGGGACGTGTCAGGTCCGGTACTAGCAGCGATAGGAGGCTCTCCATAATCTAAAGAGGCCTTAGAAGCCTCCGCAACGATTGTGGCAACGTCGACGAAGGGTATTTCCGTGCCTGCGCCGTCAGTGATTGATAATTCTAATTCATCCTGAAGGCTGACAGTTAGAGAGTGGACGCGTCAAAAACATGTCTGCGCATGTGCACACCTTGGGTATCTCTGAAATAACCGTACCGGAAATCTCAATCGCGTCCTCTTGGACGAGCTCTGCAAGACTTGCAGACTTGTCGCATGGGACGATTGTGAGAGTTGTAAGCTGCTCGGACTCTTCTACAAAAAAAGACTTGTGGTGGCCGTTGGCGAGAGGCTCGGAGTCATGGATAAGGATGGTGTTCTCCTTATCAAAGTCACTGGCATGCAGGTCAGGTGCCTCTGGCCTCATATCATCAACCAACTTGCCCTGGATACAATTCAGTCACACAGGAACTACAACACGGCAAAGAGTGGCACACACGTGAGAACCTCGACAGACGTTTCCGCCGCGAGGGTGTCGTCAGAGGAGGCAGTCACCAAGCTATCGTCGGTCTTGTCACCGGCTCCGGAAACATCTTCGGCACCTAGTGTAGGCTCTTGCACACAACAGAAAGCAGCCTCGACGACCTCCCCGTCAGTCACTAATTGGCTATGCTCGAAAGAATTTGCACCGTCGTGCAGCTGGTGGCCATTAGATATCGGGTCGTCAGCGCTTCAGCGACGAAAGCGTTGTCGGCCACAGTAGACATCTCCTCGAATAATGATAGCCGATCCAGGAGAAGAGTGTCTGTAGCAGCACAAATATTAAAAATAAGTGGGGAGAAGATATTCTAACGACTTGCCTTTTAATTACGCTCCACTTGATAGTAACTGACATCGTACTGGTCACTTCAAGGGTGTTGACACTACCTCGAATGATTTTGTAAATGCTAGAAATTCATTTTCCAGATCTCGGCTAGATGCAACCTATAATTGTTGCTTAGATAAATCTCTGCGAGGCGAGGTGGCAGAACATACAAAAGCAGGTTCAACCGTACTAGCTGCTTCGCTTGACGGTTGTGATGACAAAGGCGGAGAGACAACTGCAGCTCGACTTGGTGGCCTCGGAATCTCTCTCACATTTCCTTGACTTACTGCCCTCGTGATACCGGGCGTAGCTCCTGATGCCGCGCCAACCGTTGGACGGCGACTCTGTTGCAGCATCACGCTTGGAGGAATGTACTCCTCCTTTGGCTCTCCACTGCCCGCGGAACCCTCGCTCTGGGGCGTGCTTGTCCCAGCAGCACGACTGGAATACATGAGCTGTGACTGAATATTCTCAACCATCGCTTTGCGTACCCCCTTCTTTGTCAGCTCTGTCTTGAGGTCTGAGCGAGCAGCGTCCGTCATGCCCGGCCCAGTGAAGAGCTCAATAACGGAAGGCGATGCGCATGCGCGAACATTACCATCCGTGTCTTCCAACGTGTCTACTAGTGATGAAACGTATGGTCGAACAGGAAAAAGATGGTGGGTTCGGCGGATGTGCACGAGGACTAGTAATGACTACGGTAGAGAGTGAGAAGTCGTCACACCAGCTCGGAAGGTCCCACTTACTTGTTCTCGGACTCTGGCAACCTTGCTTCTGAAGCCGCTATCTCTGAGGAAACGTTCGAATATTGTAAGTGGCGTTTCCGGACCCCCGTTGCTATCCTTCATCTTTGAACCAGATGGAGCCCTGAATGCCAGTCCGCCGAGGATGACCAGTGTTTCACGCGCCTTATCACGAGCCCTTTCGCGGGTATCACCGAGACGCTCGATGACGCCAGGAGCGAGAAGAAACGCATTCATAATCTGGCGGAGGACCATTAAGTCATGAGACGTTCCGGGAGTGGACGACGTGGAGGATGATGCTGATAATGGGCGCGCGTTTGCGTTTGGGACGACATTGTTGCGCGAAATTATCAAGGGGAATAGAGGAGGAAGGGCAGAGAGCGTGGCGGTCGTTAGATGTTGATTTGAGATACGAAGACATGCTTTGAGGGTAGAGATGACTGATTCTAGTTCTGTGATCTAAATACAACCAGTTAAGGCGGCTCAGTTCATTGACCAGGTAACCGATACGTACTTCTATGCCCGACTCGAACTCTGCCTGCAGTTTTGTAACGGCATCAATCTTTTGGTCAACGTCTGTGGACACTGAGTTCTGATGGTTGCTCCCAGGGCAAACTACCGACCGATGCTTTTGCATTGATTAATGAGTTTTTCGAGCCTCTCGGTGCTCATGATTGTTTGAGAGAAAAGAAAACGCGATGGACGCGAATTTAATCGAGCTTAGCAAGTCCCAAGGGCCAAAGGTTTACTGCCGTCCGAGTTCGCGGGTGTGGCGGAGAACAAAGTGAAGCACTTCTCGCGACGGACACTTATGCAACAAAACCGATTCTCACGATAAGTACCATACATGCTCTTATCGTGACGTAGTAGGCAACGTTTTTTATTCATAATCTGCTTCGAATAATTTCTAACAGGGCTTGACCAGGGCACTTGGACACGTCATTCGCTCTTTTTATCAGAATGACCTAAAGATTTTCCAGGTTGTTCGTAGTCGCGTATACGCTGCTTCTGATAGGGCATCAATTAGATCTCATCGCATCGACTGGAACAAGTCGAACTAACCAAACCTTTCAGTTCAGGAAAACCACCCTCGATCTTCCTGTCCCACATCAATTGAGGGGGACTGCCTTCGAGGTTAAGCCAGACCCTAAAACGACCTCCAGTTTCCTCAGAGTTCAGAGGAATGATTGATATCGCCTTTAAGACTGGAGGCGGAAATGTAAGGAATAGCTCTGTGGAAATCCAGGTCGCTCGATGGAGCCTACAAACAATGAATGAAATTGAAAGTTAGCAGTACTCATCCCCCTTACCATCGACACTGGATAGCAGATGATACATCAATCACAGTAAGCTGTTACAACAAGCACTGCCGCGTACTCGGTCGCAGAATTCTATGATAATGCTGGGTAGAGCACTATGAGGCCGTATTCAAGTTGCTCTGCATCCTATTCAAATACGTCAAATGAGTAATCAATGGCACCAACAAAAAGTAAACTAGCGCACCCTTAAAGGATCAAGAAACTTAATCAGAGCATTGAATAGCCGTTCAAAGCTCTTTTCCTTGGTCCACATGTCAGGGATCAGGAAGAGAGCGACTGATGCCAAGGAAAGGCGAAACAGTGGAAGGAAGCCCCAGTCCTGGACTCGAAGGAGACGTCGTTGCGGAAGGTATAGGATTGCTGCTGCACAACAACACCAACTTTTGGAGAACCCGAATGTCAGTTTGATCGCTTTCCAGCGGGGTAATATAGTCGTTGGGTTCTAGTACTCGATCTTCAAATGCAGTTGCTTTGAGGGGTGTGGCATGTCCGAGGGCTACGTGGATAAAACCAAAATCAGAAAACAGCAAGGATTTGTAACTAATGACAACTCACTGAACATGCGTTTCAACCACCAACCAGTCTCATGTACCTGGTCTTGAACTGGCTTCACGAGGTTGTCTACAGCTTTGATGTTTGCAGGACTATTCTTGAATAACGCTGCCCGGCGGAAGATAGCTGCGGTTCGGTTGTCCGGAGTCACAGGAGGAGGAGCCAGGCTTCGTATTATCGCTGGTGCATTTTGCGCCTTGGATTTTGGCGTCGCAGATCCGCTACGTCCAAGGAGTAGCGACGGAGGAATTGTGGAGTGCTGGTTATCCTCACCATCCGGGTCGTTCAGCTTGAGCAATCGTTCCGCAGCACTCTGTGCTTGCTCTGCTCGAGCTATAAGAGCGTCTTCAACAAGTACTGTCTCTGAAGGTTTTCCATTTGACAATACATCAGAACTAGTATAAGGCGTTGAACGATCGGAGCGGGGAGAGAATGAGCGTTGTTGACTGGGTGCCGGAGGATACACCTTGTAGGCAGTCGAGAAAGACATGAGATTGACAGACTCATCGTCCATCTCAGAATCACAGTCATCAGGTATGGGTATAATGGTTGCCAGTAAGAGCGTCTGGTCATCGTTAATATCGGGCATTACAGTTGACTGACGAGCTGGGACTGGAACTGGAACTGGAGGTGCACGGTACCGAGGGGTTGGTGAGTCGTGATAGGAATCCGAAAGATTTGGCTGCACAGTTTGACGGGTGGTAGATAAACGACTAGGAGATATGGGTGAGACAAGGGGAGAAGATCCTCGACGTCGATTTGTTTCGGGGCTGGATGACACCGATGAATCGGTGGAGGAACGTGAATGTGACGTCAGGACCGCGCTAGAGCTTACAGAACGAGGCATAGTACCAATACTACACGACGGTCAGCGCGACGATCACGGTAGCCCCAGCAAGTCGTCATCGGACTCCATGCCAGCAGGTATAGTGACACTTAAGTTAGGCTCTGAAAAAAGCCGTTAGTGTAGCTTCGCACAGTGAAACTGAGCGACCAACACTAGCACGCGATAATGCCTCATCTCGCGCCTTTATGAGTTCAAGCTTTTCCGACTAGTAGAGGATTCAGCTTTGCTCAGAGCCTATCTCAATCCTCCCTGAGGGAAACCTAGATGAACGGGGTAAGTACAAAGCTTTGACTTGGGAGAAAAGCCCACAATGAGCGTAGGGTGATCTGATGGACCTTCAGCAGACGCCTGGGCTTTCACAGCTCTCTCATTGGCCAATGCTTGCTCCAAAGCGATTTTCTCTCGCCGTAGCGTCTCTACCTGAGAGTTCAACTGCTGCGATGCATCAGATGCCGAGGTGGTGCGCAATGCGTCTCGTTCGGCAGTAAGAATTTTGATCTTGCCCTCGAGCTCATTGATGGTGGCATTGAGCTGAGACTTCTCGCGGTTAAGTAACCCAAGGCTAGATTTGAAATTTTTGGCATTTTTCGTGTTGCTATCCTCGTGGGTTCTGAAGTTAGCTTCGAGACGCGAGAGCTTGAGACTGGTCAGAACAGCGTTAGCGTTTGAAAAAAAAATGTATCCGGGCCTGGATAGTGCTGGCTCGTTCTTCACGCTCTCTGTAGCCAATTTCTCCACCTCAGCCTTCTGAGTTTTCAATTTCATCTTTCAGCGCTTGAATCTCAGCGGAGTCAGTATGATCGTACTGCCAAGCCCCGTCAGCCTGAAAAAAGACGAGCGGTTCCGAACACTTACTTTGCTCAGCAACTGCGCATTGCGTTCTTGCCAACAGCGGCTCTCTCCCTCAAGACGTGTGATCTGTGCATCCCTAGCTCCTAGCTCACGAGCCTGATCCTTGACAGGTTTGAGCTCTGCAGACAATGCCTGCAGTTTCGCGTCGAGCTCGTGAGAACGTTTAGCATAAGCCTCGCAGCCAACGCGGAGGGTGGCATTGCTTTCCCGAAGAATGTTGAACTGGTTGATCCTTTCCAACATCTCAGCGTGCTGAGCATCCAAAGTCACCGCTTCCATCGCCCGTTCCAGTGTCTGATGCCAGCGTCACTGATGATCAACATAAATGGATCCTCACAAACGTACCTCAGCAAGGGTTTCCCTGGTCTCTTGCAAACTCTGAGTCAGATGCTCGATCTGAGCCTTCAAGCGGACGTTTCTCCTGTTTACTGAGCTCAAGCTGGAGATCGACCATCTCTTTCTCCTTGCGCCAGTAAGCCACAACAGATCTGAGTTCCGAAACTTGAGTATCCACATCGCCGCCGATATCTGCGTCACCAGAAGTGCCATCTGTAGCGGAGGAGTCTGCAGCCTGACACATACGCGTAGCTTGAGCGCTGACAGTCTCGAGATGCTGATGAAGAAGAGCATTCTGTGCGGACAGATCCCTGGACCTACATTTGAATGAGGTTAAAGAACCGATTGACGTCCAATCAGGGACTCACCGTGCATTGAGATCTGCAATTTCCTGGTCCAAAACCTCTTTTGGCGGCCTCCAGCTGCCCTCAGATGCTGCCAGCTTAGCTAGGGCATTAGCAGCTACTGAAAGGTTTTTCCTAGAGGTAGTTTGAGCGACGGATAGTGGTTGCTTGAGGGCCTCGATGGTCTTGATCGACTCTGCAAGGAGAATCACTTCAAGCGAGTATCTAGCTTCTGCAGCCTAGAAAGACTAAGAACGCAGATAACAGCATAGTAACGGCCACTTACAAGTGCCCTTTCCTCCTGCTGACGAACTTCACTCTCACGAGTGGGCGGTCAGCCTCAGAAGTCTTCTCAGAGGTGCTCAAGTCGACGAAGGTATCCTCCAAGGTCGTCTGGTCATTAGTTCAAACCAGCCACGCCGACTCGAACGCGTGTTGAAACTCAGAGAACTTGTCGGCAGACTGCCGTACATCATCCTCCACGCTGCGTATTTTATCTTGCAGGACCTTGTACTCCAGCTGTAACAAACCAAAGTGGAGTGGACTCCACCTCGTTCTGTGAAATCTGCGCCTCGGTCTCAGCCTTGTATTGATCATGCGTAGCATTCAGAGCTGACAGGGCAGCTTCGTTGGCTTGAGAGATCTCTTGGAACTGCTGCATGTGACTACGGGCAGCTGTGAGATTGACTTGAGCGACCTTCACGGCAGACCTAGCATGGATATGTTCAGCATGTTGCCACAAACATAGTACTTGGATACCAACCATAATTCCGCGACTTCCTGCTCGAGTTGCTGTTCACGTGGAAGGTCTTGCTCAGTAGCGGGAGTAGCGCCATTAGCAGCCGAGGTGCGACGTTCGTACATGGCAAGCTTCTCTTCGTTACCTCGTAGCTGGCGTGTAAGCTGGTTAATGCGCTCTTGGAGATGGACTTCGCTGGTTTCTGCGCCTACGAGAGACACCCGAATTGAGATAGCTATTCAGTCTCCAAAGGATAAGGACCGGTGTATCTCCCCAGAGAAGGTGAAGCATACCGTTTTGTTCAGGTGGGTTTGCAGGTCCTTCAAGTTGATATCCTTCCGAAGCGTGACGGGGCGGACTGAGGCGCGCTCCTGCACGAGCTGAGCCTTCAAGCTTCAGGCCTCAGGTCTTTCCGGTGACAGCCGTGGAAACGAGAAAAAGCAAGGGGCAAAATTACCTTACTTCTCCGCAACTCGGAGGGTTCCATACGCTCACGGCTGCCACTCCACACTTAACAGTTACCTTCATGGATGATACTGGCAACTACCGTATATATAATTGCTGCAGGTCAGCCTGTAACCAGCAAAACCACCCTTCAGGGCTCAGCTTCCACTCACTCTGCTGAATCACTCACTTACTACGGTCCAAGTGTGAGGGACCATAGCTAACCACTCAGATAGATAGGGTTCTCTCGCAAATCTAGAGTTAGCGCTTCAACGACCTCGGTGTCACCGTGGACCACCGTCAATGGGTGGTCGCCAGTAATCATAATGCACTGTTCTATGATGAGTAAAGTTCCATAGCGGATGAACGACTTACCCTATGCGACGAGCCGGTAAGCATCTTGAGCGTTTCAACAGCATCTAGCTTGAGAGGACGATGGAAGACTAAAAATCCTGCAAACGTCAGACGGCTCTTAACATCCTCGCGGGATAGTTTGTTGATCTACAGCAACTGTTAACAATGCGGATGCAGCTACTAGACTACGACTTACCTTGTCGATCGGCATGGCGTCTATTAAACTGAGGTGATGAAAGCACCACAAAGGCTGCGGGAACAAGACGCTCGTAGACGAATCGCTCAAAGCCGGGTACACCTTGGACTTGGCCGTCAACCGCTGTAGCTGGTCGGCGCCAGACCTGAACACAGCGACTAAGAAATGCGAAAGCAGATTTCTGGCTACTCGAGTCCAAAATATCTTCTGCCGATCGATTCATGCTGATCAACAGGGGTTCGAAAGTGGCTTTATTGCCTACAAAAATTTGAGACCAGCCCACAACAGTCACACGAAAACTTACAATCAGAGATAAAGATGTCGTGAAGATCGGAGGACATGACGTTGGTCAACAACGTCAGATAGGTACGCTTGGTTTCTGCATGTTCGACACTGTCGTCAGTATCTGTAACGGGCTGGTTGAGAAGGTGGGTGATGTGAGCGCTTAGAGGTCCAATGAGCTCGTCCAGAACATTGAAAAGCTCGCTCTGTTAGCATTAAGTCAGTTATGAACGCATAAGTTAGCGCAATCCTCACCTGAAGCTTGTGAATCAGCAATCCAATGAAGTTCATGAAGTCAACGAGCTCAGAGGATTCGAACTGTGCAAGAAGGTTCGCCATCAAAGGCAAGATCAAGTGGGTAACGCTGGATCCTGTCGTGGCAATGATTCACGCAAATGCACGTCGTGTCTGCAGTGGTTGAAGTACACCGAGGCTTCAAACGAGTGAAGTAGTATACAAAAATCTTGATGAAAGCATTCTAGTCGACAAAAACACGAAAACGTATACGAAAACAAGATAGCTAGAGTGCAAGAATATCGTGATGAGGGTCATTTGTACATCAGGATGAAAGAGAATCGCAGTTAAACAGCTTGTGAATATATACCAGACGACAGTAATGCGCCGTAGAACTACACACCGATATGAACGAAAACCATCCTCTGCTCGAGCGGCACTTTGCCAGTAGAAACACATGGATGGTAGGGAAGATTGCTGCTTGAATTCAGGTTAGGGTTATAAAAGGCAGTAGGGTCAATGGTGGTGCTCACTTCATTGTGTCTGAATTATATTTTTAAGATCTTCGAGGGTTTTGATAAGCTGAGCGATGTTTCTTGCGGTTGACAGTAGGTGCAGAAATCTCGCTGTACGGGTGGATATATTGTGAAGCGAAGCAGTACCAGTGGTGTCGTCATAAGGGATGTCGTTGTGGGCGGGGTTATCACTAGAGGCAGCAGCTGCGTCATCTGACAATGTCTGGACCATGATGCATGCACAGTGAGGTGCGAGCGCCATGGAGCTGGGTGATCTGAAGCGGACCTTCTATATTTGTATTTGTTTATGGACGGGCACAAAAGCTAAGTTATAATTCCAAGATCTCGAGCAAATTCCACATAGACATCATAATATCGGTACGGTCGACGTAAGCAAATAATTACAGCAGCGTACAACATACTTTTTCCAACACACGCTTACGATCGATTTCTCACTGCTTTGTTCGTGCCTCTTCTCTCTTGGCTGCGCGCTCCTTCATGTCCGCATGCTTAAGGGCTGCCTTGACTTGTCGTTGCCTCTTGCGTCGACCGTTCCCTCGCTTAGGTCTATCGATAACAACCGGATCTGCCATGCGCTGCTTCCTCTTTGCGAGTTGTTCGGCGCGTTGCTTTTCATGTTTTTTGTCGCGCTTGCGAAGGGTGGTCATGGATGATTTGAGCAGGGCACCGTAAGCAGAGTGGAATTTATCGAGGTCTATTGATAAAATCTGTAGGGTGGTATATCATGAGCATAGCGAAGCCGTGCAAAAGATCTGTTATGTACCTTGGAGAATTTCGCCTTCTTGCCATCAGTGACACGAACGATACAAGGATATTATCTGCTCCCATCGCTCCCATCTTCTTCTTTCATTACGGTGTCATCACCATCATGAGTTACTACATATAATCAAAAAGTATTAAGTCAAAATAACAAAGCGATCTATCAAGACGCACATCGCTTATAAGTGAGCCATATCGTGCCCTATCTTATTGGTGTCATGGGCGCGCCCCTGTAAGCGTCACCCCATCTAACTAGGATGTACTGATCAATCAATCACCTATCAATAAAATACTGCTTCAAGTCGATACAGATATCATAACAAGATCGACGATATGACCGAAGTACTCGAGACATTCAAAAACCCACTAGCAGCAGACACAGGACTTTCCGCCTCTATGTTCCCCAGGGTCTGTATGTACTGCTACTGCTTGTTGGTGTGGTTGCTGTTGCTGTTGCGTATCAGGGTCCGGTTCGGTAGTATCGAGATATTCATCAGGTATGATGTCCGGGTCTGGGCCAGGAGCACCTGTAGCAGCATTACGCTGTAGATATACGCATCAGACAACCAGGATACGCTGGTAAGAATCGACTGGACCCACCTCTTTAGCCTTCGTGAATGGAACATCGACAACGGGCGGTGTTGCATGATGGGGTGACCGGGAGAATAGGTGCCGTAAATGAGTTTTGATGGTGGTGGTGACAGCGACTGGTGGTGAGGTGGTGGGTGGTGCAGGAGCAGGAGCAGGAGTAGGAGCTTCCTGAGGCCTCCTCGTCATAGCGAGCCTGAATCTTTTGAGGCGCCCAGAGCTTTGTTGAATTCTTGGCCTGGAAATCTGAGAATGCTGTGATGAATTATGAGCGAGAGAACAGAATGATACGCTCGTGCACACACTTGATGCGTTCCATAGAAGAAATTGGGATCTGCATCATAGCCATCATGATCTTGCCCGGGGATCTCTGCCTGCATAATAGTCAGTATCGAAGGAGGTAAGGAAAGAGGTATATACACCAAGAAAACGGTCGTTGTCCGCAGCGAGCGTGCTGCATTTCTCCTTGAACTCTGAGTGACATGCGGGTGAGCATAATAGTCGTGGGTGACATGACGGAAGACTTGCCGTTGGACCAATCGAGACAGCTGGCCTTCGCAAGGTCGTCGATGGTGTCCATCATGTGTTTGTGTGCTTCGAGGGCTTCGTCGAGTTTACCTGCAGAAAGCAATGCCTGGCACCGTCTCTGGTGTGTGGTCAGCAACAAGGACTTGAGATCCCAGCCGAAGAGCTGGACAAAGCGCTAGGTTAGGATGAGCATTATGTATGCATCATGTCGACGCACCACGATCAAGTCCTGGCATAGGAAATGAATGTATTTCAACGAGAAAGCGTCTGAGTTAACAGCGGCAGTGAAGTGATCAGCGGCTTCGTCGTGATGTGCGCTATCGAAAACTTTGATTCCGAGCTGAACACGTAGATATGTCTATTGTGCGAGTTTAAAAGATCAGGATTGATGACCGAGTGTGGCCATATGACACTCACTTCCACGACACGACGCGCAAGAGGGTCGACATTGGGACAAGCGGCAGCCAGGTCTTTGATGAGCAGCATCGCTTCCTCGTGTTGATATGCATTAAATAGTGCGATGGCCTGGAATACCAGATGAAGCAGATAACATGGGAAACGAATTAAATGTACCTTGATCAAGAGAAGAAATTGGTTGATTTCTGAATCATGGTTGGTGAACATGGATGCGACGTCGAATGCTACCCTTGCTTTCCGGACGCGACCTTTCCCGCAGAGGGCGATGCCTTTGGAGATGAAGCCTATCAATGACGGACTAATGTTGATTGACTATGTCACGAATGAAAGTTAGCCTCTCTTAAGAGGGCAATGATTGGTAGGTCCATCTCACCTTGATTGCATCCTCAAGGGCGTGGTCCAAATTGTGCTTCCGGGCCATTATGAACGAATGATTGGCATATGAAGTAAAGTCGTCGGCGTTGGTGTGGATCTCTTGGGTGAGGAGCTCTTCAGCGATAAACAAATCCCCAGTTAGACATGTATCGCAGGCTGTTGTGATGTCAAGGATCTGTACGAAGGATGCTCGAATTGTATAATGAGAGTCAGAAATGGAAACTCGCCTTTGAATGAGCGTCCTTTGGTATTGCCCACTCCGAGATCTTGCTATCTCCACCTCCGCTGAGGATGTGCTTGCCGTCCACAGAGAACGTGACACATTTCGTGGCGGATGAATATTTGAATGCTGGAATACGGCGATGGTTCGTTGATCTGAGAGCCGCCAGAGACGAACATGGTTGTCATGAGATGCAGAAGCAACGAGGGTGCCAGCGGGATGAATGGCAATGGCGTGGATAGTGTCAGTGTGGCCTTTGTAGGCATGACCGACCTGCTGCCAGGTTGATGTGTCCCACTCCAATATGTAATTATCGTTTCCTGAAAGAAGGTGTGTGCCATCGGGCGTCCACGCGAGTGACGTGCTCCATGTGCATGATTCGTGACCTGTCAAAGATGCGACACGTTCCCTTGTGCCTGGATTATAAATTTGGATATTGTCGTTTGTTGCGATGGCAAGAAGTTCACCAGAAGGCGAATATCGAACGCAGTTGACACGAATGCCACACTCGATTGGATCTCCTTGCATCTGCCACGTTTTGGTACTCCAAAACTTGACCGTCTTGTCCCATGAACCAGTGGCCAGCACCGTTCCATCCAGAGAAAAATCCAAAGAAATGATCTTTTCAGAGTGGGCTTTAATGGGTTGGGTGATGGATTCGCCGGTTTCACCGTGCCAGGCGATGACCTCTCCATCGTGATCACCACTTGCTATTATTTGACCATTTCGTGACACCGCCAATGCATACACAAAACTGCTATGCCCTTCCATCTTCTTCAACACAACACCTATCTCCAAGTCCCAAAGACGAAGCGTGTAGTCCGCCGAGCCCGTAATCATTCGTCGTTTATCGGGGAACACTGCGACTGCATTTATGTACCTCTCATGATCTTCAAAAGTTCGAATGGGTGTGGTGGTTGGAATGAGCTGTAACATTTTCCTGGACGTTGATGATGTTGAGCACGGCCGAGGGATTGTGGGTGTCTTTCTCTAAGTTACAGAAGTGCGTGTATTGTGCGTTTTTATGTTGCTTCACCACGCTAACCATCCTCGTTTTCATAGATCCCCCAGACACGAGGCCGGCACGGTTCGCCATCACCGCCTGCTCCCGAGTCCCAACCAGTCATAACCGACTGCACTGGTTACATGCGTCCGACATGTGTCTCAACTCCTACCGAGACATCAAGCAAGTAGCACACCTCTCCAATAAACTTTCACGTTCAAGTCTTATGTCTCATGACCGCTCACCTTACGGCTCGCTGTAGACTAGTCTAAAGTATCTGCATGTTTTGGTGCGTCTTGATTGTTGATCCCTGACAGGAAGGGAACATTTCCAGTACTGTGCATCAAGAAGATTAAGCTTGCTTTCGCCTGCAGTGAATTCGAGCTGGAGAACGACCATCATGCGCATCATAAATAAATAAAAATTGTAGCGAATGATTTGTGAAGCGCAAAGTAGTCTCGATTCTATCATTCCAATCAGCATCAGTGGTCGTCCGCGCACGGCCACCCCCGTCTAACGAGCTGAGTCGCCCTGCCATGCCACTAACTGTACTCTACGGCTAGCTAGTGTGGACATCTGGAACCACGAGTGCCAACGAAGCCAGCTCCATTCGACTGAATGATAGCATCGATGAACACCGGATGCCTGGTAACAGCCACAACTTAAGTTAGAATGAAACATGACATCCAACCTGCTCACCATTTTCCATAGATCTCCTCTGCGCGTTCCGCTGCATAATCTCCCCACGTCCACCCCAATGCCCCAACATCTGACCACCATTCCGGGTCCCTTTCGTCGCTCGTCATGATAAAATGCGTGGCCTCAATCCCTTTTCGTGTGCGAGGCTCATCTTGCACCTCAGACACCCTGTGCGCAATGACAGACAACGGGGCGAAGCACTGCTCCACAGGAAACTCCTCGCATTGCTGGCTGAAGTCGCCGTGCCGTGTGTGGATCGATATATACTATCAAAGGTTAGTAGAGCAACACATGCCCGAAACTTTCACTCACGGGAGGTATTGGTTCATTCATGGCGCGTCGGGCATGCGCATCGACTATCTTTTCCATGCTTGCAGTCCATCGCATGTGTTGGCCTACAAATCTCCATGCAGGAGAATACAGTCCCATGTATGATGAGCGCTTATGTAGTAACAAAGCATAATACGTGGTCGTCCGGAGGAAGGGAAGCCTGGTGCTGAGGAGAAGGACGATTCGTTAATGATAATTCCAGGCTTTTGGAGCGAGTTTCTGGAAATCCAAGTGATGCGAGAGACCAAAAGGATGCATGATTGTGGTGTACGCTAAGGAATATCAGCTCGACCCAAGCTGGAGTTTGCGTTCACGAAACGTCTGTGATAGCCATGGATTTAATTATTGAAGAGGGATGTTCGAAGTTGTCTCACCGAGCTTGAGCAGGTTCAGGGAGGGACTTCATCGTAGTTCAAGAATCTTGATATGCTGTTGAACGGTTTCCCAGACAGTCCAACAACCAACATCATCGAGAACCTGACTTTCTGGATCCTTGACTTCGTGCCATTGAAGCAAGTGAATCCCCATGGCTTGACTACGAACTCTACCTCCCTGCCTGCGCTCCAAACACCGCCAAACAGCCTCTATGACCTAACCTCCTCCCTAGGGGTCCCCTGCTCCAATGCCTAAGATACGATCAGTGGCGCATATTTGGATAGCATGATAAATAAACATACTTCTGTGTCTACTTCATCGAATAGCGGGAGCGAGAACACATACTCTCTTGTTGCTGATGTCGGTTGATAGTGTTGGAATCATAAATCCAAAGGGTTGATAGAGGGCTGACTTCCGTTTTTGACTTTGCTTTGAAAGAATCTCGGTGGATGGCAGTTCGTTGGAGACTTAGATGCACTGACGCAAGGATAGATGGACGGTGGTGATCTGAGGAGCTGAGGTGGAAAAAAGGCTGCATGTGCAAGTTGGTATGGGTTATGTGTTAGGGATGGTTTTAGGTGTCGACAGGTGCTTAGAGGTTCGTTCCTGTAATGCTAATACCTGCCACTACTCGGTATTAACAGTAACTGCATATTACGACTTCAAGCTTCAAGCTTCAGCCCCAATGTAAAAGTTCCCACGTGCATACATGCTCAATCAAACTAAGCCTGATGTCTATCGGCACATACTCTTTAGCCAGTGGTCGGGACCCAGAATCATCCTATGCCAATTCCTCTACATATGAGATTAATGATCGCTCAACTCCAATCCCAGGTCTCCAAGAAAGTAGCCACGACGAATATACCCCCACTCGTGTGTCTACCCGGGAGTCCGCGTCTATCATCTTCACCACCCCCACACATCGCTCAGCTTCTGCAGGCCTCTCTTCAAAAACTCGCAAGGCACTCGAGAAGTTATATGACCGCAACTATGGCGCCCGTCACTGTCTCGTAACGTCTTCAGCAGCCTACCTGGTGACTGTAGCCCATGCCGTTCAACGTGCGAGCAAGTCCGATCTTGTGGGTAATTTCATTACCTATGAAATGTTCAATGTTAATAATTTCGTCAGTTGACACTCTATGAATATTGTCTTGGTTTAGATTTGAGATCATTCCATGTGGACAGCAGACGAAATATGTTCTATCGTATGACACATTTCTTGCGTGCGGCACTGTTGACGCTGATGTTAATCTGCAGTGTCACCCCACTTGCATGGTATATTTGATGCTGGTCGCTGGTTTCTCCTGCCGGATACAGGAACACTAAGGAAAGTCTATGACTACGTGAAAGACGCTGTTGCATCAAGGGCAAACTCCCAATCTAGTAAAGGCACGAAACATTTCTGGTTAGAGGTAGGCACTTGTTCTGTGGTATCGCATGCCTGCAACAATATTCACTTTTCCGTAGTGGAATCTCAACAATAAAACACCATACACGTTCATACTATTGCCTGGCGCAGGATGCCCACGCATCTCATGCGAAATTGGTGGTGGAGTTTGGGAAGATCACTCTTATCCTTACCAAGGCCTCCCATTGCTTGAGTGTCATATTGCACCTCCCTTTGCCGTTATAAACGCAGGCCCCAAGTGCACAAGGGATCACATCAATCAGATCGCCCGCGAGTATTGTTCGCAACAGACGAGTGAGTTTCGGAAGGAACTTGAAGAACGACTTACACTTTTGTGTAATACGTGGGCCCTTTTCGAGGATGCGAAGAAAGATGCGAAGGATTGGGAGGTAGAAAAGATGGGTAAGAGGAAGAGGGACCGCGATGACGAGGACATAGAGAATCTTTCTCGAGGGAGCAAACGTATCACACGGTCGCAAGCACGCTCTGCGCACGATGGCACGCCGAAGTCTGATCTACACAGTAATCAAGCAAGAGATAAGCCTCCACCACCGGGCCCTCGCAAACGCAAATTGTCTTCCAGCTTACGCGGAGCTGCTCTTACCGACGACGCAGTCTTTCACCTTGAAAAACGACAGAAGAGGATCGACTTGCGCACACGAGTCCGGCGCTGGGTCACGGAGTCAACCCGAGCCTCATCACTAGACCCAGAGCCCTCATCAGGAAAAAACATGTTGACTATATAGACCTATATAGTCAGGGTAGATGGTTACTTGGTACACTGGATTGCGGTGATATTGATGTTGACTCAGTCCTCCGACAGTAGTCGTCGAGTCCCTAAAGATGTCAAGATTCGTTTGAGACTGAAAATTAAAATCGATTGGACGTACCATTCCCCACGGATGGTCTTGACATACATCCCCACATCCTCATGCGAATCTGGAGGCGCATTTTGAGTTAGATGACGCTTCCTTCGACATCTTCACACGTTAAGGTCGAACGTCCAGGCTCGGACTGACAATCGAAAGGCCACTTCATTCCTATTAGAAAAGACTACCTTTCTTCGCCTACAAAGGTTCGTCGATCTAGGGAAGTGAATCCGTGATCTGTGCGAAGACCATGTTCTCCTATTAGCGTGCTGACAGGTCAGAGCAGTCAAGTCTAAGTGATAGATTTGAAGTTATATACGTAGTAAGGGACGAAGGTGGGAGGCAGTTTCGATATCGCGTAGTGAGTGTAAAGGTTATATGTGGGATGCGAGAATCTTAGCAGCCACACTAGTACTGCTTGCTGGAATCCCGGAACCCTAACTCGATATAGAGATTGGGGTTGACTGAGGACTCGTATCCTTGGCCGTCTGCGCTGATATATGAGTTTGAATGTGTTGGAAGAAAATTTGACCTCAGTAATTGGACCAAAATTGTTCCTGGAATCAAGAAGAAATGATTTGTGTCTTCCTTCAAACATATTCCGGGAGAGATTTGAAAGTTGAAATGTTGACCACGGCAGCGACTATCATGGGGCATGCTAAGGCGGGGACCTGAGGCCTGAGGTGTGGGTCTGGACTCTGGGGCGGGCCAAGGCGTATACCCACAACTTTGTACCAAGCTAACCCGTCAAGCTGGGCCCTTCGGCTGACCGCGGCGGTGCGACCTAGCCTGGGAAAGTATTTGTACGACGACTTCCTAAAACGTGTGGTCTCGACCAAGTCGGGTCTCTGCCATCGTGCGATGATATACATGGTTCTGGAATCAGGAAAATGACCGTATAACATATTCACCATACAAAGTCCTTTGGACTGCACTTAAACGTTCAAGCCCCCATTTTCACCTCGCACTAACGGACCAACCAGTAGTTAGTCCCAGGAAATTGCCTCGTGAATGTTTTCAATCCTCGCATTCTTGATGCCAGCATCCGCGATGTGACGGGGTGTCTGTCTGACGTTCAAAAGGCTGATGTTCTTCTCCACGCTTTGCAGCATTTGCCGTCCGAAGGGTACGTTCGTCCAATTACTTTGTTTATAAAATAAAATCTCAATCGTTGTGTATCACAAAGGTTCCGAATTGTCATGGAAAATGCTATTCAGTCCTTTCTCCAAGTCTCAGGTGTTCCACCAGCAGATGTTGCAAGAGCTCTTTTGTTACGTGCCAAAACCCGTTTAGCAGCTGGGTACCGAACCTCTGCACAACAAGGTCAACTTCATGCATGTCCTTGGGTCCCGTCAGTGTGCTGATATCACTATCTTTCAGATTTGATGTCCGCGTTAGGTTCAGATCCCGCAAATCAAGATGTCAAAGCCATAATACAATCTGAGCATTTACGACAAGAAATGGTAACTTGTGCAACCCTTTTATGACGTCCCTTTACCCAATAATATCAAGCTTATCAGGGCACCTGACGGTCCGCCTCGTTTTTCTGCCGAAGTTTGGAGAGAAATTGCTCTGTCTTCCCAAACGTGATCTCAAGTCTCTTTTACTGGTCCCACATGCACTCTCTCGCATAGCAAGTCAGCTTATCTTCCGCGAGATCGATCTTCATTCCACAACATCGCCGGACCCCCTGAGAGCTGAGAACAGATACAGGGATGTCAATGGCCGCCAGGAAGAACAGGAACTCGACGCCTGGCACTGCCAGTGAAGTGCAGACATTCTTACCCGCATTCTCGTCGATCCCGTCTTTGCCTCGCAGGTCAGAAACGTAAGCGTATATGCTGTTTCAGACACATCACACACATTGGCGTTTCAGACTGGTTTGTGCTCATTATTTAGCGTTACTATGTCTCCATCCTCCCTAGGAATGTTAATTAACTCTTTGCCTAAGCTCTGCAACCTTCGCAGTGCGCATTTGTTCAGGCAACAGTGTATTAATCAATCGCATGCTTGAAACACTGTGCCACAAACCATGGTCTTTACAGCCTGTCCATCAAGTACGTCGTTTCATACTTTTTCGCCCCAAAACGGCCTGCATGTTCACGCTCCGCAGTCTTTTTAATTGTTTAGGGGATGTTGATATCCCACCATTCAAGCACATTACACATTTCTCCATCACAGCTGAAGGAGGGAACAGCACATCTACCCACGACTTTATATCACAGAGTCGTGACAACCTGCGCTCGTTGTCCATCAAGAATGCAAACTGGAAATTCCCAACAGATGCCATCTCTGTCCGTTACTTAACGATCATCGAGTTTGAGGGCTGTTTTTCCGTAGATAGCCAGGTCTTCTCAGAGATCTTGTCTACCGGCCACCAACTACAGTCACTAACATTGTCGCGTATTCTGGAATGTACTCCATCAACAACGTTCCGCCTGCATAGGTCCTCGCTTCCGTTTCTGATGCATTTTGCTCTCAAGATTATCAGTCTGCATCGACATGTCACAGACAGGGACCTCGTGCCTGCTATCTCGGAATTCTTGACAGATCGCAAGCATCTTCATTCCTTCCACCTCATCGTGCCTAGCGGAGACCATCGTCGCATTGATTTTGACGCGTCTGCTTGGGGTGTACTACCTTCTCTAACGAACCTCCGCAGTCTCTATATCACGTATCCTAGAGATCTTTCTCCTTCGCTAGCAGGGTGGCTTATTCCGCGGAGTGTTCGTGCGCTCACCATGGATATTATGGTACCGCCTGCAGAGGACCTTCTCCTTTTCATAAACGTGAGTCGATGGCGCTCGTCATTGAAAAGAAGAGTAGAACTGATGTATTCTATTATAGCAATTGCGTCCGGGAGTCCCTCCCCTTCTCACGTTCATTGGTATGACAAACTTTCCGATACGCTCCGTCATCAACGTGATCGACCAGGGCTTTTCCAACGTGCGGCTTGTGCGTATCGACGACAATGTCTGGAGTGTTATCCGCCTAGACAGTGATGGGTCGATAGAGATGGAGCAATGGCCATATCGAAGGATAAAATACCACTCGGCAGTGTGGTTGGAGTTCCTCGGGTGCGAAGATGCAATATGGCATCTGGTATAGTAAACACGAGGCGTGTCTCAAAAACAAAGACGTTGGATGTACTTTTCCAATGCTTTACCCTCTTAACATTCTGCTCATCGGATAACTTTCTGTAGGCGCATCCACGTTCCACATACCTGCAACACATCTGAAATCGAACATAGAGCTCGAAGTCTATCGTCTGAGTCCCTTGCCGCACGGCATGCAAAGTTTACTCCGCCAAGTGCCCAGTCCACGCTCGATAGTGATGTAATTGGACTCTCTGACTCTCTTAGCGATAAGTCATCTGAGCAGTAAGTAATTTGACCGGTACTCTCTGGTGCTCGTGCTGAAAAATTGCTTAGATTATTGCAGCAAATCCTCAACACTCTTCGAAGTTCCAACATCATGGAAAAGGGAGCAAAGGATGAGCGATCGCGATTCTGGACGGTATACCAAAAGGTTGCATCACAACACGACGACGATTTTTTGGAGCAATATGGTGGTGACATGGATATTGTCTTGATCTTTGTAAGTCGTAAACTCGTGCGTTAACAACATGGTGATGACTAGTCTTCAGTCTGGCCTATTTTCCGCAGTGAATACGGCGTTCATCGCTACTATGGGGCCTAGCGACGCTACTCCCACAGATGCTTTATTGACGCAAATCATCACACTGATGGTAATGAACAGCCATGGAACCCCTATCACAGATACTTATCCGCTTCCCGTACCACCTGCATATTCCAACGGGCAAATATGGTTTCAGACACTAGCTTATGCCAGCCTTTCATTCAGCCTTCTCGCAGCATTCGGCGCCGTTTTGGGTAAACAATGGCTCCGCATCTACAAGCTTAAACGGTTCGGGTGTGGATCCCTCGAGGAGCAGGGCAAGAACAGACAACAAAAATTTGACAGCCTCAAAGCGTGGCATTTGGATGCTGTGCTGCAAACGTTTCCGGTCCTTTTGGGAATTTCATTATTGCTATTCGGCATTTCCCTCTCCGCGTACGTGTGGACGCAACAGCGGACCATCACATCCATCATCATTGCGACCACGGTGCTCGGTTGCCTGTTCCATTGGTGCACCCTCTTTGCATCCCTTTTATCCCCAGATTGTCCCTTCCAAACGCCAGCTACTTTCGTATTTCGCATGACTGGTGTCTTCATGTAGGCAGCAAGCATGGTCATTAAAAAGAACGACAACGACCTACGCACACTGGGCGCAAGCCTCCGCGACATCAGAGCATCCATCTCGAGACTCCTACAACGACTATTCAGTGTCAAGCCCTCCAGCGACATCGGAACAGAATCTGCCATATGCTGGGTTCTTGCAACATCCACAGATCCAGACGACATTACAAGCGCAGCATCACTCATTCCCACCATTACATGGCCACCGAACTCAGACGTCGTGTCTTACTGTCAACGGCTTCGAGATACATTTTTAGCCTGTTTTGACGCTGAATGGCGACTCCGGCCCTCAACAGAAGATAGAGCGGTCGCCTGTGGGCGAGCTTTGAACCATTTGTGTCTGAGTGTTCTGCCAATTGGAGATGATTCCAATACCCGAACTGCTTCCCAGCAGTCAAGAATTTGGCATCCGTGGCACAGCGTCATTCTTCCACGAAGCTTTGACCAGTGCAAGGCCTTTGCCTGCCAACTGTCAAAGTTCAAGTTGTCCGGCCGGGAGAGGGAAAAATGTCAGGCAGACGCACGCACTGCATTGCGCATGATGATTGCTGCTTCTGGGGACGGATTCGTCCATCCAAATCACGACTCCATCATTTGGCGTGGTCAATTCACGTGGACCAACGATCGTCGTACGGCAGCTGATTTCGATTGGCTGGTCGACTACCTCGCGTCCATCTCCCAGGATCCCACAGCAATGGGAGATGCTTTATTAGTGCTGAGCGCTATGAAGGGACTCGGCACTCGAGAATCTGCTTACCTAAGCGCGCTCATATCAAAGACGACGATATTGAAGATGATGACAAAGACGATCTGAATGCAGTCATTGAAATTCCTCGCTCAATCGCTTGGTGAGGTGACGAGGTCTCAGGTTGCCCTTCTTCTCTTGAAGAGACGGTAATGGTCATGCTTGATTCTGGTTTCACTCCTCGCGATTGCCCAGTTCTCGCTGAGAAGCTTCGTAATGTTCTCAAGACGATGGTCAACGACTTTGTGCAACGACATAAAATCGAGGTACCCATGTCTTGTGTAGGATGGATTGTGCCAGGTGCGAGGTTATCAATCATCAAGGCTTCGTTTATTTGATCGTTGTGTCACCTAGACCCTTCCGAAACATTGGCTCCTGATGAAGTGCAAATTCTCTCAAAGGATTCGAAATTCCGCTGTCCTGATGGAACCGAGTCAAATGTTGTGTTGGGTGATGTCCTGGTCAGTGTTGTTCAATATCGCTCCTCGACTCATCACAGACGCTGAGCCGACAATAGCTCACACGACATCCTTGTAAACTACCGACAGATACTCAGAAGACATGTTGATCTGTCATCTACCGTTTCTTCCCATCTTGATGATTTGGAGGCAGGTCAAAGCTGTTGAGAAACCGGAGCTCAGGCGTTACACAGACATGATAGTGTGCTCTGTGCAGGGAACTCGCTGGTTTGCGGATCTTCTTGCTGGAGGTACGTCAAATCATACAATTATATTCATATCAAGATACCGAGTGGCAATTAGGCGGTTACGATGAGGACAAGGCAATTGCTATTTGGCAGCCATCCATAGTGTCGCACTTCAAAAATGCCGATCTCAAATACTCTCATCCGCCTGATAATCTCTCAGAGAATTTCCATAAAAACACCCTACGAGTCGACGATTTTTTGGAACAGCATCAAGGATGCAAATTTGATGATGTGATACCCCGCCTGCAGTCATTTTTGTTAGGAGGATTGCGCGACATATCGTCAGTCGGAAAGTACTCGAACTTACACGACGTGACAGTGTACACCCTTGGATATGCGCATAATGAAACCATTCGCTTGGCTTATATGTAGGTCATAGTTGTTGTAGTCGTGGGACACACATTGATATAACCACAGGTTTTGCAATATTCTTGACGGTGCGAAGAGTGGTTTGACCGTTTTACCGGAGGTCATAAAGAGCGATACAAAGCTCTACCACAAGTGCTCTCCAGAGTGGAAAGAGTGTGGGGAGGAGAAACCGGAAACCAACGAAATGAACGCCCAGCGTCCCAAAGGCATGACAGAATTTGTTATGGATGCAATTATGAGCCATGCCTGGAACCACCGGGACCTGCAACTGCAACAGGTCGACATCGCTTTTTCCAGACACCATGGTCACCGAGATTCCGCTCTCGAGAAGCCATGGCAGGATGCTGAGTCAAGGCTGCAGCGTGTGAAGTGCAACAATGAGCACGCTGCTTTGACAATGGAAATGGAACTATCCAAGATACGCAAACACGTCGAAAAGATGCGTGAGGAGTACAGGAAGAGCATCCGTCGCAGTTTCTCTGGCCTTAAGATTGAACGGTGACAGGACATTCTTCGCTCCCTCGCTCGTGATTTCTCTGCTGCCCCAGATGTTTCATCTTTTCTTTTCTTCTCGTCGGAGGAGGTGACAAGGCTCAAGGCTTCCTACGCATATATTCACGAATGCCCGAACTTCACTGGTCAATTCCCCTGGGATGTTGGCATGCGAGAGCTTGGGATGATCAAGGCAAGGAGCCTTGGTCCGTCGAAAACATTCGCGCTCGGTTTCTATGTAATGACATAGCATAGTATGGCGCATCAAGCTAATGGCATCAGAAATTGCAGCCAAGTGGGGTTGATGCTGAACTGGGAGCAAGCGATGACACGGAAAAGCGATATCGTTGGGTCAGGACTGTCTCCGAAGGGAAAGGGCTTCTACAATACTTCTGCTCACTTTCTATGGGTTGACGACCATACGCGACAACTTGATGGTGCTCATATTGAATATTTCTGAGGTACCCACAATTCCATTGGCATCAAGGTCGGATCTTCATTAGAAAGTGCGAAGCTAATCAAGCTCCTACAAAGTTTGTATAATTCCGGGAGTATGTCTCGCAGAACATACTCATCGCATGCCACACGGGAATGAGTGTGAGCAGCGCTCGACGGCTAGTGACAACGTTTGTCAAGTTTGCCTTGAGAAGTAGTGACGCACGATGCGAACAGCGTCGTCTCATGGAAGTAAACCTTCGACCTCTGAGCCACTCTGGCACCGTTAACACCATGATGTCGAGGGCGCACGTCACCGTGTGCACTGATGAGACTCGACTTGAAAATTAGATGAGCACGGATGACAGGTATTCTGGACAAGGAACTTGAAAGAGATAGGTAATGAACAACCCGAGTTGTCGGTAGGTTGAGTTGATTGAGGTTTAGGTGAATGCACTACTAATGGACCTACGAAGATACTCAAGGGATGTCCATGTTGCAGGCTATACTGTTAATATTAAGCATAATACTATCTAGTTAGAAACAGTATGGTTTTGTAAGTTTGTCTCTTAGGGCTTCAGTGCCAATGGTGATGCTTAATGCATTCACACGATGCTTAACGCTCCAGACACTCGTTCTGGCGATTTTTGACCAATCTAGGACGAAATACCAATTCCTGGGGTTCCTTTGATTTGTTCCTGTAGCCAGCAGATCTATGCATTCAGATCGTGGTTCTGGTGGTTCCTAAAATCGGGTCAGGATCTTGCGGTCGAAATTTCACTAAGTCATTTGCGAGTCGGCCATTCTCACTAGATAGTATTATGCTTAATATTAACAGTATAGCCTGCGTCTCCTTTGATTTGTGTAGTAGCGAGAGGGAATGTACACTTGCATAATTCATTGAAGTCTGGATCAATGCTCAATGTTCAACCTCAAAAAGATATCTCCTAGGTCAGTTTGGAATTTTCGAGTACGGCGTTGAATTTCGTATGTCATTAATGATCAAGGGCAAGAAAAATTTAACATATGTACTACCACTATTATACGACGACATGTATACGAAAAACGAGGGACCAGAACACAATAAGTCACAATTATGATATCATTATGATATCAAACAGAAGGTACTGAAAATGGTGCGAGAGATATGTCAGTAAACGATTCAATGCATTGAGCAAGCGTGGACTCACTTTAAAAGTCCTATCTCCGAGTTCTCGCTCGCTTGTTGATTTGGCCAATTTGGTTCGCCTGCGCCATACGGGTGGACTCCTGCCGAATACGACCAGTCTTTCGCAGTGTATTCGGATCAGCAGACTCGATAACCTGCATGCCTGTGTCGACAGCCTTTGACGCACGCTTTCGTTTTACCTTGAGTGTTTTCTCTGGTGCGCTATGTAGCACTTCTCCGTTTTGTGGAGTCTCCGCCGCAGGAGACGCAGGAGGTATGGAAGGGAGAACTGGGGCAGGGAGTGACGGGGAATGGAGAACCGGGGCAGGGAGTGACGGGGCAGGGAGAACCAAAGAAGGGAGTGACGGGGCAGGGAGAACCAAAGAAGGGAGTGACGGGGCAGGGAGAACCGAAGAAGCGAGAACTGGGGCAGCGACAGCCGGGGCAGCGACAACCGGTGAAGGGAGAACCTGTGAAGGGAGAACTGGGGAGTGACGTGGAAGGGAGTGGGAAGGGAGTGACGGGAACATGAATTGTGGGATTGCTATAGGTGGCAAGGAAGGTAGCGAGTGCGAAGGGAGTGACGGGAACGTGAATTGTGGGGTTGCTATAGGTGGCAAAGAAGGTAGCGAGTGCGATGCTGCCGATTGTGTAAACGAACGTGGTGTGATTGGGGACAACTGTAGCGCAGGGGGGAAAGAGTTTGTTGAAGACAGGAATGATCGCAGTGCAGGTGGCGTCCCCCAGGTGGAAGTGCTTGTAGATCCATTGGGCATGCTTGGAGATCCGTCAAGTAAGGGGCGGAGAAGAGGCGGCGGATTTTCCCAATTCGGCGCGTCAAATGATTCTGTGGGATCTTTTGTGAATGAGACGTCTTGGAGGCCGTATCCGTTGGATGACTGCAGACCGACATTGGGGAAGGAGACGGATGGGTCATGTTGGAGGTTGTAGAGCTCAGTGGAAGCAGGGGGTGCAGATAAAACCAGAGGCGGTGATTGAACAGATGTTGTAGCCGGAGGTGTTATGGTAAGTGCATCTGGCTGAGAGCAGCCAGAATCAAGTGGCTGGGAAGCGGATGGCGTGGATGGCGTACTACTAGATGCTGAAGCATCATAGTTGATTGCACGTGTCTTCCTGATGTGCGGTGCTATATTTGAAGTTGCAAACATTGAACATTGAGTCTTTGCTAGTAGTATGGGAAGCACTTACGAAAAATTGTGCCAATGAAGTCGACATACACCTTCAAGTGTGTCTCGTTGAATTGCGGTGTCGCTTGTTTCCAATTGAGACCAGTTGCATTCACACCTGAATGGTAACTGCAGTGCCTGTGAGATTCCCGCGCTCATAAATCAACAACAACATCTTATCTACCTCATAGCATTAATATTGCCGTCCAAACGCGGGTCTGGTCCAGCGCCGATCAGACTCCATTCCCAACCCGTCATGTCTTTGATGACTTGCATGAATTGTGAAATCGGACCCATACACTCAGTAAGTGCCCTGTAAAATCACCCATTGAGCAACTTAAAGCGTGAGTGTTGTAGAATGGTTCATACATAGCATATTGAGCATTGGTAGGGGCCCCATCTGGCTTCTTGAGGACTTCCGATGCCTTGGCATCCCGTTCCGCCTGAACCTTTGCCCTACACAAGGCCTTCACATCCTCACTCGCGTCCTCATAAGCTGTGCGTGTCATCAATTTCACAGCTCCCAACTTTTCCCTCTTGGTAAGGCCGTTTGAAGCGATGCTCTCCTTCACTTGCTGCTGAATATCATCTGCATACCTCATTTTCGAGAAAACTTCAGCCTCGGTGTGGACGCGGGTGCCCTTGGCTTTGCTGGTAAGTATCTGTCGGATTGTTTTACCCATTGCGTTTACAGCAGTGCGGCCGCTTTTCTGAGAACGGTAATTAAACCAATTCTTGATTTTCTTATGAAATGGTAAGCGGGTCTAATTGGTTCTCATGAAATGATAAACTCACCTTTTGCCTGAGATCAACAGCTGTACCTTTCGCCTCCTTTTGCTCTTCTGACAAGACTCCCGGCGCTTCGCCAAAAATCGCAAGTTCCTCCGGAAACCTTCTGAACCACTCTGAGAACACAGGGCCCCAGAATTGCGTGACAGACGCCCCGACTTGTGCCTTCAAAAAATCGTTGTACTTCGACTCAAGGAAAGCTTTCTGTTCTGGTGTTGTCCATTCTGCAGGCGGCATCTGCCCCTGCCGGATCAGTATGATCTTAATTTAATTTATGAAATGTATGTCATGGCTTACCTCGGCCTTTTTGACAGTCGCGGGTGTCCCAAGTTGTCGAGTTTGCGCCCGCCAACCCGAAATTAAAGTTCAAAATCACACGAGGTCAGTCCGTTGTCCAATCACAATGCATCGGAGCTAAAATTATGCTCATATAATCATTCTATAATCATCCTCGGTTGACATTTTCACTCCCGCGTGCTCCAAATGACAAACCCTGACACTGCCGCCTCATACAACGTACCTGAAAATGGGTACTTTGGGCCAGTATTTACCACGAACGAGCTCACAGCAGCATTACAATTAATTCGCGACCAAGGTATGTTACGCACACAGAAACCTGCCAGCTCACGTACTCGAAATTCACAGTCCAAGAATCCGCCGGCTCATCTGAGACTGAATATTATGGGCCAGTATTCGCTATGAGCGAGCTTGCGTCCGCGCTTAAACTGATTCACGACCAAGATGGTATGTAATTACCTACTAGACCTGCATTATGTATTGACCCATGACACCAAGTAATGACAAAAGCTCACGATGGCTACTCGCTTGCCGATGCACCTTTACCATCGCCTAGTTTGCAGGGCTGCCCTGCTTGCATTTTCCGTACTCACCGTCAAACTTGTTACGTCTGCCGCGCACATATTTCCGCATGTCACGCATCATCCTCCCGGGCCACTGAGTCTATGTCACTCACAACAAACACTACGGCAAACGATAAACGACAACAGTGAAATGGACACTGTACGTGTTTATTCAGTATGACATAATTGAAACTGACGCGGAGATCTTGATCACATCAGGTTTTAACATTGCAGCAACGAAAATTCACGTAGGGAGAGTTTAATGGAGTATCTCGTACATACATGTTCACTTATGTACACCGTGTTAAGCTTGAACTTGAGCGCTTGAGCAATGAACATAAATTCATTAAAACACATCATATCTTGAGCACGCGGGTTTTCGGTCTGGTCACAAAGCATTGGTGTAGTACCTTATCAATTAAGCACGGGTTTTGGTCAGACCAAAAAGCATTGGTGCGGTACCATATTAATGATGATAGTATCAATTGATCCAGGTGCATGGTAGCTTTGACTGTGTATACTCATAATGTTTGTAGAGAATAAGACCCTCATTAAAGCTTAGATGTATTGCGAGAATTGTGTTAAGTTGCAAGTAGTTTTGGTCTGACCATTGCGCAAGTAGCTTTAGCTTTGGTTCAATTGAGTTATGGTCTGACCAGAACCTTTGCACTTCTTTTTCAACCAACTACTACGCCATGCCACGTCCTCCTATACATAAAACAAATCAGGCTAAACTACAAGCCGCTCGTGAAAAGTCCCAGCGCCACTATGCGAAGTACGTTTGTTTAATTAATTGTCTGCGGTGCAATGTTCCTGACTAGGCAACCAATTGAAGAAACAGAGAGAGTATCCTCAAAAGACGACGAGAACTTCGTGTTGAAAAAAATAAACCAACGCGGGAGACCCGACAGTTTGAGAAGGCAGTTGCGAGAGCCTTGAAAAGCCATGACGACTCGGATGAAGATGAGAGTGACACTGAGCTGGAGACTGATGAATCTAGCGATGATGAGAATGACACACCGTATGTTTTATAAATAGAAACTGATATGGCGAACATAAAATTAACATTCAACAGATCAGATCTCCCAGGGTGCCTCCTTGCTCTCAAAGAGATCAAGGACGAGATGTTGTCATTGACCGATGATCGTGAACCCCAGAAATTTGTCGAGGACAACCTCCTTCACTACGTCAAAAGCATCAAATACACGGACGACCGTGGTGATAATGGTGACATCACCATTATCTCAAACACAATGCTCAAGGTTCAAGATATTCTAAATCGCTCAATTCGCGTGCAAGATCAACTCCTTAATTTTTGTGGCCCAATCTCAGACGAGTTTCGTACAGCTAACTCAATGTCTCGATTTCTCAGCACCACGGCTGCATATCTTGAAGAAATTGATTATTTGATTCACTGGGAGGGAGTTTCTGAACTTTGCGTTGCTCACTCGTTAGGGGAGTTAATGTATCAGAAAAACCTCCGCGTTTGAGTCACGTTCACACGGATGTACTAGTGTACGGCTTGCATTTGCCTCGTGTTTACCAGCAATACATCTACCCACCACATTCCAACGACCATGGTTAGCAAACGTCGACGACAATACAACAAAGAAGTGCGGGATAAATTTTATGTTTACAATCAAGAACTTGAAGAGGCTCGTCAACTTGCCTTGGCACCCGCGACACAGAGAGAGGAAGCTTCTCAGACGTCAACCCACCGGCACAAACACACTTCATTCACTCAGACCCAGGATACGACTTGCAGTAGACTATCTGCACGAGTCGAATATTTTGAAGGCTTAGCATCCGTAAGCACGGAACATCAAGCTCAAGTTTTACCCGTGTATGATCCTCAATCTTTCGATGACTTTGATTTCAACATCGTGGATGGTGCGCATGACACCTACTTAGAAGATACCAACACCGAGCAAGTTAGAAAGCGAAAACGCACTGCAGGGGTAAGCACAAGCGCTCTGAATATTTGTATTTGTAAATTAATTTTGTGCAGGATTATCCACTCGCATCATGGCTTCCCGAACGAGACACATTTATCCTGGAGATGTTAAGATTGGAAGGACGCGGAGACTTCATAACTCAAGCCATTTGCCATGGATCGTATGGCTGCTCTTTGCCTGCTGAATTTCGTTGCGAGGATTGTTTTGGCACCGAGCTATACTGTCAGCCATGCACCTTGGAGAAGCACCGTGAGCATCCATTGCACAGGATTAAGGTAAGCCGCTTGAACATTTTCAAAAGAACTATCATTGAACATCTCTTAGCATTGGAAGGACGAGTTTTTTCACGCTGTCACACTCAAATCTCTCGGACTGCGAATTCAACTGGGACACCCCACCCAAGAGCGCTGCTACAACCCCGCTGCTTGCCAAGATTTCATTGTACTCCATGTGAATGGTGTTCATGAAGTCGCTTTAGACTTCTGCGGGTGCGAGACCGCTCAAAGTCCCACCACCCAGCTGCTTCGCATTCGATGGTTCCCTGCAACAGTCCTAGAGCCGAAAACCGCAGCAACATTCAAGCTTCTTCGGCATTTTCACATTCTCTCGTTCGAATCTAAGGTCTCAACGTTCGAATATTGGCAGACCTTAACGCGTCTTACTCACAATAGAGGGGTGGTCGTTGTGAAAGTAAGTTAACTCTTATTAGCGGTTTTGTAATTATCTGACACTCAATGATAGGATCGTTATGATGCTCTACTTCGAATGATAAGGGAATGGCGAAACATTACTTTACTCAAACGCTTTGGACGGGGACACGATCCCGCGGGTACTGGAGCAACAGAGCAAGGTTCATGCGCCGTCTTGTGTCCGGCTTGTCCTCAGCCAGGTAAGAATCTTCCTGAGAACTGGGAGAGTGCCCCTCCCGAAACTCGGTATGTGCTTCAACCTGTATCATTAGAATTGCGCTGATCAACTTTATCCAGCTGGTTATATGCCTTGTTTCTCGCGATTGACGCGAACTTCCGTCTGGCACGCAAGAATGTTTCATCAGATCAAATGGACCCTGGGCTCAACCGTGGCTGGGCGTACTTCGTGGAGGAACGACAATACAAGACATTTCTTACTGATGTCGGGAGATGTCCGCAGGAGGTAAGGTCATTCAATTTCAAACTCGAATCATGTCTGACAGCAACTTAGAAAAGCACATGCGCAAGCCATAACGCAGTCAATTTAGCAGAAACGAAAAACTCTCGGGGCCTGGCAGCCACTGGAGCAGGAACCGTTGACTGCTCGCGACACAATTTCAAACGACCCTGTGGTGTCGGTGACTTGCAAAAAGGAGAAAAGTACGTCAATGACATGCCTGATTTAACTCTGTTACTGATGCTTGCTTTTTTATAGGTACGTGAACATGGATTATCTCTTCTTTTCGACCATGCAATACACGGGGGATATTGCGGTCCTCAACATATCTTATGACATCGCTTGTCAATGGAGCACGAATCTTTGGCAGCGCATGCATCGATACCCATCGACGATTCATCTCCGCCACCACGACAACAAGACCATCACGTTTCTTGTGCCAAAATTCCATCTTCCTGCGCACATCGATATTTGCCAGATAACTTACTCTCACAACCTCCTCAAAGGCATGGGCCGGACAGATGGAGAGGCACCTGAGCGTGGATGGGCCAACATCAATCCGGTTGCTACGAGCACTCGCGAGATGGGTCCAGGATCACGCCGCGATACTCTGGACGACCACTTCGGTGATTTTAATTGGAAGAAGGTCACGAATATGGGTAAGTATCATTCAATATGTCTTAGTTAACTACATCTGACTCGTTATTTAGGTGTCAGTCTATCACGAAAGCTCAAAGCCGCTGTTCCTGAACGCGACCAGCATGTACGCGATTTTGAAGACTTCGACAACGCACTTCAACACGAGAGACCCGAACAGGTGGCGGAATGGAGGCTGGCAGTGGAAAAATGGGAATCAGATTCGTCGCAAGAGAATCCGTTCGCACTTACAGGCAAACATATGTCACTAGATTGTCCGAGGAATTCGAAATACTCACTATCGTCTAGCACTAACGCAAGCAGCTGTACGACTCAGTCTCTCTCAGCAAGAAGCTGACAACCTCGAGCATGGTATGGATGACTCACTGCACGAGGAAGTCTCGCGCAGTGTGTTAATCTCCTCAGGAATGGAGATCGAGGATCAGCAGTAAGTCTTCAATTGTCGAAGTTTCATATACATGCTGAGGCTATTTTGCAGGTGTCGGCTTGCGAGAGATATCGAGCTTCTGGGAGGGCACCCAACGGACTTACAGCGCACGAAGCTTCAAGAACGGAGCAACATTTTACGACGCAAAATAGAACAATGGAGCAAGGTCCAACTTTTGTACATGCCGGTCGTTGCTCGCCTTCGCGCATCAGATATTCCAACCAGCAGGACCCATTCGACTGAGGAGAAGGTTCACGAGATCGAACTGTGGCTTCCCTCCAAGATCTACGGAGATGCAGCAGACCCAGTGCATCAATGTGATGCCACGCTGTGTCAGTATGAATGGGAGCTTCGCAGGGCCCAGGCATATGATGCGCTGGATGAGCTCCGACGTCACCTGCGACTACGCGCCCATCTTTACAAATTCAAAGACGCCCATATTCGTGGCCAGCGGGCTAACACACGCGCGTCAGCTATCATTGACAAAGTCGAGTCGAATGTGTCCGTCGCTGCTGCAAGATATCGCAGAGCATGGTCTGCACTCGAACATCTCTCCTTTGCTCTGTCTCGCACTACATGGAAGGAGGAGTTCCCGAAACTGGAGAATGACGACATCCGCGGCATGTCTCAAGGCAAGCCAGGCCAATCGTCTGGCAACCGTACATTGTCCTGGATATGGAAGGCACGTGGCATCGCTAGTGACGCTCCTGAAGGGGAGACGGTCCTCAACGAATGTAGGTTATGTTTTCTTTTATTATTTTACAATTGCTGATACCGAATTATTACTAGCATTAAGAATTGAATGGTGCAAGTCTCGCGCACGAGCTACGCGTTGGGTCGAGGAGGTGCAACTTCTTCGAGAGGAGATGAGGCGTGTCGCGGCATACCTCTTGTGGCATGCTGCGTGGTGGGATGCGCAAGCAGATCGTCGCACAGGGCTCGCGCTTGCAGAGGTTGAAGGTATCAGAGGATATGCAAAGCGTCAGGCAGCCGTGCGGCGGGATCTCCATGATACATTCCTCTCAAAGTGGGGTGCCGTGAATGGCATTTTTTAATTTACACAGTGATCTATTTACAATGTTCTGACGAAGCAATCAAATTCATTGGTGACGCACTCCGGTCCTAAAAATACCAACATTTCCAGTAGCATCGAGATCACAAGAGAGATCCCGATCTTTGGAACCACTGAGGCATCGTGCCTGGTATCATTCGAGTGACATGGGGGATGTGCTGTTGAGGACGTGAAGCTTCATGAAGCTTCACGTTGGTAGCTCAGAGACGAACTTACAAAAGGTACTGTGTGTAATTAGATATGGTTAAGTATCACCCTGCCATGAACAGGTGAATTGAAGGACGTCAATGACATTGTCGTAGCATCGGGACAACATCGCGTTGCTGCGTTGAAGAGATATTTTGAAATCGTTACTGGAGAGATGATGCGTATCGAGCAACGCTGCGACGATATAGCTGCGCTGGATAATTTGAGCCCAGACCACCTCACCGAGTTCAACAGGCTTCGCGACCAACTGGATGAGCTGCAGGAGATAATAAGTCTAATGGGAAAATGGGGCATCATCGCATATGATGAAGGTGAGCTCTATCGCTGTCTTTATTATGCTAGTGGAACGGTTGCAGCAGCTGGGTAACAAGTCGTGCATTTGATGTGCCATTCAAGGGACTGCATGTTTGGGTTCGCAGGCATTGGATGAAACTATTCTAGTTGTTGTTGGGATCGGTTCTCGCTGCAACGGGTCCCTAGTGGAGGTATAGGCATCCAGCGCTGATCGGTATACACCTACAGACAGCGTGTTGGCGGATGGCGACATGTTGGCAGACCACTTGTGTCGAAACAAATTCTTGCACGACTACAATGAGACCGCAGAAGAAGTGTTGAGCAAGATCTTGCGATCGGTGAGAAAAGCTCACAACGATGCTTCTGAGCATGAGCGAGTCGCGGCAGCACTGCGTGAGCTGTGGATTCAGCGCGATAATACCGAGCGGCACAAGAATGCACGGTTGACGAAAGTCACGAGCTACGACCTGCTCGTTTTAGTGCTCGCGCTGCATCTCCTGCCGTTGGGACCACACTTTCGCCGTCGCAAGGAGTTCCAAATCACCTGGCTCGCCAACTCAATTGATGTAGTCATGGGGGTAAGCAGCGACATTTATATTTGCACACACAGTCCTTATGCATTATTACAGATGTTCATTCAATTTATTATGTTCCACAGTCACATTCTGAATTTGCTTGCATCGAGCGATGACTTCCCGGACTATGCAACAGTGACCAACATAATCTCGGTAG